TCAGATGTTAAGTTAGAGTATCCACCACTGGACCAATTCTTTCAAGAGAAGCCAACGACAACCCTTACACAAATGTTCAAACAAATCCTTCAGATAACGTAGACCATTACCTTCTTCAGTTATACCAAACAATTTTACTCAAAGACGATAAGAAGCTTTTGATAAATCTTATAAGTAAGAACCAAATAATTCTAACAAAGGAGGACCTTGAAAATGTTATATCACGAATAACAGGGAAACAATGTGTCATTGACTATCTCGACCCTGAAATCGAATGCTGTGGTCAAACGCCACCATTCATGAAAAATAGGTAACATCCGCATCATTGAAACACCAGGAACTAAGGAGTTGAGTTTAAGTATAAAATATTCGAATGAATATACAAAACTTTCAACAGAATATAAACTTTGTTTGAAATATGTTTTAGTAAATTAAAGCACTTATAGTATCTATCCAAAACTTCTTTCAACAGTATCGAACTCATCTTCATAATGCAAACCTAATCTTATTGACTTGGTGCAGTTTTCACTAACACAATATAGCGCTTTGCGCTCGGCGCCTTTGACGCCTTTTCTATTCTCTTGACTGACATAACTAACTCATTTGTTTCATCAAACAGCAATAAACCAAAGTTCATGACCTAATACATAACATCATACTTTATATTTTTAGCTCTGAGTTCTTCTTGTAAGCTGTTGCATTTAATATTTTCTAAAAAGTCAACTTCAACAGTCATTCGCACTGGTGCCTTCAGTTCTACAGGCTCTCCTTGAAAGTCAACTAGTCTGAATTGCATGTCTTTCAAATTATGAGGACTAATGCGAACCCATTTACCTAAATGAGTTGCTATGACAGGAACGTTTGGAATGAACATTGAATTGAACTGCATAACAGAAGGATTTATATTCTACTGAACCTTTACTATAACTCCTGAAATACCTGTGACATTAGCTATTTTTTGACTCAATGTACAAACAATTGCCATAACATACGTATGGAACAGATTTCATCTCAATCGTTTTGTCAACACTTTCAAAGGAAATGTCATATGGTATGCACCCAGAAGCAATTGAACTCTATGACTCATTCGTGTTATCTTAAACTCCTTCACATAACTGAACTTCAAAACTCCTGCAATAAGTTTAACATTCATTAAGTTTTCTTCGTTATCCTTGTTTATTGTAGTATTTATGAGCGCATTTAACACTCCAGCTAATGTTTCCATTCTTATATTCTACATTATTGTGAAATCTTATTTCGTGCTTCTTTCCATCTTTTCAAACTCCATGAAATCTGTTTCATCTGTGTTATGACAAAAGTTGCGATAGTATTGAAGTCAACAACTCTGAAAGCAAGCGCTTCATTCTGAAGACCTAAGTTTGTTTGTAGCTTTTACTGTTCCGTATTCGTTTGGGTCTGTACTTTGCAAATAGAACAACATTTTATTCTCATTAAAATATGACTATTGCTGCATATGCGTATGAAACAAATGAAGCAAGAAGAGCACATGAACTAGTAAACGAAAACTCAACTTTAACCATTGAAGGCAATGATTTAGTCATTGACGATGGAAAAACTAAAAAAGTCATTGATTTCGATACTTTTAACACTTATGACCCATTCATTACAACAAGCAAGGTTCCCATCATAAATGATGGAACGGTGCAATATATAAATTCTACAGTAGATGCCTCATTAGTGAAAGTATTAAATGTTCTCATTGAATTGTTAAAGAGCTTTTCGATTTGACGACAACATTAAATGCCTAAAGAATTTAGTCATGAATGAGAAACAATTCTCGGCGTTGCTGGTAGCAGTAATGATGTACACCTTATGACATTAGAATATTATAACGAACATAAAGATGAACTGAAAGGAGAGAAGGGTGACACCGGACCTCAAGGACCACAAGGAATACAAGGAATACAAGGAATACAAGGACCTCAAGGCGAAAACGGTTTGGATGGAAAGGATGGAAAGGATGGAAAAACTGCTAAATCATGGATATGGGACCTTATAAATACTGGTTTAACAGCTGCTTCATATGGAGTTCTTCAATACCAAATCGGAAAGATATGGGCGGTACTTGGTGAAGAAGTTTTAAATGACGTTAAAAATGCTTTGAACTTCATTTCAAATGGTTCGGATACTATTAAAACTTTATCTGGTTGGATGCAAGAAACAAGGAGTCAAATAGATACTGTAAGACGTATAGCAAACAATGCACGTACGGGATTGGATACTTTACGACAAGCACAAAATACACTAAAGGAAGCAAATGATATTCTTGGCTCAGTATCAGACATGCATGAAGATTGGCTTAAAGGTATTGACAAATCTTTAAAAAATCACAGTCAGTCTATTGCTGACTACAAGAAAAGTATAGATTTTTTACATAGTGCTATGGACGTACATGATGGAAGCATAAGGAACTTACTTAATGCTAACAATAACTTACCAGGAACTATTAAAGCATTTATAAAGTCCTTTGTAAAACCCGGTGCTCTAACATTTAGGTCTTTGAGAGCAAGAGCATTGAAGTCAAGAGATGCAGAAACTCCAACAGAACCTACAGAAGGAACTGAAACAACAGAAACTCCAAAAGAACCACCAAAACCAACAGCTAATGAAATATTGTTCGAATATTTTCCAAGGTACTCTGTTCTCATTGCATACATTCAAGAAATACTTAAGAAAGCAGACTTGACTTTAGGAGATGATGAAAGTTCTGTATATCTTTCGTTCCAGTTTCAAATAGCAGAACTTTTGAGACAGATATGCTTAATGTATGACAACATCTCTGATTTCACAAGATATGATGACGACCATGACCCCGAACATGGTGAAGAAGAAGTTTTACAAACATCCATTAAGACAGGAAAGGTTTTAACTCAAAGTCTCATTATTGACACCAAAGATGGCGAAGTGGACGTTCTTCAAGAGCTGAAGAAAAATACTTCTTCGGGAGGTGGTGGTAGGCATGAACTTGAAATAAATGAGATAGAAGAGAAATTAGCCGAAAAAGCAGATAAAGAACATAAACACAATATCTCCGATATAAATGAACTTCAAGCTACATTAAATAGTAAAGCGGACAAAAATGAACTTGACGCAATGAACAAAGTTTTGAAATCTCATAAACACAACATCTCCGATATAAATGAACTTCAAGCTACATTAAATAGTAAAGCGGACAAGAAACCATGTTCATTATATAACTTCAGACGAACAGATTATAACGGACTACCATGGATATTTAACACGAAGTGATGAAGCGAAGACAAAAAATGTTAATGAAAGAAGATATAAATACATTCGTGCTAAAGGTTATGACATAAGCTGTACTGTACAGTATGATGTAGCTAAAGCACCAGAAGCATTTGGTTATACCGGTGAAATTTATGCCTCTACTTTCAATGTTAACGGTGTATTAGTTGAACCAAGATTTATGTTAAGAGTTAAGGCAAAAATAACGTTTGAAGATGCTATTAAAAGTAAAGCTGACAAAGTTGAACTCGAAGCAATGAACAAAGTTTTGAAATCTCATAAAACAAACATCTCCGATATAAATGAACTTCAAGCTACATTAGACAGTAAAGCTGACAAGAACCATACACATAAATCCTTCACTACTGTTAGAGCAGACGACATAATATTGAACTATACCCTTGGTTCAAGTGCACCATTAGAAAATCCAAGTACAAGCGTAAAAGATACACTAAACTCCTTAAATAACAAATGTATGAATATCGAAGGTCATGTCAGAAACTTTGAAACACATGAACTACCAGCAATGTTAGATAAAAAAGCAGATAAGAACCATACACATGATTTCTTCACAACTGTTGGTATAGAAAGTATTGAAGGAACGGTTGAAGGAACTGGTGGGGATGCATTATATTGGAAACCTCCTAACTTTCCACAAGGTTTAACATCGGAGGAAAACATAACGACGATGAAATACATTAGATGTAGAAATGTTTATGTCATGGAGGATGAAAATAATGTTAAATTCACTGCTCAAGATTTATATGATAAGAAAGCTGACAAGAACCATACACATAAATCCTTCACTACTGTTAGAGCTGATGACATAATATTGAACTTTGACCTTGGTTCAAGTGCACCTTTAGAGAATCCAAGTACAAGCGTAAAAGATACTCTTAACAATTTAGATAAGAGTTGCAGGAATACCGAAGATCATGCCAGAAACTTTGAGGCATATGAACTACCAGCAATGTTAGATAAGAAAGCTGACAAAACTTATGTAGATGAAGAACTAACAAAGAAATTTTCGAAACCAGATACAATGACATTTACAACAGAAATTATAAATGGTGAACCAGCAACTCCATTTGAATTTGTTAGAGGTCTTCAACCAGATACTTTTGAATTTTTCTTGGATAATTCTATTGAACTAACATTACATTATAAAAGTGGAACAAATGCAACATTTCATCCGGGAGATACATTCCAAATGGTATTTAATGACATAAGTTCTTTAGAATATGTTTATAGAGTTATGAGCATATATGATTTAATATATCCTATAGGAGCTGTTTATACGTCTATGAATCCAATAAATCCAAACACTTTATTTGGTGGTAGATGGTATGAAATAGTTGACAGTTTTCCATTCTACACTAATACTCAGTCAATGAAGATGGGAGGTTCAAAGAAAATAGGTATTGAAAACCTTCCTTCACATATGCATAGGTTCAGTGGAAGAACATCTGTGGAAGGAAACCATTCACATTCAATAACAAAAAGAGGTTATACAAATCTTGCAGCGGGTTCGGATAGACAGGGAATGCATAGATATGATATCACAACTGACCCAGTAGATTCAAGCACAGGTATTTTCTGTGGAACTGCAGGAAATCATACACATGTTGTAGCTGGTATTACAGACCCAGCAGGTAATGGAAAAGATTATATGCCTCCTTATATAACAATGCACGCTTGGATACGAGTTGGTTAAAATCTTTAACTTTACATAAATGAGCTTGAAAGAAGTATTCGAACAACATCCATGGAGGTCATTTAAGAAGTTCAATGAAGCTGCAAAGAGTTGGGGATTTACTAACAGAGCTGAAGTGAAAAGGTTCTTTGACAAAAATGTTGTACATCAAACAAAAATAAACCCTTACGACTACTTTTTACCAATTTACTCCAACGCTCCTGACGCATACCAATTTGACACTCTCATTCAAAGCAGAAAAGGAGGACATAAACCATTCCTCATCTTCATAAATGTTAACACTCGTAAAGCATATGCATATCCAATGAAAAATAAAGGAACTCGTGAAGTGTTAAGAGTTTTACAAAAGTTTGTAGCAGAACATAACCCAAGTACTTTAACATCAGACCAAGACAGTGCATACCTCAGCAATGAAATCACAGAATTTCTCATTAAGCATAACATAACTCACTACACTACTGAAGACCATAACCATAACATACTCGGCATCATAAACCGCTTCATAAGAACGCTCAGAGATTTAAACCAAGAGCGAGACTTTACCGAAGAAACAATGAAACATTTTCTCGAAGTATATAATTCCTCAACACATTCTACAACAGGACATACACCAAATTCAATGACACAACAACAAGAAGAAAAGTATATACAAAAGAAACGAAGCCAAACACAAAATATCAGAAATTCAACACAATTTACCCTCATTCCTGGTACAAAAGTTCGTGTAGTTCTTGACGACAAACCGTTGACAAAGAAACGTTTAAGGTTAAGTCGAAATTATTATATCGTAGACTCTACGCAAGGTAATGGATATCTTATAAAAGCTGCTGACGACTCTATTGCGTTTTATCCTCGACATAAATTAGTCGAAAGTAGTAATGGCAAACTTGCTGAAACCATTGACGAAGCAAAGCGAGGAGTGGTTATTGAAATACTTGGCTATAACATAAACGATGACACTTATAAAGTAAGATATGAAGGAGGTGTTGAAGATGTTATACCATCTAAGAACTTGAGAGAGTCAAAGCCAACACATCTGGGACCATTAGAGCGGGAGTACTGGAAAGACAAAAATATGCCAGAAAGAATAAGAAAATTCTTCTAAACTTTTTCATTAGATGTAAATCAGACATGAATGAGAACAGTCATGTATTATTAATGGTACCATAAATTTACACCAAAAATAATGTTTAGGGTAGAAGGTTAGATCTAACCTCTTTTCTAACCTCTTTTCTACCCTCTTGAATTTTCATGAAATTTGGTCATTTTTTGGCAAAAATAATGTTTAGGGTAGATGGTTAGATCTAACCTGTTTTCTAACCTCTTTTCTACCCTCATGAATTTTCATGAAATTTGGTCATTTTTATCTATTAATGTTTTGTCATGATTTCATCGTATATGTTTTGTCATGATTTCATCGTATATGTTTTGTCATGATTTCTTCATCGTAATGAGCGTAAATGACCCAAAAATAATGTTTAGGGTAGAAGGTTATATCTAACCTGATATCTAACCTCTTTTCTACCCTCTTGAATTTTCATGAATTTTCATGAATTTCCTTAAGACAGAAGAAATAAAGTTAGTTTTATTTTTATTTATTTTTTTATCTTGTATGTAAGAACAGAAATGTCAGTCGAAGCAAAAACATTCACTAACAAATATAATGGCGAAACATTCACAAAAGGCACTTATAACGGTATTGAAGTCTTACGTAGAGACAAGGATGGTTACATTAATGCAACAAATATGTGTCAGCAGTTTAGGAAAGATTTTAGAAAGTTGTTGGAAAATAAGTCCTGGGAAGAGTATTATAAGGCATTTTGTGAAGAATATAGCAACAGTCCGAATTCCGGCGGTTGGTTTTTATACAAAATTCATGCAGGAATTCCTGATAAAATCAAACAGGTTAGAGGAACGTATGTAGACCCAAGACTTTTAAACTATATAGCAATGTGGGCTTCTCCAAAATATTGCATAGCAGTTGGAAAAATTATGGACTCCATAGACAAGAAAGTTCATGAGAAGTTAGATGAAGAAGAACTCGAAGATACAGTAGAAAATGCTAAACCTTTGTTTGAAGAAGAAGTTGGAAAAATGTGCGAAAAACAATTAGAACATGAACGTGAGATATGTTATGGTTATAGAGATTCTCCATACGAACTAGACCAATGGGAACAAGAAGATTTAAAGAGAGAATTTAGAGAATATGAACTCGCTAAGATAGCATTTGAAGCTGCAGAAAAGAAGTTAAAAGTTTGGGGTCGTTTTGTACAAAAATATTGTGAGTAAATGAACCATTTATTTTTATTGAATTCAGTAAAAATAATGTTTAGGGTAGAAGGTTATATCTAACCTGATATCTAACCTCTTTTCTACCCTCTTGAATTTTCATGAATTTTCATGAATTTTCATGAATTTCCTTAAGACAGAAGAAATAAAGTTAGTTTTATTTTTATTTATTTTTTTATCTTGTATGTAAAGATATGATTTCAACAATAGGTTCTACAACAATTCAAGCCACTAACGGCGGGACTCTGTCCACAACTACGGCACCAAATTCATTAATCATGAACCCAACATCTATGTTAGTAGAGATGAAAAGCTTCATTCCTTCTTCATATACTTTCGAAACAAAAATCCAGAAGATAAAGCAGGAATTGTTAACAAGTAATTTAGACTGTTGTGTGAAAGATGAAACAAATGAACAGTATCTTTATGAAATGCAGGACATTATTGACCATTTACCCAAATTGCCTGAAATCCAACAACAAAAGCTCACTATTCCTGAATTCGATGAAATAGAAGTAAAAACAACCGACTCAGTAGAAATAAAGAAGTTCATACGAAAGGTAAACTATGAATTCCTTGGTTTTCATTGCAACCATAAAGTTATGGACAAAGATTGCGACATGGTATATAAGAACATCTCTGACATATATAAATCTGAAGAATTTAAGACCTACGACAACTTTGTTTCGTTAGTTGCTGAATGTGTATGGCAGATAAGAGATAAAGATAGAAGAGGTAAAGTATGGCATGAACAGATAAAACCAGCAGCTTTTGAGTTAAAGAAAACCATTGACGCTTTAGTTATTTTAGCAGGTAAGGTTTCAGAATATAACGCAAAAATGAACCCACAATGTTCAAAATGTAAAGCAGCAATGAGAAAATATAACTACTCCGTCAAAGAGATAGAAAGAATGCGAAACGACTATGCTGACTTAAAGAAAGAAGAAGAGAAACCAGCAGAAGATAAAATGGATATGTTGACATTTCTTAATAAAAACTATCCAACTGCTGACGATTTCCTTCTATCTGACGTCAAGAAGAAGTATAAAGAAACTTTCGGCATTGTTAAAACTTTTGATATCCTCAGCGAAGAAATAGAAGCTACTAAATTGTTTAGAATCTCGCGAATTCATAACGTTTACCATGTAAAACGCTTATAAAATAACTGGGGTAGAAAAGAGGTTAGAAAAGAGGTTAGATCTAACCTTCTACCCTAAACATTATTTTTGCTGAATTCAGCACAAAATTCTGAGTAAAATAATTTTTAGGGCATGTGTCAAACCGTTGAGTTTTCACAAAATTTAACGTTTACCATGTAAAACGCTTATAAAATAACTGGGGTAGAAAAGAGGTTAGAAAAGAGGTTAGATATAACCTTCTACCCTAAACATTATTTTTGACGTAAATTTATTTCCATCTGGCTTCCCACCGCATAAGATATTCATACGTGTTTGTAAGACATTCATTAAACTTCTTTTCTATTGCATCTAATCTTGCGTTATTTTTTTCAATAACTTGTCTGTATTCTTCATCATCTCCAGCAGTGTTTGGGTCTTCACGTTTAAAATATTCATTGTTAACCAATTTTTTATCTACAAATTTTATTAGTGTTTGATTCACTTCGTTATGATAACGGTCATATTCTTTCAATACATAAGTGAAGACAAAATGCGTCGTACCTTCAATCTTAAAGCTTAAAGAACTTTCAACACAGTTTTGAGGGTCTGTCAGTGCGTCAATGAGATAGTATTCGAAGTCAGTCAATAATCTTTTTAAAGTCATTTCATACAGGATAAAATTTAATGTTGTGAAGAAATAGTGTTTATCTCAGAAAAAATAACGTTAGTTTTTTTCTAACAAAATTTTTTATCCTGTATGTAAGGACAGATATGACAACATCAGAGAACACAACAACAGTTATAGTTCATGAAGCCATAAATGAAGAATATGAGTACATACAGTATAACAAAGAGTTACGTCTCATTCGTTCGGTCAAAGACGATATGTACCAGATGCAAAGTATTTTGAATGCTCTTCGTTCTACAAAGCAAGCATATCATTGGTTTGAAAACCAACAGACAAAAGAACTTTTAGAAGAATTTCCTCATATGATTGCTTCCCTCGGAAAACCGAGAGAAGAGATTCCGTACGAAAATCGCAAGAATTTGGCTCCTGGTTTGAAAGGTTATTATGTTCATAGACTTTTAGTAAACGCTGTAGCAATGTGGGCTTCACCTCGTTATGCTTGTTATATTTTCATGATGTTAGATGAACTATATAAAGCAGAACGTGGAGAGATGGAAAAGAAACTTCAAGCAAAAGATGAAGTCATTGAATCCAAAGACAAAAGCATACAGAAAAGAATACCACGTTCAGTACCAAAAGGAAAGGAAAAGAACTATAAGTATATGATTTATACTGAAGAGTTGGAGAATGAAGAAGATAAAGATATGGTTATGTTGCATTTAGTCAGAAGAAACAACAAAAGCTTTTATGACCTCGCTAAAATATATAAATCTGACAGAAACTGGTTCTATCGTGAAAACTTACCGATTTCAATGACACCGAATGAGCAAATAAAAGAAATTGTCAAAAATACTCTTCCTCAAACACACTATGACATCAAAGGTTGCACAATACTTACCTTCAAAGAAGACTTACCATTACTGAAGGAAAAAATAACAGAGTATTTCGATAACTTCAAAGAGGAAGAATGAAGTCACGACAACATTAACGAAGAAGTCACGACAACATTAACGAAGAAGTCACGACAACATTAACGAAGAAGTCACGACAACATTAACGAAGAAGTCACGACAACATTAACGAAGAAGTCACGACAACATTAACGAAGAAGTCACGACAACATTAACGAAGAGAGAATGAGGTGAAAAAACAGGTGAGATTCTCACCTCTTCACCAAAAATATATTTTTGGTTAAATAGCTTCAGGGTCAATTTCTTCAACCATTTCACTTCCTTCGTCAATGTCAATTGAAGCTTCTTCAACCTTTGGTAAGAATTTCTGTATAACATCTTTGTTCGTTATTGTTTTCAGAGATGAAGAATAATATTTCACATTTGTTTCACCCTTCTTATATTCTTTCTGTTCGGAAAGATTCATAGCAATACTGAAGAAGTCAATGTTGGAGTTCTTTATAACAGTATAATGAGTATCTTTGACATTCACGAAGAAACTCTTTTGTTTCAAAACTACTGCTAACTCTTGTGAAGTATAACGTTTGCGGTCAATGACGATAGCTAATGGTCTGACATACTGACCGAACTTAGATTCTTTCACAAACTTCTTGTTAAAGATAACATTAACGTTTGAAGCATTATTGAACTCATTCTTGATGGCAGTAGCGAGAGCATTGTATGAAAAGAACTTGCAATCTTGCATGTGTTTCATTAAAATAAAAATATTAAATTATTTTGAAAAATAACTTAAAAAAATCTAATCTATTTTTTTAAAAAATATTTTTTTTTATTTCCTACTAAAGATGTATCGGAAGTTGTCTAAGTTAGAACACTCGGAAATAAAACAACTTCTTACAGAAGCTAACATAGAAGTAGCAAAACATTACGCAACAAACAAAAAAGCACTCGCTGACATCCTCAATGACTATAATGGTGCAATAAGTTATGATAGAATTCATGAGTTCATAAAGCCGCAACGCGGCGAGGACGAAGTTCATGCAAGAGAATTTCCTTTAAATGACATTGCTATTGACTTATATCATAGACGTTCAATACCTCATGAAGTAAGAAGAGAAATGTTTGACATAACAAATGCAAACGTTGGTGAAACAAGAAGAAGAGACGACACACTGAAACAACAGAGAAGAGAGATGTTTAAAAGTGCTATAGAACAAGTTCGCAAAGCTAACGATGTCATTCGTTCCATTGACGACAAACCAAAAGAAGGTGAGAGATGGTTAAAGAAAGATGAAGAGAATAGGAAGAGAAATGTGAAGTCAGGCAATAGACTCATTGACTTTAACATCGAAGCTTTAGATGAACCAAACAGAGAATATTTACACAAACATTTTGGTAAGGTTTTCATGAGACTCTTAGAGAAAATTAAAATAAACTCGCAACAAAGATGGATGGTATGTTATAAACTTGGTGGAAAGTATGAATGTTCTACGTTAAACCTCAATAATATTGGAACATTACTACATCAGCTCTTGAAGGAGAACTTTATATCAGAGATAGAAGCAAATGCTGCAGGTATTGTTGAAATGCACTATGACTTCTTCTTGACAAACATAAAGAATCTTACTGAAATAAAGATGTATGATTTAACAGAATATGAAGGCTTAACGATGTCAGATGTAAAGAAAGGCAAACCAAAAAAGAGACCATATAGAGATGAAAGCACACTGACAAATGACCAGAAAGCCATTTTGGAAGCTCTTAAGCAAACAGGAAACCCAGCACTTATAGAAAGCTTTTGGAAAGATAATGGTGAAAAGAAGTTTTATAAGAAGAGAAGCGGTCAGTTCTGGAAGTATCTTTGCACATTACCTATAAATCTTGAGCGCTACCAAATCTTCAATGAATTGAACCAAAGAACTGCAACACTTATGACAGAAGACAATTGTTTCGTTTATGCTTGCATTCAGGCTGGAGTAAATGAAGAAACTATTGACCACATGAGAGAAGTCATTCGTGTTAGAGACTTTCCTCAAAGTAAAGTACAAGAAATTTCTGACGCAACAGGTATAGCATTTAATGTTACCATTGGTTATTTCAATGACTCAAGACATAATGAAATAAAGAGATATATACCAAAAGAATGCGAAACTGTTAGAACTATTGACTTACTTCTTGTTGAAGACCACTACATGCTAAATGAAAGACTTCCAATGACAACATATTTCATTCGCAACTATATAGAAATTCTCAAAGCTTGTGGTGGAATGAACAATGAGAAACAGATGAAGATTTATACAATGAGAGATGGTAAATACATTGTTCGCATGGATAGAACTACACCGCTATGGGATGTTATGAAAACATTGTGGGAGTGCAAATATTTCGAACCTATTTCTTATGGAGAACTTTTCACATATACTACTGACTTATATAAACAGAACCTTGCACCATTTAAAGATTTGACATATGCTCCAAAGTATTGTGTACAACTGAAGAAGAAAGCAGAGTCAAAAGAAGTAAATAAAGCTAAATGTAAATTCATACCTGAGCACGTTTTCTTTGCTGACTTTGAGTGTAGTACGGATGGCTTTCATAAAGCTTTTAACATCTGTTACGACAGTGAAGATGGTTCAGTTAGTGAAAGTATTTGGGGTCAAAACTGTGCAACAGAATTTTTGGAACGACTTCCTGACAAGAGTTTAATATATTTCCATAACCTCAGTTATGATATAAACTTCATCTTAAGACACATGACAGAAGTGAAAGGAACTCCCATCATTAAAGGTTCACGAACAATGCAAATAACTGGTTTATATAAAGGAAGGGCAATTATTATAAAAGACTCTTACAGTGTTATAAATAAGAAGCTTAAACTATTTCCTGCTATGTTTAACTTACAAACAGGACCGAAAGAAGTATTTCCATATAACTACTACAGCAGTGTTTTGTTAGCAAATGACAACAGAACTGGTGTCATTTCTGAAGCGTGTAAGTTTATCCATGATGCAGATACATTTATGAAGAACATAGATTCCATCAAAGGTTGCAGAATAGATGAAAACCACTTCGACTTAGAAAAATATAGCACGTTTTACTGCAAACAAGATGTAAGAATTTTAAGAGAAGGTTTTGTAAAGTTCCGCAATGACTTATTGAAAGAGTTTGATTTAAACGTTTATGACTACGTTAGTATTTGTTCTATTGCTAACAAATTGTTTGAGAACAGAGTATACTTCCCGAATGGAAATCTTTATGACCTCTCAAATAAACCAAGAGAATTTATTTCGAGATGCATTCAAGGTGGAAGATGTATGTTGTCAGATAACATGAAACAAAAGAGCGAAAAGAAACTCATTGCTGACTTCGACGCTGTTTCATTATATCCTTCAGCTATAGCAAGACTTTATACTTTAGAAGGTATTCCAAAAGTATTGAAGGAAGAAATGCTAAGCACAGAGTATCTCATGAGACATTTATTCGATGACGACCAAAAGGAACCCATTGGTGAAAAGTTTATGTCTGGCTTCTTTGTTCTCATTAAGATAACAGAGATTGGAATACATAGACACTTTCCTTTAATAGTTTGTGACCCTGAACTAAATCCAGAACTTAACGTTCCCAGAAGTTCAAACACTTGCTGTTTAATGTATGTTGACCATATAACATTACAAGACCTCATAAAATATCAAGGTGTCAAATGTGAAGTGTTGCAAGGATACTATTACGATGGAAACAGAGATATGAGAATAAGAGATGAAGTTAAGAAATTGTTTGAGTTAAGGTTAAAGTATAAGAAAGAAGGAAATCCTTTACAAGAAAATATAAAGCTCATTCTGAACAGTATTTATGGCAAAACTATTCTATCTCCTATTGAGTCAAAAATAACCATAGTAAATGACAAAGATGCTATAAGATATGCCATCAGAAACTACAACCATATAGTGAAGTTCGAAGGTTTGGATGGTTCAGATAAAACTATTTTCAAGCTAACGAAAAGTATTTGCAGACACTTTAACTTCTGTCCACTTGGTGTTAACATTCTGTCTATGTCAAAACGTATTATGAATGAAGTGTTTTGCACGATTGAAGATATGGGACTTCAAATCTTTTACCAGGATACCGACAGTATGCACTTATATAATGAAGACATCCCAAAGCTTGCAGCAGAGTTTAAGAAGAGATACGGTAGAGAACTTATAGGAAAGAACCTTGGTCAATTTCATAGCGACTTTGCAGAAATAACACCTGGAAAACAAAGTTTAGCTTATAAAAGTATTTTCTGTGGAAAGAAGACCTACATAGACTTACTCACTAACGATTTAAATGAAGTTGCATTTCACTGCAGAATGAAAGGCGTGAAGCAAGATGTTATTGCTTTAACCGCTAATGAAATGTTTCCTGAAGCTATACAATGCTATTACAATGAAGATAAGAACATTCACATACCTGTTGGAACATATGACAAAGACTCTGAGTTCAGTTTAATGAAACTTTACAAAGCACTTCATGATGGTCAAGAGATTGCATTCGACTTATGTAAGTCTTCTAGTCCTTGCTTTGCTGAAAAGTTTAACTTCTCAATAACGACTAAAACAAGCTTTATTCGTAAGTTGAAGTTCTGAGGTCATTTATTTTTGTCAGCAATGAGGTCATGAATGAGGTCATGAATGAGGTCATTTATTTTTGTCAGCAATGAGGTCATGAATGAGGTCATGAATGAGGTCATGAATGAGGTCATGAATGAGGTCATTTATTTTTGTCAGCAATGAGGTCATGAATGAGGTCATGAATGAGGTCATGAATGAGGTCATTTATTTTTGTCAGCAATGAGGTCATGAATGAGGTCATGAATGAGGTCATGAATGAGGTCATTTATTTTTGTCAGCAATGAGGTCATGAATGAGGTCATGAATGAGGTCATGAATGAGGTCATTTATTTTTGTCAGCAATGAGGTCATTCGTGATAAAAATAAAACTAGCGTAGATTTTATAAAACTGCGATTGTTGAATTCAGCAATTGTGCTTCGATGTAGAGACAGTCCTTATGGTCTGGAGGTAAGAACACTGGGCAGTTATGGTCATGAGTGGAGAACATGTCTATCCAAAACTCACGATTGAAGCCAGTTAATTTATAGTATTTAGGGTTAGGAAGTGGTGAAGTTCTTGTATGACCAATGAACTCATTTTCAACTCCCTTACTTAAGTTTGAATATAATATAGCTTGCTTTCTATCCCAAATGCCAGGTGTTACAATCTTTGAAAATTCATTTTTCCTCGGAAGCATTGCATCATAATTGAAAACATTCTTGAAATCATCACTTGGTTCAGAGATTTGAAATCTTATACGTAATGGATTTTTTTTCTTTTTAGCGACTTCATTGAATGGTGAGAATACAACAAACTGACAGTCATGAGTTCCATCTTCATTTTCATTAAATTCATAATGAAAGTCTATAAGTTGTGGCTGACTACCTTCTTCTTTCAGTTGTGCAAGAAACCCACGTAAAGGCTGTAAAGTTTGTACTTCAATGTTGAACTTTTTCTCGAACATCTCATTAAATGAAATCATACATTGCAACAATGTTGTATCGTCTTTAAAGTATTTGTATATGTGAATGTTTTGGGCGCTTAAAGACTGTTCGTCATTTTCTATCTCGACTTGAAGTATAAAGTCAACCTTTCTGAAAGCACGTGTTATATACATAGATGTTATGCCAATGTACTTCTCTTCATTTATATTCACAATCCAGTCTGTTGGAAACTTAAACGTTACTCTGTTCCCCTTTATTTTGACGTCAGGGTTTTCACTACTGAACGCAACAGTTAAAGGTATTTGTCTATACATTTAGTTTGGATAAAAATAAACCATTTACTCTTTCTTTGCTTCAGCTTCCTTTGCTTTTTTTCTTCCTTTGCTTTTGCTTCTTCTCTAGCTTTTTTCGCCAGCAAACGTGGGTTCTTCTGTCTTCCAGCAGCTAATGCAGCTAGTTGTTTTTCACTAAGTTTTCTCTTTGGTCTCTCTGGCTTTTGTTCTGGTTTTTGTTCCTTCAGTTCGGATAAAATTTGTTCACGAATTTCTTTCTTCAATGCTTCAACATCTATGACCCCTTGGGTCTTGTCCGTAGGATTTGACTGAGTCATTTGACTGTAGATAAAAAACTAAATTAAAACTTTAACCGATGTAAAATGAGCTTGTCAAAATCAGAGCGAGAGTCTATTATATTAAATGACGCAAGAGGAATACAACATCCTTTCTATTATGTAAGTCAGAGTAAAGATGGTAAAATATACGTAAGAAAAAGAAAGGTTCCATTAGCGAATACAGAGAGCGACAACATTAAGGTGCATGGCAAGGGTGAAGTCCACGAAGCCCATATAAAACCTTCTGTACAAACTGAGCCACCAAAAGAACAAGAAGAAAAGAAGCCAGATGTACTTTCAATAACGAACCAAGAGCTTATTGCAAAGTTCGTGAATTTCATTGAAAAACAAACCGAGTCAAAGAACCCTGACCCACCAGTGAAAGAAGTTGAGACAAAAGAGAATGTACAGTTCATTGAAAATGTCAAGAAACAACTTCCACCACGAATGCCAAGAAGAAGAGTGAGAATAATGAAGTAAATAGATATTTTTATCCGAAGTAAATACATGCAGAACGAACAGTTAAACGAATTTACTCCAGCAGAGCATATTCATCAGATTCGCTCATATTTCGATATCATAGACAATGCAGTTCAAATTGGTGACACTAATAGAAAATATTCTGACGCAAAGATTCCATCACAACCTGGAACTGCTAAAGATAACACATGGGTAACATTCAATCTCTCACCTCCTGGTGAAAATATGTTGGACCTTTACAATACATTCATTACGTATAAAATGGAAGGTCAATTTATTGTAGATAAAGAAATTGGTTCAGGTTCCAATAAAACAAACCCACCAGGATTTTGGATTGGTTTCGATGACGCTTTCTATGCAGTTGCTGGATATCAAATCCTTGCAAATGGTCGTATCGTATATTCTCAAGACAATGCAAGAGAAGAAGCATATATAACTTCAAACTCACAAACTACCGAACAAATAAAGAAAGTAGATGTTTTCTCAAAGACTCGACATGAAGATGTATGGAGTCATTCGGGAACATGCAGAACAGGACAAATTGTTAGTGGTCCAATTACAGCAGGAAAATCATTTGATTTTAAGCTTCGTTTAAGAATTCCTGTTAGAAGATTCCTTCCATTAGAAGCTATTCGATTTATTCCAGCTTTTGCAGGAAACATTCAGCTTAAAGTAAAGTTCAGTAGCGACGCCTTACAATGCACATCTATATCTGTAAATGATATCATTGCTTTCAATCCAACTCTTAAAGTTGCATTTGCTTCAGATTCAAATCCACCGACAAATAAATTTGTTCCATGGAATGAACCATTCACTATGATAACGAAGGCAGTAGAAGCTAGTGGAACAGTTACTATTACAACTGTAACCCAGCAACTATTTCGAACAAAGATGGATTTTAATGAATGTTTCATTCATCCAAAGTCATTCTCTTTAGACCCTAACATTTATACAGAACTTGTAGAACATTATACAAACGAGGCTTTATGTTTTCCTGTTAAAGTTATGGATTGGATTCCTATGGACGGTTCATTCTCAAAGAATACAGATAGTTCAAGTGCAACATTTACAGCAGCTTATACGCCTATTAATGTTAAAAGTATTTGGGCACTATTTAGAAAGAAAGACAACTATTATGTTAATTTTGAGAACCCTAAGTTTAAATATCTTCAGCTTTCCATGGGAGCTTATGGAAATATGCCTGCAGAACCTGAAAAATCATATGGACCTGTATTTTATGAAATGGTTGCGAACGCTTGCAATACAAACAATGATATGATTGGATTTAATGAAGATGTTATGAGGTCATTGGTGGATGATGGTAGTGTGGAACATAAATGGGATAGCTATGACAACACACATTTCTTATGTGGTTTTCCAACAGAAGTGGACTTTTGCTTCCAGCAAGGTCAAACATCTACTGCTCCAATAACATACAAATTGTCTGTTAAAGGACCTATTGAACTAGCAACTGAAAATGTACCAAAGCCACTTATTGGATTTATGAGGGATTGTTGCTTTGCCATTCAGGTGCGTGCTAATGGAATCCCAATAATAAGACTTGACGACTATAACTTAGCAACTGACGACAGTGAGGAATAAAGGATGAACGTTTATTTTTAAAGCTTATAAATGAGTTCTTCATCAAGCTCTCGTGAACCTTCACCATCTATGAAACAAACTTTACCAAACGATTATGGAGCACCTATTGAATATTTCTTACGAGCTACACAATGGCAAAGAGCAGTCTCACCAAGGTTAGGTGTTCCACCAGCTCCTGTCAAAAATAGCATTTGGTCAAGTCCTTATATAAAATATGGTCTCCCACTAGGTTTGCTAGCTACAGCAGGAGCAGTTATGATGTTGAAAAGAAATAAAGCAAATGTTGTAAATAATACTGAAGTAGCTGAAGTTAAACAAACTCCGACACCATCGCCAAAACCAACGCCTTCACAAGCAAAACCTTCAATAACTCCTGAACCTATGGAAGTACAAACTCCTGTTCAAAAGTCAACTCCTAAACCGACTCCAACATTTAAACCAGAACCTACTCCTCAAATAAATCGTAAAACTCCTGCGTTTCCTTACTGAAAAAATAACGTTATTTTTATTTTATTTGAACATTTTTATTTGATTGAAATGACGACTAAAGTCACTGAAGCAATGAAACAAAAGTTTTTGGTAGAATACATTAAATCAGGAACTATTCCAGAAGGTTTTTACATTCATACTATGAAGGATGGTAGAGTTCAGTTTAGAAAGATAAAGCAACCATTAGATAAAGAAGGAATTTTGAGAAAGATTAAACTTCATGAGGACAACATTGCTAAACTTAGGAAGAAGTTAGAAGAGTTGGAGAAAAGAAGAGAGTTATAAAGCAATGAATTCAACAGGTTAGAAATGAGGTTAGAAAACGTGTTAGATCTAACATTCTAACATAAACATTATTTTTGTGCTATGTTTTCATACGTGTGAGGGTGGTGATATCATTAATTTTAAGTTTATTTTTTATTTTACTGAAAATTTTTATTTGGATGTAAATGACGAAAACTATTGAGATAACAAACTACAACGGTCATGAGTTCAAGAATTTGTTCTTCGTTCCTCGTGAAAATACATTCTATCAGATACGAGGGAGAAAGGGTAAAGTTAGTTTGAGCGTTTATGACAACAAACATAATGGGAGATATATAAAAGCAATAGATACAAACGGTAAGCGTGTTTCATTAGCTTTGTCAAAACTTACAGGTATAAACTATGACAGTGATTTTGACCTATATGAAGAAGAAAGTGAGTCAGAAGATTATGAGCTGTTATGTGAAGCACAGCAATGGGAAGCGCTGCAATACTTTTGTAAATGAGAACATTAGTGGGAACGTTAGTGAGAACGTTTATTTTTTCATTAGTGAAGTCGTTAGCGAAAATGTTGGTGAGCTCGTTAGTGAAGTGGTTGGCGGCTTTGTAAATATTTAAGGTTAAGTGAGTGTTGTCGTTTTGTGTTGTAAAATATACGTTACTGGTTTTGTAAATATTTAAGGTTATATTTGGTAAGGTGGAACGCAGTGCCGCCGTACCCAAGATAACCATACTAACTAATAATATGTGTTTCTATTACGCGCCTTTTGAAGGCAAAGCTTATGCGCATAGTATCAAGACATTTCATATAGACAGCACCTATAAATTGTTTCGATCAAACATTCCATTGTATGCATTTACTGGCAAAATCAAAGATTTTCACATTTTCCCTTTTTTATATTTCTTTTGTCAACCAGACACTTATCAAAACATTCAAGTTTGCGTGTGCGCCTATCTCAGATGGGTAACAATTGAGCCAGAATACATTAGCATGGACTGTGCTCCACAGATAGCTCAAGCAATAGAAGAAAGCATTCCACAAGCTCAAATACTTTGGTGCGGAGACATGTTCTTCGTGCAATTCTTCGCAAATCAAATAAGTTTTCTTCTCAAGAAAAATTTGAACAATTCTATAATTTGATGAAGGATTTAGTCTTCAAATTAGATGCAGAACATGAGGAAGAAGCAAATGCTGCCTATGATCAAGTTCTGGAGTTGCTCGACACAGATCCAACAGCATCTCAATACTTTAACAGACAATGGCGTTACAACATATCAAGATGGATTGCTCGTGACAGGCGTGAAGGCGACGCAACTAAAAATATTGCCGAAGCTCATTTTAGAACACTCAAACATGACTATTTTCCTGATCGAAAAAATCTCAGAATTGATGATGTTATTATAGAAATTTATACAAAAGTGATACCATCTTTCGTTATCAAACTCAAAATTGATCAAAATCCAGCAGATGACCGTGTCATTAGGATCATGGAAAAAGCAACTAACGCAGAAATTGATGTAAAAAGACAAAGAAAAATCGAGAGTATTTCAATGCTCAATAGATTGCTCAATGCTGTTAGTGATGACTCAATAGATCCCACTAAAATATATCCTACCTTGAAAGTATTATTACAAAGAACTCATTTTATTTAATTTTGATTTTAATTTTAGATTAAATTATTAAATTTTAATTCTTTATTTTTTAGGATTGTTAGTTTTGTAAGATTGCTTTCTCACAAGAGAAAACAAGTATAAGGTTTAAGCTGTATGTATTAAAGTTATAAATATTTGATTTTAAAAAAAATCAAGATTTTAAACTTTAAAGGTATTAATTATGATTATCTTTCTTTAGCTTTGCATGCTGTATGCTACTTTTGGAAACTGCTCTATTGTATTAGAATGTTTTTAAATTTTGCACCTAAAAATGCGTAATATTAAAAATTAAGGTATTAATTATGATTATCTTTCTTTAGCTTTACATGCTGTATGCTACTTTTGTCTTTGAGACATTCCATGATTTAAGTTAAGAAGCTTTAAAAAAAATGCAAAAAAAATGTAATAAAATAAAAAAATTCTTAGTATCGATAATCTGAAATATGTTCTTTTCTTAAGCCGCGAGCGAAGCGAGTGGCTTAGTTTCGTAATTTCATACAATTATTTTTCGAATTTGTTCTTTTTGTCAACCGCGAGCGAAGCGAGTGGCTTTTTATTTTTTAAAAAAATTTTTTTTCTTTCTTACTTTTTTTTCCTTACTTACAAATTTGATAGTAACTTACCAAATCTCTCTATCATATAATAATAAATTAATCCATTTTTTGTTTCAAATCTGACACTTTACATTTCTGACATGTAAACTAGTCACTTTTCACTTCACCTCACTGGGCAAGTTTGTGCCCCCCTCGAATTTAATAAATAGAAAAATATGAAATATGATTTACATATAGATTGCAAATGGGTTTCTACTGTTATCCATGTAATTCTAAGGAAATGACTTGAATTCAAAGGTTTGATCGGCTATTCATCAACAAATTTAGATGTGAAATAATATGTGTATACAGGATTCTTTTAAAATTGGCAGTTCGGTACAAAATTTTATAAGATTTGACAGATTTTGGATGCAAAACTGAATTTTCATATAGTATTTCATGTATGCAACCAATTTTTCACAATATTTTATAATTCGAATGGTTTTCAAAATTTAAAAGTTTACAAAAATTTACAAAATGTTTGCGCAGATTGAGGAACCGGCGAAAGACGCCCCAATCCTTGCCATCATTTGTGGCGGCACTCCAGTGCCAGGCCTCAACTCTGTGATAGCATCTAGTACTTTATCCGCTCTCAGCAATGGATGGAGAGTAATCGCGTTTCATGATGGATACGTACATCTTTCCACTGGCGATCCAGAAATAGTAAAACAAAATATGATTGAATTAAACAAATATATGGTCGAACACATTCAGCGTGCTGCAGGTTCAATTATCAGATGCGATCGATTTGATCCAACAAGAAACCCTCAATGGGTCTCAAATGTACAAGACATGCTTGAATACTTCAAAGTCAGATACTGCCTGATTATAGGTGGAACAGATAAAGTAATTTCCGCACATATCATTACTCAAGGCATAGATCCATATTCAATGAGTGTATTAGTAATTCCAAAGACTATCGATAACGATGTTTGCTTACCGTATGGGCAGTCAACTTTCGGATTTCAGTCGGCAGTTCAATACGCAACACAAATTGTCAAGAATCTCGTTCTCGATACGCGCTCCGTACCGCGCTGGTTTATTGTAGAGGTATCCGGCCGTTCAACAGGCCACACAGCTCTCCATACTGCCATTGCTTCTGGCGCACAACTCGCAATTATCCCAGAATCATTTGGCAAAAGGAAAATCGAACTATCCGACGTTCTCGATCTCCTCGAGGGCGCTATCTACAAGAGGCTTGCTGTTGGCAAAAACTACGGTGTTTGCATTGTTTCAGAAGGAATTATCGAGAACATGTCCGGTAAATCGCAACAACAACTATTTTCCAACGGATATATCAAATACGATGACGATGGCCACGTAAATCTCTTCGAAGCTGACCTTTCTAGAGCATTAACGAAAAATCTACTCGAAAGACTACAAGCAAGGAAGATTAACGTAAGAGTTAATGCTCACAAGCTTGGTCCTGAGCTTAGAGGCTGTCCACCGAACTCATTTGACGAGGTTTACTCAAAAGAATTGGGATTTGCGGCGACAGAAGGGTTCAGAACAAGACACTCCAACGCTATGGTCGTTTGGGTTAATGGACATATATATTTCCAGGCGTTCAGAGATATTATGGACCAAAATAACAGAATTTATCCAAGAAAAGTCAATATAGACTCCAAGGAATACAAGGTTGGCTCTTTCTACATGTGGAACGTGAAGAAGGAGGATTTGGCTAACCCAGAAAAGGTGAAACAACTGGCAAATTGCGCTAATATGACACCTGAGGAATTCAAGAAGAAATACACTAGAATAGTTGAAAAAATAGACTTGTAAATAATTATTTTTATATTTTTTTGTTGCAATTATATCATTTTTTTTTATGAAACCAAGGTAGAATTAAAATGATGAATCATTATGAATTGGAAAAATGTCAGATGGTAGTAAGTGCGTCTTTAAAGTTATTGACACTTGAAATAAGTGAAAATGCCAATTCTTTTAACATTTGGAAAAGTGTCAAATAAGTCAGATATAAGTTATTTAATCAATTTTATAATAAAAGTGGTGTATCTCAATTGGTAGAGAGCCAGTATAATTTAAGGACAATACTAATTCAAGCTGGAGATGAAAGGTTCAAGTCCTTCCACCACTATTTTTTTCCCTATTATCAGAAAAATCGATTTTTCTCATTTTTAAATCCAAATCTAAAATGAGTTAGACAATTGTAATTAAAAAATGAAAATGAGGGCGAAAACTCAATTCTTACTGTAAAAATCCGATTTTTTTATCTGAAAACAGAAAAGAAAGATAATAAAACAAACATTTTAATTTAAAAAGTCATAGTGACTCTATATTAGCTATTGCAGCTGTGTTTTGTTTGAAGAACTTATAATATGAGGAATCTTGGTAAATTCTTGCGAGTCCAATAAACATTTTAATGTCAATTGGCGACTTTAAGCCTAGTATCGAACATATTTCATCAATTTGTTGACTATTAAGAATATCTGAACCACAATTTCTCAAAATTTCAGAAATCATTGCAACAAGAGCAGATGTGATCTTTAAGGCTTCGAAAAATTTTCTGATGCACATATATTCCTGTAGAAAAGAGTCGGATTGTGAAATTTCTGTTAAGGCATCAACAACCCATGGTGATTCCTTAATATTAGTATAATTCGATACTTTACTATCGTTCTTCTTCAAATATTGGACATATAGAGCTGAGTTATAGTTTAATTGCTCAAAACTTGATCGAATTCTTTGACTAGGTTCTAACCAGATTGATAGGAATGCGAGATCATTGTATTGGCATACACAAGTATGCAAATTATTTGTTAAATGAAATGTAAGAAGTTTAACGAAGTTATTAAGATTTGCGAGAGTAATAACGGGGAATTTAATGTGTTTGTTCGTATTATTGATTAAATTTTGAACTATTGAAAACTGATGTTCTACAATTTTATGGAAATCGGATTGATTAAACTCCATTTTCAAAAGAATTGATGTTACTTTGTAAAATTCAATCATATTATGTTCAAAAACTTTATCTAAAAGGGCTAATTCGGCGTTTTGTGGCATATTTGTGCAATAAAATAGAGCATAATATTTTTGATCAATTGAAAAAGGAAGAATTTTAATAGATGTTTGTTCTTGAATACTAATGTGTAATATCTCACCCATTGAATTGGATGATGAACTATTAGACTCAAAAATTGTCTTCGAAATGCTAAAATAATCTTGTATCTGCTGATTAGTGATAAAACTGCATTTATTATATTCATAGATAACTTTTGGTGGAGAATTCTCGATATCTTGAATAATGAAAACGGAGTATTCTAGAGTATTTCCCATAATTAAATAATTGAAAATGATTTTGAATTGTCAAATTTTATCTTGTAATCTAAATCATTAAATAATATGATATAAATTAAATGAAAAATAATTTCAAAATTGACTTGTCACTTTTTCAGAATGAAGGATTTCAGGGATCACCACCTTAGTTTACAAAAAAATACGTTATTTACACCCTGAGTCTTCTTCTATAGATCTTTTTTAGATTTTGAAACAATGAAAAGATAGAGTATGATTAATGTATGCTATATTTAAGTTTATTCCAAAAAATGTCAATTCTATCATAGAGAAAAAGTACATTTAAGTCCAAAAAATTGAATAGTTGTAAACTAAGGCAGTGCACCCTTAATGATTTGGAAAATACTCTAAAAAATGCAAAATTATCTCATTTTGATTCGATATGTTTCCACCACCTGATTTATTGCCTTCTCTTATACCAAAGTTCATAAGAAACAGTGAATGGAAAAGAGAATCTGAGGCAGACAATGAGAAAGATGTTGAAGTATTGCACATTATAAATTAAATGTTCCAAGCTTACACATGCAAATTTCATTATGAATAACAAAAAAACATTCGTATTCTACACATGTTTAATTGAAATCAAAGTTCAAGCTCTCTTACTATGCATTATTATCACACAATCTTATCAATCATTTTTAAAAAAATAAATTGATCAATTTTTTCTTTTTAAATATTTGATATTTGTAGCATCATGCATAACTAAGAATTTGATAATTTCTGTTGATTTAGTTACGATTGCAATACCTAGTGGATAAGACAATAATGAGTATGAAAAGAAAGAGAATTTTATATGACAATGATGAATATGAAAAGAAAGAGAAAATCATTATGCAATGATGGATGTGAAAAGTGAGGGAATTCCATAAGATAATGATAAGTGTGAAAATAAAGAGAATTCTATAAAATAATGATAAATATGAAAAGAAAGAGAATAATTTTCGAGTTAACCTCAGCACCATGTTCAACTAAGAATTTGACGATTTCTGTTGATTTAGTTTTAATTGCAATACTTAGAGGGCATTCATTAATATTGAGAGTATTATATAAAATAATGAAAAACATGAAAGGAAAGAAAATGCTATAAGACAATAATAAATATGAAAAGAAAGAGAATTCCATAAGACAATGATTGATATGAAAAGAAAGAGAAATTCATAAAATAATGATAAATATGAAAAGAAAATGAATCCAATAACGCAATGATAAACATGAAAGGAAAGAGAAATTTATAAGACAATGACAAATATGAAAAGAAGGAGAAAATCATATGGCAGTGGTGAATATGAAAAGAAAGAGAATTTGATATGACAATGATGAATATGAAAAGAAAGAGAAAATCATAATACAATGATAAATATGAAAAGAGAGGGAATATTACGTGACAAATGAAAAGAAGAAGAATTCTATAAAATAATGATAAACATGAAAAGAAAGGGAATAATTCTCGAGTTAACATCAGCGCCATGTTCAACTAAGAATTTGACAATTTCCATTGATTTAGTTTTGATTGCAATACTTAGAGGACATTCATTAATATTAAGAGAATTTCATCAAACAATGATAAATATGAAAAGAAAGAGAATTGGATAAAACAATGAGAAAATTAAAAAGAAATAGGATTGAATAAGACAATGATAAATATGAAAAGAAAGAGAATTCCATAAGGCAATGACAAGTATGAAAAGAAAGAGAATTTGATATGACAATAATGAGTATGAAAAGAAAGAGAAAATCATAATGCAATGATAAATATGAAAAGAGAGGGAATATAATAAAAAAAGATATATATGAAAAGAAAGTGAATTCCATAAGATAATGATAAGTGTGAAAATAAAGAGAATGTAATTAAAAAATGATAAATATGAAAAGAAAGAGAATAATTCTAGAGTTAACATCAGCACCATGTTCAACTAAGAATTTGACGATTTCTGTTGATTTAGTTTTAATTGCAATACTTAGAGGGCATTCATTAATATTGAGAGTATTATATAAAATAATGAAAAACATGAAAGGAAAGAAAATGCTATAAGACAATAATAAATATGAAAAGAAAGAGAATTCCATAAGACAATGATTGATATGAAAAGAAAGAGAAATTCATAAAATAATGATAAATATGAAAAGAAAATGAATCCAATAACGCAATGATAAACATGAAAGGAAAGACAAAATCATAAGACAATGATTGATATGAAAAGAAAGAGAATATAATAAAATAATTATAAATATGAAAAGAAAGAGTATAAGTTTCATGTTAACATTAGCACCATGTTCAACTAAGAATTTGACAATTTCTCTTGAATGAGTTTTGATTGCAATACTTAGAGGGCATTCATTAATATTGAGGGAATATCATCAAACAATAATAAATATAAGATGGAAGAGAATTCTATCAAGCAATGATAAATATGCATAGAAGGGGAATTCTATGAAACAATGATAAATATGAAAAGAAAATATATGTAAGTCTTGTTGATATCTTCTCCATTAGAAAGTAAATAAGACGCAACATCATAATTTCCGAAATACATACTTTCTGCTATTGAATCAAAATTTTGTCCAAAATTTGATTTAAAGTACTCAGCAATTTCATAATTATGATAATCCAATGCTGCATTAATCATGTTATCAAATGATTTACCATCTTCTATCATTTGCATAAAAATGTTTGTATTTCCGCCTTGAACAGCATATTTTTCGGAATTATCAGTGTATTGAGCTCCTAAATTTTTCATGTAATTGAAACACAATTCTGATCCGTATTTAATTGCGCAATCAAGTGGTGTGATATCATAGCCTATTTCCTTTTCAATATTAAGATCTGGAAACTTACTCTTAAGATCTGGAAACTTACTCTTAAGATCATCAACTTTATCCCATGCAATATAGTAAAAAGGAGTTTCTGTTGAAAATAAATTCAGAATTTCTTCTTCCTCCATTTCAGGTTTGAAGTTTTCAAATTTGAAACCTTTATAATGAAGAAGAGTCGCTAATTTCTCATTTTCAGGTTTGATGATGTCTGAAAATTCGCTTAGTATCTTTTGGTAAAGTTCTGATAATAATTTAATATTTTTCTCACGAATTTGTGAAATAATGTCAATCAAGTAAAGTGACGTTTGGATAGATATTTTGTTAGTTGCAATGAATTCTATAATTTGTGAAGATATTTGTAAAATATTATTGGAATTCACACTACAAATGATTTTTGATGCCTGACTAGGGTATTCAAATACTTCAATTAGCTTAACGTCACTAAAATCGTATCCAATTTCATTTTTTGATTCTTCAGAACTTGGCATACTTTGCAAAAAAATTTGCTTTGTCACTTTTGATGTCAAAAAATGAAATATTTTTGGAATCACTTTTTGAATCTGTAAATGAGTTGGCAAACCCAAATTTTAGCTAAAAGTGACAGGGGAAAAAAACGTTTAGTATTAAAAAAAAAGACCGATGAGAGCTTCGTTCGAAATATAGAGGGAACTGAGAATGCGCAACCATTCTCAGGGAATATTGGATGCTATTCCCGTTCCCTCTGTATGGAAAATTGAGGTTTTCAAAGGGAGTTAAAATAATATCAAATTTATACTAATTTACTTCAAAATACAAAAGTATTTGACAGCTAAAATTAGTTACTTTAGCAAGCCTATCAATACCCTTTTACGATTATTGTTACTTTTTCGAAATAAAAGTAAAAACAAATTTATACTAATTTACTTCAAAATACAAAAGTATTTGACAGCTAAAATTAGTTACTTTAGCAAGCCTATCAATACCCTTTTACGATTATTGCTACTTTTTCGAAATAAAAGTAAAAACAAATTTATACTAATTTACTTCAAAATACAAAAGTATTTGACAGCTAAAATTAGTTACTTTAGCAAGCCTATCAATACCCTTTTACGATTATTGCTACTTTTTCGAAATAAAATAAATTTATTATCAAAAACCTTTTTTTTCTTAGTAAAAATAAACGAAATTTTTTACCTTATGAACTTTTGATGGAAATATGCAAATTTAAAATAATAAAGAAAGCCGCGAGCGAAGCGATCGGCTTAGTTCGAAGATTTTGATTCAAATCTTTGCTGATCTGTAATTCGCGGAAGCCGCGAGCGAATCGAGCGGCTTAGGTCTAAAATTTTGATTCAAATCTTTGCTTATATTCCTTAAATTCTTTATGAAACTCGCAACAGTTCCATAAAAAATTTTAAATTCTAAACTGTCGAAATTACCGATCGGTAATCACACCCTTCACGGGTGTGTCACTTTTAGCTAAAATTACCCCTACTCTTGACTGATATGATTATATCACAAACACAGTCACCAATAATTTTTTTCAGCCAAAGAACAGCTTGTGCACAATTAAAAACACAATCAATAACATTTTTTTCTAGTTTAAGGGTGCCCTATAGACGATAGACCACCCTCAGAAAAGCACTTTTAAGGTTATTATATTGAGAACTAGAATCCGGATAATCCATTCATTCGAGTTCTAATAAGGTTAATTTTGTGATGTTTACATTATCGTTATAGGGCACCCTTAAAATCATCATTTTTTTTAATGCCAGTTTAATTTTCAAATTTGAACAAGATAACTTCTTCAAGAACTCTTTTAATTGTGATCCATCTGGAAATGTTACTTTCTCTAATGTTGTTGCACTTCCTAAGAATGCGCCTTTTGTACATCTGTCTGTAAGATATTGTCCATAAATCCTTTCACAATCAACATTTAATGTAAAATCAACAACATTTGTAGTGGTTTTTAATAGTGTTCCTTCATATCCGTCTGAATCTACCATTTATTAACAATTCATATCTAATTGAAATATTGGATTTGCCTAAATTGAAATGTATTGAATTTTTTGATAACAAAAAAGACGATAAAGTCTTTTCAACGGCCCTAGAGTTGTTTATCGGCCTTATGGCAACCACTTTTCATGACAAACCAAAAAAAATTAATAAATTTTTGAGGTTGGAACATCTTTATTATAGTGGTCATTATTGATAATGTAAACCACTCAATTGCAATGTAAAGTTAACTTTACATGGCATGCTTATGGTTATATGATGAAAAGTGATGTCCGCTATAACACCCACTTTGAGTCAGAAACTTCTGTAAAATCATATCTTACTACCATTTTAAAATTTAATTTGGGAGACTAGCAACTTATCATGAAATCACAAAAAAAATACTTTTCAAGGCGAATTTTCTTCCCTAGTAGGCACTATTCAGCTATTTCGATGTGATAATAGTCTAAGTTAAGTTAATATTACATCAAGATTTCCACCACGACTAATATTACATCAAACGCATCAAAACTTCCACTAACTTCTCTTATTATTTCATTGTTCATTTATGAAGTATAGTATAGTATTGAAAAAGTATATAATAATACAGGGGTCGATTCTCCTAAGTCATTTTATTGTTGTGGATCGCCTCCACTCAATGCTTTTCAGGGCATAAATTGTCCTTCTATCAGAAAAGTAAACTTCAAAATACTAAAGTTTTTTATTATATTAACAAAGTACCATTAATTTCTGATCCTTTAGAATCTGATTTTTCGTTATTGGTTCCATCAGAGAGAGTTGAAATTATAAATAATATCGGAGCATATACAAACAACATTGATAATATTATAAACGCATCAAATATCAAATTTATGGATGATGAATGTTTCAAAATCACATAAAAGTAATAATATTTTGAAAGTTGAATAACCCACAATGCGAGTTCAATCATAAATCCAAGCCACAAAACCATAAACGCCGCAATCAGTCTTGGCAAGATTTTTGATGGAATGAAATGGCTTGCTGATCTCGTTAAAAATAAATTATAAATAATATAAAACAGAAATGTGAATATATAGTAGGAACGATCAATAACTTCATAATTATAGTTCAATATGGTAAATAAGATGCTTCCTTCTTCTTCATAAGATGTATTTTTAAATGTGAGAAATAGTGTGACTCCAGTAAAAACTAAATAATAGTATTTCAATCCTAGGCAAAAGTAGCCAATGTATCTTGTCCACCTGAAACCTATTAAAGAAAAAATTCTAAAATTGTGAAAAGAAAAATCCCAAGTAGTCAAGAAATATACGACTTTGAATAAACTATAAAGTAATTTGTAACAAATGTCATTATAAATATAGTTAACTGTGTTTATCCAAATTGTTTTTGATAATGTGTAAAAGATTGATCCAAGGCAGATGCCAACACCTGGATAGTTAACTGATTTTAATGAAAAAGACTGAGATCTAAGTGCTCTAGATATGTAATAAAAAAATGGAAGTACCAGAATTGACTTTAAAAAGACTTTAGAATACAAGTATGGGTCATCATAATTGAAGTCTCGAATAAAGGTATGTCCTTTGGTTTCATTTAAATACCAATCGAGATAATAAATTTGCTTAATTTTGTTACCCATCAAATTAAGGTTTATCTTTCACACTCACAATTTTGAATACCCCTCTCAACATGAATTTTCAATCCATGCTTCTATGATATATATAATACAATATCAAATTTGAAATATTCTCAATTATTCAGTACATATTGAAATTAATAAAATGGTTTAGAAAATACATTACAATTAGTTTGAAATTTGATACCATAAAATCCCATTATTCAAATTTGAGTTTAAATTGAAAAAATAAAAGTTTGTGAAAAAGTTCAAGGATAAATGAAAATAATTGTATCTGTTAGATGGTATATGTTATTTTTTTGGAATAAAAAATTATTGGGTCACTTGATCTGTGTCAAATGACACAATTTCGAAAAAGGTAGAAAAATTCTATAATTCGGTATTTAATACATAAAAATAAAACTATTAACACAATAAAATACACTAAGAGTTTCTTATTTTCCCATTTGTTGCTTGTAATACTCAATTAATTTTCCTGATTTCTCAAGCGCATCTTCTAAGCGCTTTCTTTCGAGTTCTTCGATCTGAAGACGCTTCTTAACTTTCATTAACTCTGTTCTAAGCATGAAATTATCAGTTCTCAGCCTGACAAGTTCTTCATTTTCGGATGTTGCAGGAGTAACAGAAGCCTTTGGTGTTCCAAGCTGCTGGGAGGCAGAAAATTGTTGCGATTGTTGTTGTGATGTGAACTGTTGTGTGGTCTGGAACTGAGCAGTTGAAAATTGTTGATTTGTTGAGTATTGTTTAGTTGAAGCAAACTGTTGAGTGGAGGAAGCTGTTGCTGGTGCAACTTGTGGCTGTTTTGGTAATCCCTGACTTAATTTCTGCGATGTTGGTAAAGGAGCATCGTATAAATTAGATGAAGACATGTATTTATCATCAAGAATAGAATCATCGTACATATTGTTCTGAGAATCTTTAGTATAATTACTTGTTGGTAAGTTTTGGCTATATTGTTTTGGTGAAATTGGAATATCGAAATTATTTGGAGATTTCGGAGGAACAATTGGTGATTTCTGTGGTTGGTATTGTGGAACAGATGTTTGTGCCATTGATGTATAGCTTGGACGTGGTTGGAATTTAGATGATGTTGGTTGTGAAGGTTTGTAGTCATCAATATCCGTTTTAATACCACTATCAAATGAAGGAGCATTCATATATCCTGAAATAGATGAGTTCATGTCGAATGAAAAACTTGATTGAGTTTGTGGCTGATAAGTAAAGCTTGGATCTTTATGAGCGTTCCTAAACTCTGTAGCTGGTGATTGTAATACGGATGATTGTGATTTTGAAGCTGGAGAGGTAAAATCGTATTTTGCTGAGGGTTGAGGAGCTGATTTTGGTGGCATTGGTGATGTATTGAACTTTGGAGATGATGTTGGTGAGCTATTTCCGGATGATATCGATTGAATCTTAGAGAAAAGATTATCAATATCAGCTTTGATATTTTGTAATTCTAGATTGTCTGTTGAACCAAGTTTATGCTGAACAGGTTGGCGGGACATTTGTTGTTTTGGTGGTGTAATTTGTGGGGAAGGAGATTGTCGATAATCTCTCTGAATTGGAATATCTGATGGAATTTGAACGCTGGAGTATCTGTTTGTATTGATTGTCGTTTGGGTGGGTTTATAGTCTCTTTGAATTGGGATGTCTGGAGAAATCTGTACACTTGAGTATTTTGATGTGCTGGCTGATGATTGAGATGGTTTGTAATCTCTTTGAGGTAAGGTATCTTTAGGAGCTTGTATATTTGTATATTTACTTTGTGGAGGTTGGTAAGTTTGTGGTGCGATGGAACTTGGTCGAATATTCGGTGCAATAGTTTCGCGCTGAGGTGGGATTGATGATTTCTGAGCATCTCTTGGTGATATTGTATCCCAATTAGGCCAAATTTGCCTGCATTGGTCATCTAACAAAGAAAGAGTGGCACTTGAGTTATTATAATCGTCAAGGTTGCGCTCTTCTTGGTCTAATATGGAGTTAATTACATCAGCTTCTTGTTGATTAAGCCTATGTCCTTGTCCAAACATGATTTTTCTTGATAAAAAGTGACCGTTTAAAAATATTTCACAGAATGTTTAACATTGATTCCTTCACTATTTACCCCAACTCAGTAAAACAAAACGATTTCATCTCATAAACATTGTATCTAATCAATATTTGATCTCTAAATCAATATGAAAAGTACCAAATTGAGAAATTCATACTTTGTACTACATGTTAAATTGATGTCCATACATAATAAAATGCCAAAACATTTCAATAATCATCAAAACGTCATATATTGAAATCCTAATTCATAATTATAAAATATTTCGAACATTTGATGTGAATATTTAATCCATCTGTATATATTAGACATTTAGGCTTATCTTTTATTTCAGAAATTTTCCAAGAAAAACAGAAAATTCAAAATTTAAATCAAATTTCAACATTTTTTATTATCAAATTTTCAATTTTGAAATTTTTTTGGAAAATATCGGAAATGTTATTCATCTCCTTTACAGTTGCTTATTTCAATTTTAAGCTTTTTGTCTCTAAATTGTTGAGAATAGAATACAATATTCTTTATTATTCTCTTTCATCATTAATGTGATTAAAATTTATCATTTTGTTCAAATTTAATGACATGTTCGATTGGAATTAGTCAATGGAGAGGAATATTTTCAAATATGAAATTTAGATTTTAAGCATTTTTGTTGTTTCTTTGTTGGTTGGAGTAAAAAAGAAGGTTTAATTTAAGATAATATATGAAAATAATTGAATTCAATAATTATTTTATTCTTCGAGCATGTCGTTCTCCTTGAGGTACTCGTAGATCTGGAGAAGTCTTGTGTACTTCTGGATACGTTCTCCGCGGGCTGTTGAGCCTGTCTTGATTGACTGGGCGCCGATGGCGACAGCAAGATCAGCGATGAGGGAGTTGCCTGTCTCGCCTGAGCGGTGAGAAACCATGACATTCTGTCCTTCCTTGAGAATGAGGGAAGCAGCTCTCATAGCTTCTGAGATTGTACCGATCTGGTTGACCTTGAGAAGAAGTGCGTTGCACCACTTGCCCTTGATACCCTTCTCGATTGTCTTCGGGTTTGTTGTGTAAAGATCATCACCGACGAGTTGAATCCTGTCACCGAGGACGGAGTTGAGGAGCTTCCAGTGCTCGTAGTCCTTCTCCTGAAGGCCATCTTCGATGGAGATGATAGCTGGGTGCTTCTCGACGAGGTTCTTCCAGTATTCGACCATTTCAGCGCCTGTCTTGAAAACGCCGACTTCGACTTCGTAGAGCTTCTTGTTCTCATCGTAGAATTCGGATGAGGCAGCATCGAGGCCGATGAAGATGTCTTCGCCTGGAACATAGCCAGCATCTTGGATGGCGGCTTCGATGATGGTGAGTGTTTCCTCTGGGGAGTTGAGGAGTGGAGCATAGCCTCCCTCATCACCAAGGTTCTTAGCGGAAACGTCGTAATCCTTGACGAGTCTTGCGCCTAATTTCTGGTAGACTTCAGCGACCATGCGGAGCTGATCTGGGAATGGGTGTGTTGTAGATGGAGCGACCATGAATTCCTGGAGCTTAAGGTTGCCTCCGGCGTGCTTGCCACCGTTGAGGATGTTGAAGAATGGCTGTGGGAGTTTGAACTTCTCTGGCATCTCCTTGTGGAACATTCGAGCAAGGTAAACGAAGAGTGGTTCATCATAAAGCTTAGCGGCAGCTGTTGCAAGAGCGAAGGATGTGGCTGTGCATGCGTTGCCACCAAGGTTTGTCTTGAGCTCTGTGCCATCGAGCTTGCGGATCTTGGAATCAAGATCGTAGAGATCCTCGAGGCGGACGTCCTTAAGAGCTGGAGAAATGATTTCGGTAACATTCTTAGCGGCCTTTAATGTGCCCTTGCCGTTGTAACGCTTTGGATCCTTATCACGAAGTTCAACAGCTTCGTTGGAGCCTGTAGAAGCACCAGATGGAGCAGAAGAACGACCGGCGAAAACAACTCTGCCGCAGAAGTTTGCGTAAACATCGACTTCAACTGTTGGATTTCCGCGAGAATCAAGAACTTCACGGCCAACAAGGTGATGGATTGTTGGTGGAAGAGCGCGAGATTCTAATAATTTGGAAAGGAAGCCAGCAAGATCTTCTGGCTTCTTTTCAAGAGCCAAGTTGAGGCCTTCTTGAAGAACTTCACGGACCTTTGATGTTTCAATGTATGTTTTGCTCTCAGCAACCTTATCAGCTGACATTATAAAGTGGCCATAACCGCTCATTTTTGTCAGCCCTGCCTTCTCATCACTTCTTATTGATTTAGGATATGGATTATCAAAAAATGCTAGGAGGATTAAAATTGGCCTCATGAGGAAATCATCAGATTTAGGAAAAATGGGAAGCACCATTTCGGAAACATTTAAGCCAAGAAATATTCTATTCACTAATTCTGTGTAATAGATTTATTAATGGAAAATGATTTTAAATGATTGGTTTCAATACTTGAATTTTGATCTTGCTCGTTGATTCTTAATCTTGTGGGTATTGACTTATTTCCTACAGGCAGTGATGCTTTTTTGATGCAACAATTGATGTTTTGCATATGTTTTAATTTTATAAAAATTATTTTTTATAAGATTTATATACAAACAATTTTATTACAATACAAGTTCAATAAACTTCTTTTGTGTCAGTGTGACTGTCTGTCCATCAATTGCTAAAACAACCTTGGGATGTACAAAAATTATATGAGCTTTAACATCTGGATCAATGTTTAATGATACTATATCGCCTATTCTGTATGTTTTCTGATTAACAGTAATAGCTTCTCGATTTGCTTGAAACTTCCTTAATTTAGATTTTTCGATGTCATCCGAAATCTCTTGTTGAGTTAATTTTGGTTTTGTATCTTGAATATTTGGCGGTAAATTCACTCCTTCAGTGAATGAATCAACTTTGGATATGATCGAAAATATTGTGGGATTTTGAGAAGCAAAGTAGTCGTAGCATTCTGGAAATGATTTCTTTAACATGTCAACGCGAAATCTAAGATATTGTTTATATCGAACTCCAATCATGTTTTCATAATACTCGTAATCGCTATTACTGCACTGAATTGAATTTTCTTTTTCATCTTCTGAAAACTTAATTTCTTTATTCCTCCATTCTTCGAGTTTTTTGATCTGATCATCCGAATATTGATCAAATTTATTGAGATAGTTAATAAATTCTTCATTAGTTCCCATTTTCAAAAGGTTTACTTGCTCAAAAATGTATAAATACTTCTTTTTCAAGCTTTCAACTTTATTGATATCAATCCCTTGAGTCATTTCTGAAAAAATGAATTAAGAAGAGTAGCCACTCATACACAGAAGTTTAAATATAAATGTATTAACTGTTGGAAAATCAAGAATAATCCTGACAAATAATCTTCTACGGTTCAGTACAATTCTTCTATGCAAAAATTGTATTATATAATAAACTAAATAAAAGTACACTAAAACTGTAAATGAGGATGACGATAGCTTTTGTAGACAAACGATAAAAGTGGATTTTGGTCGGTCCTTTTTGAGAATGTCACTCAAGCAATATCTTGTCATTGGTCGCCCATACCCAACAAAGGAAATTCCAAACCCACCAGCTGTCCGCGTTCAGGTATTCGCTCCAGATGAGGTCATTGCCAAGTCCAAGTTCTGGACAGTTGCTCAGCGCATTGCTCGTCTGAAGAAGGCTCACGGTGAAGTCCTTGCCGTCAAGCACGTTATCGAACCAGAACCAACACGCGTAAAGAACTACGGCGTTTGGCTCTCCTACCGTTCAACACGCAACCATCACAACGTTTACAAGGAGTACCGTGACACAACAACAGAGGGTGCTGCTACAAAGATGCTCGCTGAGTTGGCCGGAACACACGATGTTTCTGCCGATAACATCAGCATCATCAAGATTGCCGAAGTCGCTGATAAGGATCTTGTTCACAAGAACATTTCTCAGTTCACACACGAGAACATCAAGTTCCCAATGCTCAAGCAGTCCATCCGCGCTCCAACAGCTTCCGCAAGAAAGGTCTTCGCAGCTACCCGCCCAACAGTCTGTGGCTTCTAAAAATAAAGGTTATAAAATACTATTATTTAGAAAGTACAGATAACAAATCATAGATATGAAATTTCTCAGGATAGAATTTTTTTTATTGAAATAATCCTTTCTTATGAAATTTAAAATAATAAAGATATTCGCAAGATATTATTTTCATTAAATTTGGAATCGATAATTCTCTCCTTTCATGATTCAACAAAATTTATTTTTTGAAAGTTTCCCTGACCTGGAATTGCTTATGGACAGAAAATATTATAGAGAGAAAAGCATGAAGTTGATAATTTTGGGCACTTTTACGAAATAAAAGTATCAATTTGTGATTTATTGTAGATATAATGAGGAAATTAAACTAACTACAATGGTTGGAATCAAGTTACTAAATTGTTTGTTATTAATCTGAATATAAAGCAGAGCAATTAATAAAGAGTTATCTTGAAGGATTCGAAATCTCCCAAGTGAAATGAAGTAAGATTTAATATTTATAAAGAATTATGTATAATGTGAAGCGCCGTTGGCCCAATTGGATAAGGCGACTGCCTACGGAGCAGTAGAGTCCAGGTTCAAGTCCTGGACGGCGCGTTTTTTCCCTATTTGCATCATTAAAAAAATTAGAAATTTAAAGATTCATTATGGAGAGTTATATCATGAGGTTTCACAACTTTTTTTGAACAATTAATTTGCTATATAAATAAGATTTATTGTATTGTCATAAAAATGGAGAGTAGATGCCCAAAAAGATTGAAGAATTATGTGTATTGAAAGTATTTCTTAAAATGACTTGCAAGTCTAAAATAAGTATAATCTGTAATTACTTCTCTGAATAGGTATTATGTTAATTTACCTATTCTATTATGCACCATTAGCTTTTGGTATTTTTGTAGAAAGAGTTTAATGAGTTAATAATAAAAGTTTTAATCAACATCATATGGAATCATAGATCCTCATCTAATTATAGGATATATAGTTCCATATTAACATTTGTGTGCGCCATTTTTTTTATTTTTTTCCCCTCTAGAATGACACAATCATTTCTTTTTTATTATAGAGTTAAGAAGTTTGGATATCTCTACATTATTATTTCTTGTCGCCCGATCAAGAGCAGTTAGTCCAATTTTATCTTTTTCATTGATGTTTGCACCATGTGAAATAAGAAGTTCAGCTGTATCTTTGCTGTTTTTATCGGCCGCATAATGAAGAGCAGTTAGTCCAATTTTATCTTTTTCATTGATGTTTGCACCATGTGAAATAAGAAGTTCAGCTGTCTCTTTGCTGTTTTTATTGGCCGCATAATGAAGAGCAGTTTTTTCAAATTCATCCTTTTCATTGATATTTGCACCATGTGAAATAAGAAGCTCAGCTGTCTCTTTGCTGTTTTTATCTGCTGCACAATGAAGAGCAGTTTCCCCACCTTTATCTTTTTCATTGATATTTGCACCATGAGAAATAAGAAGTTCGATCATTTCTTTTTTATTATAGAATGCTGCTAGATGAATCACTGTTTCTCCATTTTTATTTTTTTCATTGAGATTGATACCATGCGAAATAAGAAGTTCAATTACTTCTTTATTATCATCCAATGTTGCAATATGAAGAGCGGAATATTCAAAATTATCGTTTTCATTGATATTTTCACCATATGAAATAAGTAGTTCAGCTGTTTCTTTATTGATATTCGATGCTGCAAAAAGAAGAGGAGTTTTTCCATATTTTTCTTTTTCATTGATATTTGCACCATTTGCAATTAGAAGGTTTACTATTTCTTTGTTATTATAGAATGCTGCATGATGAAGCGCCGTTAATCCACGTTTTTCATTTTGATTTATATTTATACCATATGAAATAAGAATTTCAGCTGTTTCTTTACAATTTTTTACAACTGCATAATGAAGAGCAGAATTTCCATCTTCATCTTTTTCATTGATGTTTACTCCAAGTGAGAGGAAATATTCACAAAAGTAAGGAATATCAAACATTGAGGAATAAACAAAGCATTTGTTAATATCATTAGTTTGATCAAAATAAACTAAAAATGAATCAAGATCATTATAAACTCCACAATAGATTAAATTGATCTCTATTTTATATTCATTCATCAAGAATGTAACAAAATCAATGTTGTGTGAGATGATTGCATATTTCATGCATTCTTTGTCTGGTTTATGATGCTTCAAACATTCACTCATGATTTCTTGATTTTCACCTAAAAATGATAATTCTAGACATGCTCTAGTTATTTCTGAATTAAATTTCGATCTTAATAACTTGAAACAATCAACAGATCCGTGATAACAACACAATTCAAGTAATGAATATTCTTTGTAATACCTCGGATATAAACTGCTTTGAGGTTTGTGAGTTTTATCAAATCCATCTGTTTCTGTGAATAATATGAATGTTTCTAAGTCATTATCCATAATTGCTTTGTAAATTGTATTTTCTGAATGAACATTGACATTTATTAATTTTTGCTTTAATAAAAACTTAGCGTTGCATATTTTAATTCCATATTCTTTATAAAACAGGTAGTTAGAAATGGCTTCAACTTTATTGACTTCAATAACATGATAATCATCAGATATATGTTTGGCGATTTCCAAGTATGACTTTGTATAGCGGTTATTATACGGAATTATGCCTAAAATATCTTCTATAACTCTTTGTGGAGGATATTTCTTTGAATCTATCATTTCTATTTTGATCTTATTGTAAATTGAGTTTAGTTCTTCTTCAGATTTCGCTTTTAACCGATATAACGCAATGTATGAATCAATATAGTATTTGAAGATGTTTCTTAATTCATTGTATTTACTTGGAAGAATGTTTTGATCAGACATAAAAAAATTAAAGTTATCAAATTCAGACATGCTATCGTGTAAAACATTTTTAGAATTCATAATAAAGAGAAATGATATTATAAACAGCAAAAAACAAAATTTTTAAAATTTATTTCGAATAATCTTTCTAGAATACTTTTTGTTAATTAACATTCAATATCATTTTCAGAAAAAGCTTAATTTGCATATAATTTCCTTTTTTACAAAAAAATATAATTATGAAATAATTAATCGAACTTCTTTGCGCGATCCTTGCTCTTGTAGTATTCTTCGACGAATGACAAGTAAGCATTGGCATCAATATCGACTGTTGGAAGCTTTGTAAGTCTTGAAAGAACTGTTCTCATTTTTTCAACGAATTCTGGATTAATTAAATCATCCTTTGGAAGTCCAACATCAGCATCGAGTGCAACAAGGACTGTGCAGCTAACGTAAATGTGGCCAAGGTTCTTAATCAAGTGAACAAGGCCGTTTCCAGCTGTGTAGTTTGGAGAGAGGCCAGTGAATGGTCTGACGAAGCCAAGGACCTGGATTTTTGTGTCTTCTGGGAGTTTGGCCTTGAATGGTTGGAATTTGAGGATTCCTTCAGAATTTGTTGGAGCTCCTTCGCAAAGGAAGACAACAGGGCCACGCTTGTACTTTCTGGCATCTGCAATAACTTTTTCGATGCGTACAAGGCTTCCTTCACGAAGATTTTTGTGACGTAAGATTGTGATCATGATATTATGGATTCCACAGACAACACAATGCTCTTCATCAACAGGGATGGCAAATACAGGTGAGAGTTTGAACTGAAGCCACAATAAATTGATATATGAAGTTAAATGAGTGAAAATAACATCACCACTTCCTGGTTTTGACCACTTTTCATCAACAAGTCTCTTAACAAGTGGTGTTGGAACAATTGAGGTCCAGTATTCACCGAATAAAATCATTACGAGATAATAAGTGATAAATGAATGCGCTCTAGTATAAAATCTTCCGATAAAATGGATTGGGAAATAGTACGAAATGAGTAAATTAATCCATGACTGAATCATAATGAGAACAAAGATAGTTAATTTACAAATACCAAATATCCATCTACCGATAGTTGCTATTGTTGATTCTGGCTTTGTTCTCGGTAAAAATGGTCCGACACCACTGACTTTGTCACGCCAAGCGCCAAACTTCTCCATTTAATGTCACTTTTCGTCAAATCACAATAATTTTCCAAGTCTGACACTTTCATCATTTTACGAGTTATCTTATTCAAAAATGATTGAAATCTCTATATATACACACACAATATATAGTTACCTCATAAATGAATATACTTAAAATCGCTTCTAATTTCGAAATAAGATAAATATTTCTGTTATAAGACATTGAATCAATTGTTTGAAACAGATAATATATAATTCCATTTTGCATAACAGTCATTAATTGATCTTATTTGATACGTTCACTAATATCACATTTATTTGTTATTTTTCTACCACTTCTTAAAGCAAATCACATTGTCTCAGAATTAGTTTCCATACTGTAGGTAGTGCATGCAAGATTTTTTATATTAAAACCCTTTTAACATAATAATATTTAAATCCAAAATGAAACTATCAATTCATTTTGAAATATAATCTTTTTGAGAATAATTTTGCCAATTTGTCTCAAAAATATAATAATACCTAACACTTTCCTCTCTTTGAATGTTCAAAAGGAAATGAATTATACAAGATTAACCTAATGTATTATCAAAAGTCTACAACCATATAATATAGTGTATATATTCAATATATCTTAACCTAATCCAAATATTTGAGTAATGATTCTCAAGATTAATAATTCATCGATCAATTATCGTTTCCCAATCTTTCAGGATAGTACTTGATATAGCACTCCAGTTTGCATTAATACCTTTCAAAGAAACAATTATTGTACTGAGAAAACTATATATCACAGAACGAATATCGAGATTATAGCAAGAAAACAAATAGCCAGGATACACGAATGCTGTAGTAGTCCAACGCATACTTATAAACTCGGCTATTATTTACTCTTCATTGTTTTTTTAATATGTGCCTGATGATATGGTGTAGGATGTTGAAATAAATACATATAAATATTACATTACCATACATCACTCATTTTACAGCGTCTATCCTAACTCCCGATAAAACCTCACAATCTTTTTAGTATTCATTCCTCATTATTACATTTTGGATATCAGAGAGATTAACAAAATAGTAATAGTAAAAGTCACTGAATTTAAATGTATTTATATAAATATGTTGCTCTTCAAATGAATTACTTTGCGTTTTTTTAAACAATAGGGATGTTCAATCAACACAATCGAAACGGATAACGATGGATAACAATAAGCTGCTATTCATTTGATATTATCTGATGAAATAGAGAAAATATTTTATCGTCTCCGTAAAAATATGGAAAATAGATTTAACAACTTGACGTTCATATAGTAGAGGCAGTATTAAATGATGTATTTGTATAGGAGTGATTGCTAACCTCTATAGAAAATTTATTATCGCAATGTCAAATATTTTTTTGTCAATAACGATAAATTCATTGCTACTGTTAGACGATATGATTATTTTTTGTGAATTCATCGTTCTTATAGTTCTTACTGGAAATTCGAATGATCTACAAATACTTCTATGTATTTATATCAAATTTTTTGAAAAATATATTTCAGCCTAAAAATAATAATGTAACTTGATACTGTATTTTCTTTATTTTGTAAATCTTTTATTATCAAAACTTCATTCAATAAAAACAATGAATTTGAAAATGATAACGACAATGAAATCACTTAGATATAAATTACAAACTTAATGAATATTTTCGAATTTTTCATGCGCCTTATTTTCAATAATGTTTTTGAATTCAGGGAAAATTCAATTAGATTGAGAAAATACATCTTATATTACAGTTTGCAAATTACAGATGACCTAGAGAGTAACAATGAACCAATAACTTTGCAAATTACCTCAGACTTTTCAGAGGAGTGGTAATTTTTAGTCTCAACACTATTTCAATATAAGCTCCATTTTTAAACAGTTTTTATAAATCGAGCATTGAAAAGTGTGATGAGATTTTATTTTTTTTTTCAATTCTCAACGATTTATTTGAATTCTATTTTAATTTAAATTTGTTTATAAATCAATGGTTTTATTCATATAAACAAATATTCATGATTTCCTCTATTAATTTTCAAAATCGATTTAAAATGATTTAATATTTATAATTGATATTATACATTAGAGATAGCAGAAGAGTTTTTAGACCATGCGTTGTAAAATTATCACTTCATTTTTTGATCCATGCTTAAAATTCAGCAACTTACAGAAGATATCTACTGGCTTGGCGCTTTAGATCCCACGCTAGCAGTATTTGATATCATTATGGAGACAAAATATGGAACAACGTACAATGCTTACATGATTAAGACACCAGCAGGAGCAGTTCTCGTTGAAACCGTGAAAGAATGCTTCTTTGAAGAGTATATTGAAAAAGTTAAGTCCGTTATTGGCGATATTAACAACATTAAGTATTTAATTACAAATCATACAGAACCAGACCATTCCGGCTCAATCAAGAAGATAATTGAAATTATTCCAGGTCTTACAGTTATCGGCTCTAAAACAGCACTTACTTATCTTGAAGACATTGTAAATATTCCATTCCGTGGTCACTCTGCTGAAGATCTCAAGGCCTTGAAATTCGGAGGAAAGACATTTGAGTTCATCTCATGCCCATTCCTTCACTGGCCAGACTCAATGTATACATGGCTTCCAGAAGAACAAGCATTATTCACTTGCGACTCCTTCGGCGCTCACTACTCGCCAAAGAAATCAATCCTCATGAGTGAACTTCCTCCAGAGGAGGAGGACGGCTACCAGGAAGCCCTTCTTTACTACTACACCGCAATTTTCGGGCCATTCAAAGACTTCGTTATCAAAGGAACAGACAAAATCCTCGATCTCGACATCAAGATCATCTGCCTCGGCCACGGCCCAGTCCTTGATGCTCGCGTTCAAGAGACAATCGATACATATCGCAAATGGAGTGAACCAGCTCTTCCTCATCCAGGCATCGAAGTTGTTATGGTCTATGCATCCGCTTACGGCTACACAACCGAGATGGCTGAAGAAATCAAGAATGGAATTTTAGATAAAATCCCAGATGCAAGCGTAAAGATGTACAACGTCAACATACAAAACTACGGCGGCATGAAAGCCGACATTATGAACTCGATTGCTACAGCAGATGGCGTTCTTCTCGGTACAAATACGATCAATGGAGATGCAGTTCCTCCAATTTGGGATGTCGCACTTTCAATGAACCCGATCGTCCACGGCGGCAAGATTGTCACCGCATTCGGCTCATACGGATGGTCAGGAGAAGGTGTTGACAACATCATCAACAGATTCGACAAGATCCGCTGCAAAGTCGTCGAACCAATCAAGATAAAGTTCCGCATGTCCAAGAAAGAACACAAGCAAGTACGCGAATTCGGTCGCCGCTTTGCAGATTGCTTAGAATCAGGCGAAGTTCCAGATCGCGCCGTTCCAGGCAGAGTTGTCGGCGCTAAGGACTGGAGCGAGCTCAATCCTACAGGAGCAATCGTCCTTTGGCGTTGCGTAATTTGCGGAGAAATTTATGCCGGTGTTACACCTCCTCTCGTTTGCCCAGCATGCGGCGTCGGACAAGATTTGTTCGAACTGTACGAGGCAGAGGAAGTTACATGCAGTTCCTTCGAAAATCTCAAATTTGTCGTTGTCGGATCTGGCGCTGCCGCAGTTTCCGCCATCGATGCCATCCGCGCTCGCAACACAGTCGCTTCTATCACGATGCTGACTCGGGAAAAGATTATGCCGTATTACAGACCGATAATCGTCGACGCCTTGAATTCAGAGATCTCTCCAGAGAACTACTATCTCAAGAACGAGGACTGGTACACAGAAAACAACATTACAGTCAAGTTAGGCACAACAGTCAAATCAATCGACACAGCACGTAAATCTCTTACATTATCCGACGGTTCTACAATGCAATACGACAGATTAATACTTGCTACAGGCTCCCGTCCATTCGTTCCTCCAATAGGCCACGAAGGATTAACAGGAGTTTACGTAATCAGAACTTCTAACGATGTAGAGCTTCTCAAGGAAACCTGCAAGACCGCAAAGAAGGCCGTTGTCATCGGTGGCGGCGTTCTTGGCTTAGAAAACGCCTCCGCCATCAAAGATAGAGGACTTTCCGTAACAGTCGTCGAATGCATGCCAAGATTGATGGCCAGACAGCTCGATCCAGAAGCCTCCGAGATCCTCCAGGGCTTCGTCAGAGACTACGGCGTTGATCTAAGAATGGGTCAATGCGTGGTCATAAAAGGTGACGGAAAGAAAGTTACGGGCGTGCAGGTAGGCGATGAATTTATTTCTGCCGATTTTGTTGTTGTCAATGCGGGTGTTCGTGCCGAATCAGAAGTCGCTGCAGCAGCAGGAATCGAGTGCAGCCGCGGCATCACAGTCAACAACAAGATGGAGACATCAGCACAAGATGTTTACGCCGCTGGTGACTGCGCGTACATGGAGAACATAAACCAAGGTTTGTGGGCACCTGCTCTTGCTATGGGTAAAGTTGCAGGAGCAAACGCTGCAGGAGACTCAAAGACATTCCACTTCTCAATTGAACCAGTAAACATGATCGCAATGGGAACTGATTTGTTCGCTGTCGGAATTCCACCGGATTCTCCAAAGGGATACAACGTTATCTCTCAAAGAGATGAAAAAGAAGGAACAGCAATCAAGTTGTACTTCAAGGATAACAGACTGGTTTACGCTGCTGGATTCAAGTGCCAGAAACAATCTGGTTTCTTACTTAAGGGTGTTAGAAATGGTCATACTTTACAGCACGTTCTTGCTGAATTGTTTTGAAAAAAAGTATTAATTATTTAAGGGTTATTTATTTTTTTATCATTGATAATAAAATTGGATTTTTTTGGAAATGTATTTTTGGGTATCACATCATGAATTGTCAGTTGCTACATCTTCTTCAGACACATACTCTATTTATTAGATATCATTGATTTACTATTTAAGGGTCGCCTCTTTTATTCGCTTTTACAGGAATGAATTACCTATATTGTTCTAAATGTGTATACATATTTTCCACTTTGCATTAGATTTTCGATACTCAGATCTAGTCACAGTACTTTTATATATGACAGTGATAGTATACACTATTAAATATTTGATTCATAATTGCTTTGGAGAATAAGTGAAGTGATATAGTACACTCAACCATTAAAACCAGTATTGAGGCATGTTAATAACACATTTGTCTAATAATTATTGCTTATATACTTGATATTTTCACATATAGAATGTAAAAGATTGACATTGTGTTTCATATTATTGTTAGTTTAAGGGTGCACCCGTATGTACGTTTATTTGAGAGGAGGAGGATTACCCTCTCAATTTTGAGGGATTCGTTAGTTTATTTTCTCGATGAATATGCAATAAAATTTGATTTTTACCTTATCAATATACTTCATATAATATACACATGTTCATGTAAAAACTTTTTTCCAAAATCCTCAGGAATTAAGGGATTTTTGAATTTTAAGAATTTTTTTCGAATTTTTTCGAAAAAAATATTTTCAGAACATAGGGTTGTACAAACTGGCACGCCTGCTGGCACACCTTTTTTGGCCAGCTGGCACGATTTTTTAAAAAAACACATTAAAAAAGTCACTTTTTGCCCCATCTAATGAGATTTTTTTTTACAATTTTTTCCTCCTTATTTTTCAATTTAGATATGATTTTAAGCTCTCCAAATTGAAGTTTACTTGATGTTTCTTAGTTTTTATGATAATAAAATGTTGCAAAGTTGAGTTTGGATTCAATAAATTTAAGAAAATTTTATTTTACAATGAAATTATAAGAAAGGATGTTTTTATCCTATGTCAAAGAGAATACATTTGTAGATCCCGACTTTTGACATGGTTGAAAATTCCAAAAAAAAATTCAAAATTTAAAAAAAAAAATTAAAAAATATAAATTTCATGTTAAAAAATGATTTTTGAAATTTTTTGGAAAAATAGAATGTCATATTTTTATGTTTTATTGCTATTTTTACGAAATCAATAAAATATTTGTTAATTTGGCTGAGATTATAAATAAAATCTTTCTAAATCTTGCAATTGATTGCTAAAATCTGTTTTATGTATTAATTGGCATTGAGATTCGTTATAAAAGAATGCGAATTATTTTGTATGAGTAAACGTATTTTGTAAAATTTCAAATTCTCTTCTCTCATTACTTACCTTAGATCTCTCGGCTTTTAGCTCTCAGATTTCGCTCATAGAACTCAGGTTTTAGTTATGTACTCATAGATGTATCATTACTGCCCGCAGATCTCTCATTACTACCTTACTAACCAGATCTTAACTCTCCGACCTTACTAACCAGATCTTAACTCTCATTACTACCTTACTCATCAGATCTTAACTCTCATTACTACCTTACTAACCAGATCTTAACTCTCATTACTACCTTACTAACCAGATCTTAACTCTCATTACTACCTTACTAACCAGATCTTAACTCTCATTACTACCTTACTAACCAGATCTTAACTCTCATTACTACCTTACTAACCAGATCTTAACTCTCATTACTACCTTACTAACCAGATCTTAACTCTCATTACTACCTTACTAACCAGATCTTAACTCTCATTACTACCTTACTAACCAGATCTTAACTCTCATTACTACCTTACTAACCAGATCTTAACTCTCATTACTACCTTACTAACCAGATCTTAACTCTCATTACTACCTTACTAACCAGATCTTAACTCTCATTACTACCTTACTAACCAGATCTTAACTCTCATTACTACCTTACTAACCAGATCTTAACTCTCATTACTACCTTACTAACCAGATCTTAACTCTCATTACTACCTTACTAACCAGATCTTAACTCTCATTACTACCTTACTAACCAGATCTTAACTCTCATTACTACCTTACTAACCAGATCTTAACTCTCATTACTACCTTACTAACCAGATCTTAACTCTCATTACTACCTTACTAACCAGATCTTAACTCTCATTACTACCTTACTAACCAGATCTTAACTCTCATTACTACCTTACTAACCAGATCTTAACTCTCATTACTACCTTACTCATCAGATATCTAATTATTTACATATGATTTCTCACATCTCACTCAAGTCTCATTACTTACCCTATCTTTTTAACCTTTTCTGATAATTACTGAAATAACTAAATCCTTTTTTTAGTTTAATTCTGATATTAAATTTTTAAAATCTCTTTAATTTTTTGAACTACGCCTTTAATTTGTAATTGCCGATTTCACAGATTTGAACCATTTAATAAAATAACATTATTCAACTTAATCATATCAAACATGGTAGTTTGATTTTCAGATCTACATTTTAAAAACCTCTTTATTATCTTGAGTTATACTTTTATTATATAATACCTGAGTTCATAACTGAAAACTCTTAATTAGAGTACAATATTCAACTTAATCATAACAAGATTTGTTGAATTTCAAATTTGATTTATATCTTCCATCACTTAAAACTCTCACAGCTTACAATATAAGCTAAAAAGTATATTTTCATAGTAATAAAATTAATTATTAAATTTTTTACTTTTTCCTTTCCAAAACTAGAAAAAAAGGAAGGGAAAAGGGAAAAAGGAGAAAGTAAAGAGAAAAAGAAAAAAAAGAAGAGAAAAGAAGAAAAAATAATAATGAGCATATTATATAATTGTGGTCATAGGCCGAGTGGCGTGGAAAGGGTGGAGCCCGAAGGGCGACATCCTTTCCACGCCACGAGGCCCGATTTTTGGCCACTTTTTTGATTTTGGCCGCCTGCCAGGAGCTGGCACGCGGCCCGCAAAATTGTGCCAGTTTGTACAACCCTATCAGAACAGCCTTAACGGCTAAGATTTAGGAACAATGTTAAGTATCAAAAAGAAAGGAGGTCTGATATAGACAACATATATCGTTGAAAGTTGAAAAAATCTCTAATATTTGAGCCCAAAATTTCAAATTTTAATTTTTTGAAAAAAGAGGCCACCCGTATGTACGTTTATTTGAGAGGAAGAGGATTATATTTTTGAAAGGGTGAAACATTATGAATATGTTAATTATATAATAATATGTATTATTATAAAAAAGAAAAAATAAAGCACGTTAAAATTTTTCTTTCTTGATTTTTTACAAAATCTACTTAGAATTATGCAAAATATGACTAAATAATTATAAATTTCAAGTTAAATTTTAATTTTGATAAATAATTTAAATTTCAAAATATCAAGTTCAGTTCGACTATGTATGTAGTAATTCCTCAATAAAGTGCCAAAACCCTATTAAAATATATGAACATTTTCAACATTTTAATGTTTTTATTTAAAAATTTGATGGAATATGAGCTTCAAACAATTATTATGTAAATAAAAATAATTAAATATATGTATTTATTCGTATTACAACCGTAGTAAGTCGATTCTTCCTTTCTTCTACTGAGATTTGAATTTGATTTCGAATTGTAAAGAGATTCAAAGGGAAAATACTAGCGGATAAAAACTACCTCCATAAAAGGGTCATAATGGAGTCAAGTTGTATTTTTTGATATTTTTTGCTTTTCGAGCCTAAATAGGTAGCCAAGATAATGCCTAAAAATAAGGTTCTAAATTCTGAAGTTTACATGATCCTCTCGTGTGCACCCTTAATGAAAGGATCATTTAGATTTTATTTCATTTACATTGATATAAAGAATGAACTTACGTTTAGTTGACACAATCTGAAGTTTATGGATAACATACAATGACTCTTCATGCCCTTTAGAATTTTAAATTAAAGTCAAATGGACGTAAATGTTCCCTTTAGTGTGCATTTAAACACCAGAATTGCAGGTCATGTCAAACAGGTGTAAGTGCACCCTTAAAAAAATCATTTTCTTTTTCAAAACTTACAATAACATACTTAATTTTTATTACGAGTTTGGAGCCAAAGATTGCAGAAATAGAGAAAATTTCGAGTCTGACTCCATTTCGAAAGAAGGATCGTAGTACTTGATTATTTCCAACAAAGGAGCGTCATTTTCGTACATTCCAATTTTTTTCGCTTTCTCGATCATTTCTAAAGTTCCATACTCATGAGGTTCTAGAGAGAATATACATTCACAGTAATTGTTATAATGCATCAAATCCTGTGGTTCTGTCAAAATTTCTTTTGCAATTTTATCAATTTCATCTTGGAGCTCGTCTGGATCAATTCTTTCTTGATAATCTTGCTTCCAGCACAATCTAATAAGTCTAGCAATCTTGTTGTTAAATGGATCGCTCATGAACTGCTCATTATAAAAAATTGAATCATCTCGGATTCCTAATTTGATTAATTCGACTAGAATTGGCTCTACCTGGGTTACAATAATATTCCAACTGTCTGCACGCTCACTTTGACTCATCATCTCGAAATCATCAAGCATTGCAAGAGTTTCTTCAAGATCAGGGCGATCGAACTCAGGTCTTTGACTTAAAAGAACGCTTAGTCCTTTCCGTGTCGTATATGCTTGGCTAAATGGAAAAGCTTCCGTAATTATACTGTACATTATTGAACCAAACGAAAAAATATCAGATTCACATCTGCGTTCGCTCAAGAATACTTCAGGAGCTGTAAACGGGACCGTTCCATGATTCTTTGATCTAGAAAGAGAAAATCTATCAGTGGCATCATCCCAATCAATTAAATGAGGTATCATATCAGCATCAATTATAATATTATCTGGTTTTAAGTCACGGTGCTTAATATGCTTGTGTTTCATTATGGATAATTGGAAAGTTATTCCTGCGAGTATTTCTAGAGTGTATCTTTTCTTAATACGCATGCCAACGTAACCACCTGCCATAAACGCTGTTAATGTATTTCCTGGAATATAATCCATTAAGATCCAATTTGAAATTTCGCCAGGATGGTTTTGAGAGTTATCAAAAAACATAGGCGATAATGGAATCTGGAATTTTAGTGCATTGTCGAATAAATCATCTATTCTTCTGCCGCTTCTGTTGAATAATTTTTTGAGAATTCTTAATTTATCGCCAAGTTTAATAATATAACATGAGCCATTACCTCCTCTGCTAGATTTCCATATTTTATCTGCTTTTTCATCATAACATGTCCCTGTAAGTATAGACATTTTGTTTGATTGAGCAAAGGCAAAAAAATAAAATTCAATATTATAGATTCTGTGGGTTTAGTTTTAACATAATGAGTTATGGAAAAAGGAACATGTTAATTTAACAGATTCAGAGTATTTAGAGTGGTAATTCTGTGTATTTTACTAAAATAAGGTGCATACTCCTATCATTGAATGGACATAACATATAGAAAGCTTGTCACACGACAATATGCATCGAGAACTGCCGATTGTAATTCTGCTTAATTATGTTCCATTATTGCCTCTCTGCATACTCTAGTTTTAGTTTAATTGAAAAGTATATACTGTTGATCAAACTATTTTTCTTATTTTTCTGGAAATCAATTATCTTTGTTTTGAACTCCTGTGAGGAAGTATTTTATAAATCATTTATAATATCCAAATGAGGTAGTTCTAAATTCTAAACATCATATCATATTTCTCATCAATAATTGGCGGCAATTTTGAAATCTGCAGAAACATGTTCCGAAATGATAAAAAGACTTTCTTTCAAATTTTAAAAATAAATGATATAGTTTAAGCCAAAGAAATGATCAACAAATCATTCCAATTTTCAAAACTAATGGATTTCGCAGATTTAGTGCAAAATTTTATTTTCTTATGATTTGTATCCCAAACAATACATTTTGCTCCGAATTCAATACATTATCAATTTTGGCGGCATTTATAAAATTGGCTGGAGACGCCAGATTTTGTTAAAACATCCTATTGCTGGAATCGAAATTTCAACTTTTTATCCCATCTAATTCTTATAAATTTCCATATTTTGACGGCACAGCGGTTATCGCTTTTATGGTCTTAAAAATATATTTGAGAGAAACCGATTTTTTTGGCGGGCTTTAGTTGAAATGTCTGTCTTCCGTATGAGCGTCCAGGGTGGACAAACAGTCCCCATCGAATTCAAGTCATTTATGATGGTTACTATCTCTAAGGGTATCCTTTTAAGGAGACCAGATCCAAGCAAACAAGTTATCATTACAATCAAATATACACCCCTTCCAAATCAGACACAGCCTCAGACCAGCGAAACATCAGATATATTAGCAACATTCGAGCCAGGTAAGGACGAGGTCAAGATTGAAAACATGTACTATGATACAATGAATCCTAAGATAGTAGTTCCAGAAGGTGTTGAGATAAAGTTTGAGGGTAACTTCGTCGCCTCTGAATCCTTCATAGATGAGGACGAAGAGGAGAATGATGAATCCACAGAAACTCCAGAAGACGAAGAGGATGATGAATTCCAAGATGAGGAATCCGAGGCTTAAATTTTCTTTTTTTTTTATCTTAAACATTACTTTGAATTTTGAATATAAACGTATTTACTTAATATTAATATCTTTTGCTTCAGATAGTATATGTTTTGAGTATAACAAAACATCTGCCCTATCAACGGACATCATTATAAAATGAATGTCATTTCTTGATGTATTGTGCAAAAAGAATATGTTTTTCTGCCAACTTTGAATGAGTCTTTTACCAAATCAACAATTTGAATCCTCAACCATCAATAGTTATATTAAGAGAATAAACAAAGAAGGAAAAATCTTTCCGTTCCTTTCTGAATTTTTTTGAAGAAAAAACTCAACAAAGATCTGAAATCATATAGTCCAGATTCCTCTTAGAAGATTTGTGTTCTAGAATGAATGATGATGAAAAAATATGTCTATTTTTGAAATCTTTATAACATACATATAAAACAATTTATTTAAAGGTTGATCTTCGAATTTTTTCCACATCGGTCTTTATATTTTCTGGAATCTCTAGTTCTTTTTTATTTATCGGAGGGACAAATCGCCAGACTTCATGGATTGGATCTTCATAAACTTTTAACCAAGTTTCTGAATCATTGATTTTTGTGAATTCCTTATACTCGCGATTCAAGGCCAACATATAAGAGATGTTATTATCAATAAAATCTTGTGTCAAATCCGGATTTTCTGTCAAAGTTCTTCTTTCACTTTCATGTTCGAACCATTCTAGGCCATGAGAAGCTACCCATCCTCCGTATCCTTCGAACATGAACCTTCCTGCGATGTTCGAAACTGGATGATTATGCGCATCGCTACTTATTGTCATTGCTTTTACAGGAATATTCTCTGCAATCCATTCGCCGAACTCGAAATCGTTATCAAAGTAGATCTGACTGGTCGATACTAAGCAATCGACTGTATGAATACCAGCAGATAAACAAGATGAGAACAAAAGAATGGAAACAAGAGGAATAAGCTTCGGATATCTCATTAATATGACATAAAACTGCGAAACAACACATAATGCCAATGGAATCCATACGGCATAAAAAACTTTTGTGTTATCTAACTCCCAAGGTTGATATCTAATGATGTTTGTGATAAGCCAAACAATCATTGAAGGTGCGTACATGATTAATTGAGATCTTTTGAGGGTTACCCAGCCACAAACCAAAGCAATTGCTCCAAAAATTCCCAATCCACGCCACCAACAGACAACTGGGGCGAATATATTGAATTGACTGAATTTATTGGACCAAATGGGGTTAAGTTGGATGAATTCCTTGCGATTTGCTTCAAGTCTTCCCAAATATGGGGGAATTTGTGGCAAAGCCATGACATTTGCAACTATTCCGAATATAGCCCAATAAAATATATACTTTGGCCACTTAGATCTTTTATTCCAAGGAAATGTAATCGCTGCATAACAAATGGACCATTGTGCGAGGCCAACATAGGAATGGATCTGAACAAGAGGTGTAAATCCAACATAAAATGCAGCCAAAAGGAAAAATTGCCATTGTTTTTTTTGAATTCCATTGAGTAGACAAATTAAACACCAATAACAGAGAGGCATCGAGAACAATGATGCTCTTTGAGGTACGATGACGTGAAAAATCGGGTGGAACCAGTATTCATTCTGCGATTTGCCCCAATCATGGACAAAATCCATATGATCACGGGACATATCAAAGGCGTATAACCAGCCAAGACCACCAAGATTACAGAATAAAATCAAGGACAGTAAAGCCATTAAATGATTCTTCGTAAATATAAAGGAAACTAAATAAATTCCAATGACCAACGAAAAGCTCATTAAAATACTTGGGAATATTAATGATGCTCGCAGGGTGGCTTTGCCGGTAGCAATTAAAGCTGCTGAAAGGAAGTTTGGAATAAAAGGATATGCAAGCCTTGTTTTCATGTAGAAAACAGACTTAACATCGTATAAACTTTCTCGTCTATTGTTGGCTCCCCATGCGAATGATGAGATAATATTTAAATGAAATGGCAAATCACCGTATGCGGCACCTTTAACATAAGTGTTTTTGCGTAACATTGCTAGATACATTATAACGAAGAAAATAAAACCAAATGTGAGATAAGAATATATTTGAATCGCTGGCAGTGTAATTTGTGTTTGTAATTTTGCTTTATAATTAATTATTGAACAAATTGTTGCAATGCATGTCATTATGACATAAGCAGGAATTGCAGCATGTAAGTTTAAACTACATTTTGCTGATGTAATAAACACTATCCACGCAAATGTATAAAATCCTAGTGGAATCCCTGCAAAATATCTATGTATTGGATTCATTAAGTTTCGTAAAAGACAAGTAACAACTGAATTCCCAAACCATACACATAATAAAATCTGAAATGCCCAAATCATTCAATATTATAAATATTTCCAAAATTCATTCCGCACTTAGTACTGTTATTGATTTAATTTGTGATGTTTACACGTATATATTTTTGAAAACATAAAATATTGTTTCCATTATTAGATGATATATTTAATCATCTAATTAGATCAAAAAAATGTTGAAAAAATTAAAGTATCACGTTCTATATCTAAAATGTATATTATTTGCGAAGTTTTTATTTTAAAATAAACAATTTAATAAGAATTCTTGAAAGCTGCTGTAAGAGGCTGAAGTTTTCCAAGAGAAATAAGAATAATATCAACAAAATAGAATATGAAGAAACCGCCAAGGGTACAAAGCTTAACAACACCGAGAACAGGGTTTCCAAGTAAAAATCTGTCTACTCCAAAGATTCCAAAGAATATAGAACATAGTAAAAGTGTTATATATGATTTTTCTCCATCAACAAAGCATCTTGCATCTTGTACAATCCAATACTTGTCACCAAGGCACTCAATACCTTCTGCAGGTTGGCAAATAGCCTGTCCAAAGCGGTTAATATCCTGGAATTCTCCATTGCATCCGTTTTTTGGTAATGATTCGTCATCTGCATACCCAAAATAACTGTTGAATTTATCAAGTCCTTGAATTGTGCAATACCTATACTCGCTTGGTAGTCTATTACAAGGTATTCCAGGTTTTGACGTATCCCATTCAACATATTGACATACTGGTGTACCAGTTGATCTATTGCATACGGGATATGTTATATTTGATTCAGTTGACAACGTTAAAAAAAGATTTAGCATTTTTAAACAAAAAGTGACAAAAATTGAATACTCATAAATATAAGATGAAACATTATTTAATATTGACGAGATATTGCAATATCTTCCGTTATTATCTTTTCGTAAGGATGCAGACTTGGTAATTCTAATATCCTCACTCTTCATTCAAGATTACCGTGCTCAATATTGAGCCAGATAAAGAGCCACTCCATATATAATACGAGTTTGTACTCTATATACACAGATAGTACCGAAGTTCTTCTTATATTTAGGTATCAAAACATGCTTGTACTACGTTATCACTTTTCCATGTGGCCTTATAGGCGTGGGCAGCGTATTTATCGGCTTTATCTCTCAAATTTGTGTGGTTTACAAACACCCAGTGGTTGCAAGCGCTATCAAAAAAATTTGAAAAATAATTAAAATATCCAAGTCCTATATATTTATATAAGGTGTTTAGGCCGCACTTACGCCCATCCGACTTTAATTCAATTTTTTGACAACAGGCGGGAAGCGTCATTGAAAATTAACCTTAAACATCTGAATTGAAGGTCACGTCATAGGGGCGTAAGGCAATCCTAAATACTGATTCTTTTTTCCATATAGATTCCAATTTTGAATCAGAAAATTCATTCAAAAATATCAATAAAAATCAGATTTTGATTTGAAAAAATAACTTTTTAGTATCGTCCTGCGCCATGCAGATGATGTAAATTAAGTGTCCACTGTTCCCCGTATACTATAAATCTAGAAAATGTTCACCTCTTATTAACGCAGTTTTCCACCATGCGATATTAAGATACGCCTTACTTTTTTTAACTTTTCCAAAATATCAGTATCATCTTCTAAACTTTCACGCTTTATAACGTTATCAAGAGGAGTCTTATCAATTTCATTTAAAGCATTTACATCGGCACCATGAGAAATTAATATTTCAACGAGTTTGATATTATATTTAACCGATGCAACATGAAGAGGTGAATGGGATTCCTTAAATTTTGCATTGACATCTGCGCCATTCGACAGTAGAAGTTCAATCAAATCATTGAAATCCATTGGATTTCTAAGTTTATTCCATAATTTCATTGCTAATAAATTTATTGCTAAGTATTCAATTTTATCATCAATAAATTTCGATAATTCTTTACAATCATGCATTATGGCATGATGAAGAGCAATTTCCCCATTCTTATCTTGCATATTGATGCTTGCTCCATGTGATAACAGAAATTCAGCAATTTCTTTATAATGCATAATTGATACAATCATAAGAGGAGTTAAACCCCTATCATTCTCATTATCATTTATATTTATTCCGTGTGAAATCAGAATTTCAACAACTTCAATATTTTTATTCAAGCAAGCAATATGAAGCATTGAAAAACCAGTATTTTTTTTTCTCTGAAGTTGACATCTGCACCATGTGAAACAAGTAACTCCACCATAACAGTACTGTTTGAAGAAACTGCATAATAAAATGCTTTTTCATCCATTTCAATTCCTTTTGAAATCAAAAATGATGCAGTTTCTGTATGATTTGTAAGAACTGCTATATCTAGAGTTGAATCACCATCTGTGGACATAGAACTCATATTCGCACCATTAGCATACAAATATTCACAAAAAGATGGAATATTAAAATATGGAGAAAATAGAAAACAAGTGTCCAAATCATTTGTTCGATTTAAATAATAAATAAATGCATGAAGATTTTTGTATTTAACCATGCATTTAATTCGAATTTGAATATTGGTTTCGAAAAATAGTTTCTTAAAATTATCAATATTATGTGATTGAATTGCAGCTTCCATTGTTTCTTTATCAGGATTTTGTTCTTTCAAACATTCATTAATGATGTATTGATTGCCTCCTTTAAATGAATTATCGAGACATTTTTTGGTGATTTCCATGTTAAAATCATCTTTTAATAACTTGAAACAATTAATTGCTCCTCTCAAACAACATAACTCAAGTAGCTTTGTTAAATCATATGCCTCATTATTTATGAAATTTAATAGTCCTTCTACATCATCATTTATTATTATTTCTTCATATGAAAGTATAATTGGAACAAATTTCTTATATAAATCATCAGTGAAATTATATTCTTTAAATATTCTTTCCATTAGATCAATATATCCTTGACTATAATGTAAATTCTTTTTCCAAGCATCTGTAATCAAACGAATCATCTCTTCTGCTGCAAAATATCCAGTATCAATCAAGTTCTTCTTGACATCTTTGAATAGTTCTTCTGTTGAGTTTGTTTGATTTGAGTCCAATTTATATATTGCATCCCATGTATCAATATATCCCTTGTACTCTTTCATGAGTGCGCTATAATGGTCTTTTGCTTGGATCAATTTCATTAGTTGAAAAATTAAAATGATAAGCATTATTTTGATTGATAAACACTAAATGACAAAAATATTAAAAATCCAAAATTTCCCAACTTTATGTATGATCATTCAAAATCATACATAATGTTGTAAATATATGGAATACACATTATGCTTATTATGAATGATCACTTATTTCCGTTTGAGATTATTTCCAAAAGCATAGCCTCATAGGGCAATAATGGAAGAGCAAAACAGTTCATTTACACAACTCATGCTGCATGGAATATGCTTGCATCTCGAGTGATCTCCAGTATTGAGTTTTTTTTTACATTATGAACAAAATATCTCGATTTTTATCACCTGATTCTTTATCAGAATCAACATAAATATGATATTGTGAGAATTCAAAATGATCTATTGTTGATGCCCCATTAAGTGGAATATATCCAAAATGATCATTGTTAAAAATTTTACTTTTCTTCCATCTTTATCATTTACTTCTTTTTTATTTCTAATTGATAGTATATATATTTAACAACTTTATGGTCAATTATTGTTGCCCATTTAAAGGGCGTATATCCAAAAAAATCTTTTGATTTATTATTAACATCAACAAAATTAATATATTGAACAACATCAAGATTATCTAATGTTGATGTCCAATTAAAGGGTGTTTCTCCAAAAAAATCTTTTGATTTATTATTAACATCAACAAAAATAATATATTGAACAGCTTCAGGATGAGAATTTATTATTATTTTTGCTTTATTTAAACTCCTTATCCTTCGTAAAGTCTCTTATTCAAATTTTTGATAGAGATTCACTCAATATTGAGGCAGGAAAACAATAGTGAGACATTAAGAAGAAAAATGTGTTTATTACACCTAAATTTTATGAAAGACTTCAAACTTTAAATAACAAATATAAAAATAAACAAAAAATATACTTTATTATTATCTTAATTTTTCGAACATATATATTAAAACTGTATCTGCACATACTTGGCTCGCTTTATGTGCAATAAGAGGATATAACTTCTTGAATTTGTATTTAGTTGCGAGCTCTGAAGCATCAGAAAGGAAATTGTAGTCAAGAAGTAAAAGACATCTCGTTTCAGGATCATTTATAGTCTCATTCAAGTAGAACGGGATCTTAAACCATTGATTTTCACTCATTAGCAAATTATCAAGCAAATTTTTGATAATTAAATGAAGAAAATCTTGTGAAGAGAAAGTTTGCTTCGCTTTGTTGATTAATACAACTCCTTCTTCAGTTGGAAATTCACAGATCTTCAAACTAATCTTATTGTATATCTCCTGCTTTGTGAATGAATATAATTCACAAATTTCGTTAATTAATTTGAAATATCCATCGAGACCAAGCATAACAGCTATGTTCTCAGCATTATCATCATTGATTATTGTAGATAACGCGTTAATTAGCTCTTTGCTCTTTGAATATTTCGTAATTTCAAACATCTTCATATGCAAATGAACTTCGCTCATTAATCGATTTATTTGGGCTTCACTGAGATCAGAAGGTCTGAATGGGAAGCTGTCGTCGACTTGGAAATCTCCTCTTCTGATATTCAATGCTTGTCTAAGGAGTTCTTCGCTGTTATAAAGATATTTCAACTTCCAGCTATACTTTGTACTGTTATTGAAGCAAAATGTGGCTGCGATGGCCGCATCTTCCAACCAATTCACTGTAATAAGGAAAGTTAGCAAGGAACAGTACATGGAACGTGATCTAAAGAAGTCAATAAGAGCTAAAATATAGGATTGGACAAATGAAAGACCTGGATCAAACTGATATAAGATTGTCGAAATATTATTTATGGAAAATCTTGAAATAACAGGGTATGTGACATCTTCTATGAATATCTTCGAGGCATTTTCGTCTTGTGGAAGCGAAAATAGTAAGTTCACGGCTAATTCGAGGAAACCACAAGAACAAAGTACATGAATTGCACGATTTGTTGGTCGTACGAAGTAGGAAACAAATGATTGAAGGTCGCTTTGCCTCTTTTGAGATTGTTTGGGTCTCTTCAAAACGAGATCTCTTACAGTTTGAAGGAAATTGAAGGAAGGAGCTGTTAAGCTCTGGATATTCATCTTAAGAATATCTTGAACTAATGAATCTGTTACACAAAGCCCGAAAAATAGTGAACTCATGATGTTATCTTCGTTAACTGTTGTAAATTGAGCCCAGAACCTTGAAGCATCGGCCACTCCTAAGAAGAACGTGATATCAAGCCTCTTTGCAGCATGTTCTTCAAATGAGATTCCGAATGTAGAGCATACTTGAATAGCATCTTGGTCAAATTCATATTTAAACAAGAAATCTGATATATTTCTAGCGAATGATTCGGTAGGATAGTTCTCAAATGAGTAGCTCACGTTAAATCTCTGGAAAATTCCAAGATTAATTACTTGATTTATGCAATCTACTTTTTCTCGCTCTTCTTCAGACATTGGGAACTTCAATAATTGCAGGATTAATCTTTTTGCAGACATTTCATCAGAAATATTTGTAACCGAAATCGAGGAAATTTCCCTGACGATTATTTCTTGTATCGTCTCATTGAAAATTTTCTTTGATTCGGGGAACCTTTCACAAAGATCGACATATTTGGGGAATAAGTTCTTAATCATATCGACGCCATGATACTCAAGCAGTAGTTTTCTGATAGAGCTCTGGAATGACTGCGTTGAGAAGTCGAAATCACTGTCATTTTTGCTAATTTCGGATAAATTCATGAGAGTTCCAAAGAGATTCCTATATTTCGATGGACAGTATCTAAGGAATGTGCTATGAAATGATTGGTCGTTTTTAAGAACTTTGAAAACACTTGATATCTTGTTCGGATACTTTTGAAGGAGAACTGATAGGTCATTTGGCATCTTAATGAGAGTTTCGCATATGAACTTGAACGAATTATCTAACATATCTTCGTTAATCATATATAACAGATTTTCGAATGGAATTTGGCTTCCAATTGTTTGAATACTCATTGGAATATCGCATCCTTTGATGTAATCACCAATAAGAGGGTTCTCAAACTCTCCAACAGAAGTCAAATTGAAAATCGTGATATAAAACAAGGCCAAAGGTGGGAAAACTTCATATTTTCGAAGTTCTGAAGCTGCTCTGATTCGAAACGTTTGATAATCCCTCTCAATAAGTTGCTTAAATTCGTCTTGATCAACTTGGTAAACAATATCATCAAGAATTGACGGATCAAACTTATGACTACCTAACGAGGATCTCAATAAAACAAATAATTCTCTTTCTCTTATTTCAAAATTAGAAATTTGGTTGATAAATTTCAAAGCTTCAGCAAATTGTTCTTTATCGATCAATGTTTGGATCTCATCTAAACCTATTTCATGAAAATTTAGGGTCTGAATGTACTTCTTCATTACATTTCCGATGTTGAGTTTTTCGAAATTCGGAAGAACAGAAGTATTTTGAGTCATAGCAATTGCCAAGCATTCTGTTGGATATTCAGGAGAGAATTCGCTGATTATTTGGTCGCTCAATTTGACTTTATCCAGATGATTCAACCAAAATCCGAAAATATCGAATCCGTAACTCATAAATCTCTTCTTTGTTTCAGATATATCGCCTATATTAGATACATCTAAAAGGATTTCAGTGATCGGTTTGTCTTGTAAGTCAACATTTTTGATTAAAGACAAAAAGTCCTGGAAAGCAGTATAATTCGGAGCAGGAGAGTTAAAATCACCAAGTATATCAAGCAAATTATGACCATTTTGGAGTCTTTTTTCTTGTAATTGCCCAATTTCGTTCTCAGCAACAATTTCAGTCAAGTTATTGCGGCATTCTGGTATGAAGAATGCGGATTCGAGCTTAACAACATCAATTTGTTGCTTACTTAAAATTTCGGAATTTAATTTTTGTCCAGATTTAAGTTTTGAGATTTCTGCAGCAATAACATTGATTTGTGTAAGCTTTTCATCATTACAAGCGATCTTTCCTGAAGCTTCAAATTGAGATCTTCCAATAAGTTGGTAAAACAAAGATTTTCTATCGATAAATGCAGCAGAAATGGTCGAATATCCAATTCTATATGCTATATTATCAACAGATATAAGCAAATCAAGTATTTCTTCTTGATCTGATAATTTTACCAAAATTTTCAAAATTTTCTTTGCCAAAGCAAGGATACAAAGGAAGGATCCATTGTTTTGTATGAATAAACACGAGTAAATCGCAGAAATTGTCGATTTTCTGGTATTTTCATCTTGAATTTTTCTTAAATCATTTTCCATCACTTTTAATGAAGCATCGTAAGCAGAGTAGTCATCAGTCTTGGCCAAAAGAAGCTCCAAAACATTCGAAATTGCCATATACGCGTGAATAAAATCAAAATCAGTATTTCTTACCGAATCTGTGATGCTAAACAAGGATTTCTCGAGTAATTTGGTCACATACTCAGATGAGAAGTCATATTTGAGTAAATAAGGAATAGAATACCTTGTCAAATCAGAATATGATAATTTTTTCTTTTGAATTTGAGAAGAAATGATCAAAAGCTTCAGATCATTATATATTCTGTATATCACATCAGATGCAAGTGATGACAAGTTATTATTTGCCTTAATTATGTTTTTAATTTCTTTCATTGTTTTTATATCTCCGCCAATGTATTTTATTGACGCTACAGCAAACCAAGGAAGTATTTCAGGCATAACCTCGGCAATTTTCGTAAAAATTGTAGTGTCTTTCTCATTAATTCCAAAAATATATTTTTGATAAGCGAAATCAGTAAAATTGGTGTTTTTGAGTAGACAGGAATGCATAAGAGATAATATTAATCCATCTTCTCCACATTCTGGGAACGAATTCGGATAGAGAAATTGATTTCCAAATCTGACTTGGAAAATTTGAGAAATTTTTGGGAAGATGTAGTTGGATGGTAAGGAGAACGATTGTATAAATGAAATAATTTTCAGTTTTCCTTTGATTAGGAATTCATACGGTGGATTTTCGTAAAATGATAAAGCACCGAATCCATATTGCGAAAACATCATATCAATAGGTACTAAATTCACAAGGTTTGCGATGTATGGTTGAATGGAGTGCAATAGACCGTGGTTGACAAATAATAAATTGAAAAATTGAAATATTGATGATAATTCTTTGCCACTCAGCTTCTGAAATGAAGAATCAGTTAATGATTTGTAAGTTAGTTGATAAAATAAAGGATTTAATCGCTTTATTGTAAGGAATAATATTGCTGTGTCTAAATTTTCATCTTTGAAGTCATATTTTGCTAAAAATGACTTAATTGCCCAATATAAATGCGTATTTGTTTCTGAATCGTTTGCATTAAGTAATTTTTCATTCTTATAAATACTATTTAAAAATTCTTTAACTTTTGATGCTTCCTCCATACCAGCATAAAGCATGAACATTGATAAGTCCATGTTTTGAAGATAGTATTCAGCTTCAGCTAACATGTTATGGAGTTTCAGAAATTCAGTGCATACATCATCCATTTATGATCAAATTTTTTATCAAAAGTTTAACAATGAGAGGAGTTCATATGTGGAGTATTTTCAACACATTTTTGATAGATGGGAAATTGACATTTTATAAATATTTCCGAATTTATTGAAAAATTGAATACATTTATGAACATCCACGTCAAAATAATTGAAAAAGAACGAAACAAAATCTCAACACATATAAATTATATTACTTTCACAATTAGTTTCTAACACATCTCATTAGCACGTAATTCTTACATTCCATCATAAAAACTTATATATACATTTAATACATCCAATAACTATCATAATTAGAACATTAAGTTATTCATACTTATAAACTTGTATTTATTAAGGTCTAAGATAATAATATCATTAAATTACAAATATGATGCAATATCCACACATTGTAGCTATATACACCCTTAATTTAACAACAATCACTATCTTTTTCTTTCTAAATTCATATTTAGCTTATTTTGAATATATTAGCATCATATACATATATAATATATTACAGTATACATAAGCAAACATTAATAACACATAGATTAATCATATTCACTCTTATATCTCAATGAAAATCATGTTTTTAAATATATTTAATCATGTTTTTAATAAGCATAATGTGTATTCCGTAGTTTTACAACTTTATATATGATTTTGAATGATCATACATAAAGTTGGGAAATTTTGGATTTTTAATATTTTTGTCATTTAGTGTTTATCAATCAAAATAATGCTTATCATTTTAATTTTTCAACTAATGAAATTGATCCAAGCAAAAGACCATTATAGCGCACTCATGAAAGAGTACAAGGGATATATTGATACATGGGATGCAATATATAAATTGGACTCAAATTAAACAAACTCAACAGAAGAACTATTCAAAGATGTCAAGAAGAACTTGATTGATACTGGATACTTTATACCAAAGCAGGTGACTAGTATGATTATAATGAATTGCTTCACAAAACTACATTATCGTCAAGGATATATTGATCTACTAGAGAAAATTTATAAAGAATATAATTTCTCTGATGGTATTGATAAGTCATTTTTTGAATTTATACCCCCAGATGAAGAAATAATAATGAATGATGATGTAGAAGGACTATTAAATTACATGAATAATGGGACATATGATTTAACAACGCTACTTGAAAAATGTTGTTTGAGAGGAGCAATTAATTGTTTCAAGTTATTAAAAGATGATTTTAATGTGGAAATCACCAAAAAATGTCTCGATAATTCATTTAAAGGAGGCAATCAATACATCATTAATGAATGCTTGGAAGAACAAAATCCTGATAAAGAAACAATGGAAGCTGTAATTGAATCTCATAATATTGATAATTTTAAGAAACTATATGACCTCAATACTGGATTTCAAATTAAATCGTTGGTTGTTGAAAAAAATCTTCATGCATTTATTTATTATTTAAATCGAACAAATGATTTGGACACTTGTTTTCTATTTTCTCCATATTTTAATATTCCATCTTTTTGTGAATATTTGTATGCTAATGGTGCGAATATGAGTTCTATGTCCACAGATGGTGATTCAACTCTAGATATAGCAGTTCTTACAAATCATACAGAAACTGCATCATTTTTGATTTCAAAAGGAATTGAAATGGATGAAAAAGCATTTTATTATGCAGTTTCTTCAAACAGTACTGTTATGGTGGAGTTACTTGTTTCACATGGTGCAGATGTCAACTTCAGAGAAAAAAATACTGGTTTTTCAATGCTTCATATTGCTTGCTTGAATGATAATATTAAAGCAGTTGAAATTCTAATTTCACACGGAATAAATATAAACGATAATGAGAATGATAAGGGTTTAACCCCTCTTATGATTGTATCAATTTTGAATTATAAAGAAATTGCTGAATTTCTGTTATCACATGGAGCAAGCATCAATATGCAAGATAAGAATGGGGAAATTGCTCTTCATCATGCCATAATGCATGATTGTAAAGAATTTACGGAATTTATTGCTAATAAAATTGAATTCTTAGCATATCATGATAGATATCAAGTTGTTTTGGGTGAATTTGGAAACTTCAGTGATTTGATTGAAATTCTAGTGTCGAACGGTGCATATGTCAATGCAAAAAATAAGGATTTGCATTCACCTCTTCATTTAGCAGCATTTACATTTGATTGCAAAATCGCTGAAATATTAATTTCTCATGGTGCTATTGTAAATTCTTTAAATATATATGGTGTGACTCCTCTTGATTTCGTTATATTTCGTATAAAATCTAAAGATGGTAATGATCCTGATGTTTTGGAAGAGTTAAATAAAGTAAGGCGCTGCTTAATATCTCATGGTGGGAAAACTTCGCTACAAATGAAGAAGAAAATGTAGATGATTCACAGAATCTAACCAGCAGATTTTCTTCATTTGACAATATATGATAGTATACTACAGTGGTTAGTCTATTTCTTTCAAACTTGATAGATTTCGATTTCTTTATCGTTTTCAGCCGTTCATACTATGTTAAGAGCGATATATCAATGAGAAAATCTAAACTTGTGTTTTTCCTTTAAAAATTTCAAGGAATATGCAAATTTTTGAGATCAAATCTCAGAAATGAATGATTTTCCTATTTATTTTAGAATAATTCTTTCGGATTTTTTTATCTGAATGACTAGTTACTTAAAAAAAAACATGAAAATATGAATTACAAATATATTTTACATAGTTGAATGATGATATACGCCGTTTAATTTTTTTTTCATGTCTGATCAAGACGTTCACCCAATTAAATATAATGAACTGCGAAATGTTTACAAATACTACATTGATTCATACATTGCTTTGTATCAGCCGAAATCCTTCTTTCACATGGTGCAAATATCAATGAAATAGATAGAAATAAAAAACAGCTCTTCATGATGCAACATTTAATAGTAGTAAAGAAGCAGTGGAGCTTCTCATTTCACATGGTGCAAATATTAATTGCAAAGATACACTTGAAAGAACAGCTCTTCATATAGCACCACAATTTAATAGAAAAGAAATAGTCGAGCTTCTTATTTCACATGGCCAATCGTCAATGAAAAAGATAAATCTGGAAAGACAGTTCTCCATTATGCAAGACAATTAAATAGAAATAGAAATGTACAGCCGAGTTTCTTATTTCACACGGTACAAATATCAACGAAAAAGATAACAATGGATTCACCGCTCTTGATAATGCAATATTGAAAAGCAGTAAAGAAACAACCGAACTTCTTATTTCACATGATGCAAATATCAATGAAAAAATAGAAAATAACGATTTCAAGTAGGGATGCAAATGGAATAAAAATTCGCAGATATGTCAACACGTTCTTTTTCATTTTCTTGTGAAATTAAATCCAATAAAACACAATGGCATTATTACCCTTCAATTGTGAATTGATTAGCTTATTCTAACAGTTTATTCAAAATTATTTACATTTGATGTTAAGTTAGAATCCCAACAAGTGAAAATTTGATCATTCTTGTGTTGAGATAATAAACTTCAATAATAAAATATTAAATGAAGATCAACGATGCGGAATTTGGTTCATTGTTGATCTTCATAATTTTAAGAAAATATTCTAAAAAATTCTTCTCGTTTTGCTTACATCTCCAAATTTTTGGGCATAAGCGAGATATATGAAAAATTCTAATTAATCAAATATGTTTACTTGTGCTACACTCTGCTTGTTGTTGAAATATCACAATCACTCTTATTTTAAATGATTGATATAAACCTCACAATATTGGAAAAATTGGTATGGTGATCATTCAAGATTTTGAAATTTCAAATTTTAGATTATCGAATTCAAACATAAGATTAAACCAGTGACATTAAGAGAACTCAATAATTTATGATGCTCATATGATAAGTAAACCGTGACACATCTTAGTTTTCCGAAATCAGAAAATTTGTATGAAGTTCAATATTGAACATTTGCCTTGTAAATACGTAATATCATTATGCGAGTGAGTGGTTTAAGAATATATCAATATGGAGAAAACTAGTCTCTGGAGTATTTGTGGAGATATTGCACACCAGATGAGGAACAAAGACTTTAAAGACTGATGAGGGCAAGCTGCATAGTACTTGGTCAACAATACATAAGCATTTGAACAGTTTGTTCCTTTTCTGGGGTATTTGTTCATATATTGTACCATTAATGAGATACAATGACTTTAGTGAGCACATTAATGTTTATTTCAACTAAGTTCCTAATCAATGGAATTTGTTTATGCAATTAACAGACAAAAGTTATACCATTCGATATACAACAAATCAACAATAAATATAATACTAATTAATCAATATGAACTTAAATTGTAATATCGCCCCTCATTTATTTTTACGAAATAGCAGGAAATTTACTTAATTTGATCATCGTTAACCATCAGACTTACAGCTTGGAATTCCGAAAATTTCTTTAAATTAGGCTTAACTTTCATGTGGATAAATAATCTTGCCAGATACAATTTCACTGGATAAATGAGGTAAATCAGAAAGATACTATTCATTCCAAACTTAAGCCGCTTTCTTTTCGACTCTTAAACCCTTAAAAATAAAAAACGATGAGATCGGAAAGGACAGATAACATCGTTCTTTTCGTAAATTGGTAAAAAAGAGTAATATTCGACAATAGAATAGTTTAGGTTCTCTATAAAACATTTGGAAATCAATGAATTCCTACTTAAAAGTTTTCATTTCTTGTGGCGTGGAGGACAACCTTTGGTCCGTTTTCGCCAAGTTGGATCTCGCGTGTGCATGGTGAGTTTGGATCGAAATTGTCAAGTGGAATTTCGGCCTTTCCGATTTGTTGATCTTCAGCCCAGAAACTCTTTCTGTTGTAGAGAGCAATGACATTAGAAGAACGGTGGGCGTTGTTGTAAGAGAAGTTGTACTCCTTTGCCTCAGGCTTAGAACCAACCTTGAACTCTTGGGCGTTCTTATTGAAGTTCTTTGAAGATCCGACGCAAAGTTTTAAAGTTCCTTTGTTGGCGCAACCATTTGTGTTGACAGCAGAGACTGAAAGCTTGAACTCGTTGTTAGAGTTAGAGCCAAGTAACTGTTCGTATCCATTGCTGCGGAGCATTTATTGCAAATGATATGTTTTGTGAGAAACCGCCTATTGGATAAAAACGTTGTGACTTATCTAAGTTTATTTTATGATATTAAATATTATTTTCATGATTAAATCAATATTTAGTTTGAGAGCCGATTCAAACATCCAATCATAAACTTTTCAAATTTATTAGATGCAATCAAAAATAAGATTAATGAATTTTAAAGAAATAGAATATACATAGTGTAACAAACACTTTTCTCATGGCGAGAATCTTCTATTCAAAAAGATCTTTTTCCAGTAGATTTAGAAAAGTATCTACAACGGAATGCCAATCATTTCCTATATTAATTTTTTCAAAAGTGTAAAACAATGTTTGAATTTATTCAAAAATAATTGTTTGAACGATGGAATTTTAAAATCAAAAGTTTTGTGATTAATCTATCATACATTACTCCATTTCTATAATTTATATCGAACTTTTATTTTGATAAGAAATCATTAGTGTCTCAAAAATCTCTTGTGCTAATGTCAGCAATAAACTTTATATATTAATATACTTCCTGATGATATCATCATTAGCCAAATTTGAGAAGACATACGTTTTCATTTCCTTTCTTTCAAAAATCATACTTGCCAATCAAATTATGCGCTAAAAAATTGGAGTCCATTCCAACTCCGGAAAGTCTGGACCAAATATAATTGAATTCTCTCAACTTTTTTGATAACCCTAATTTTAAATCGATAAATGGACATTAACAATTTATATCTCTCTGAAAAATGTTGAATCAAATCCGCTACATGTTGATGACGTCAATATTGTATTAATCATTTTCTTCGAAAGATTTTTTTGATGACTGACAATAATTTTTTTCTTCATCTACTCTTGTACATTTAAATAGACATTAAGAAGTTATATTCAAATTCATTTTGATTTCAAAATAATCCATGATTGACGAATTCAAATCTGAGATTACCCATTATTTTCTCATGGTTCAGAAATAGATATTATAAATTAAGAATTATTCGTATGAATAACCAATGAAATTATCAATTTGTCTGCAATTAATTTTTATTTCCCTTCCCTTTCGTCCGAAATCCCCTAAATTATATTGATAATAACTAGCTAATTCCAAAAGTACTTCTCGACAAGGATTTCCTAAGAAAATTTTCTCCCTTGATTTCCCAACGATGTCATATTCGATTTTTTTATCCAAAAGATGCATGACTGGTCTATTTAATTGTATCACGCATCTCCAAATTCTGAAAACGATCATTAACCCGTTGGCAAATTTTTGATCGAACCAGTAATTTTACTGTTTTGATTTTCCAGACTAATAAACAAACATAATCTGAAATGTATCTCATGGAAGTTACGCAGTTTGAGGAGAATGTTATCAAACAAGATTCAAATGGAATTGTTGTTTTTGAAAAGAAGTTTTTAAAGTAAAAATCGTGGCATTATTCATATGTATCATTAGGACATTTCATACAGACATTTTCAAATTGCATAATGTTAGATTTTGAAAATATTGACCTGAAATCACTGAAAAATCATTTTCAAATACATTAACAATTTTAAACACAAATAAACATAAGTATTTTATACAATATTAAAAAAATAAAACAAAATAAAAAATAAAAAAAATTAAATGAATTGTTCTGGAACTTTTGTAACCATTGACGTACCAGCGAAAAGCCATTCTCTTGGCGGCCTGTCTGTTGGCAAGTTTGTGCACCAAATCAAATTCGTTGACTCAGCTTCGAAAGTAATTTCTCCGCTGAATTCCGAATTCAATTCAGGAATCAAAGCTTGTTTATAAATCGGACAATTATAGTTCTTTTCGTTTTCTGGAACTTTCCTTTCAACAGAAACGCACAAACCAGGAACCAAAAGGAATGTCTTATGAGTATCTTTATTCGAAACACTCAATGTATTTCCTTTAATTCCTCCGTTAATCATCCACAGTTTTCTGAGAACAATTTCGTTTTTGTTTGGCTGATATTTATCATCAACAAGAGTGAAATTGAGTTGTGCCGAAGAAAGAGACATTCCTTTTGCATCGACACCTTCCATTAAGAAGCAATTCAACAAGGATTTCAAGTCGTTTATCTTTGATACATCGATTTCTTGTGGCAAACCTTCTTTGTACCATTTCAAAATGTATGCGTGCCTTTCAATCAAATCCGAAATGAATTTGTTCGTGTGAGCAAATGTCGGAATATGAGCTTCATGTCGCCATTCTTCTGGTAACATTCCACGTGCGAAATCAAGAGCTGCCTTGCAGGCACCAACTCCGTGAGATTTCGCTAAATCAAGAGCATCTTGGACCTTGAGTTTCATGAAAGAAATCATTTCATTTACCGATAAAATTTCGTTCAGCAACAAACGACCTTTTATCGATTCGTAATTGGACATTTCTCCCAAAGGAATACTTTCAGGGATTAACATCTGGAAGGATTCAAGTTTCGTCAATCCACTGCTTGCAGCAATTGCGCTTTGTGAAGGAGCAATTTGAACAAACACGGACATAACCCATCTCGAATAGTTCCAGTTCATCAAAGGTGTTGAAGTATCTGCATCCATTTTGAGGACTTCTGGGTCAGGTCTAATTGGAAGTTTCTTGATGTGGTTTGGAAATTCTTGGAGAGGAACGTCGCTGATGATTTCCCAATTGTCACAGTCTTTTGCGTTTCTTGCAATTGTGAAACCATCATTGAATGTTTCAGGAACAAAGATTTGGTTCGCGTGATCTCTTAATCTCATTAAATCGAATTCATCATAAACATTCGCGAAAATGAAATCAATCATTTGGTTTCTGATATTTCTAATTGGAATATCATTTGGATTCTTCTCAATAACAACCCTGAACCATTCAATGATGTCTTTAAACATGGTGTCATTGCATCTGTCCTTTGTATTCAATCCAATCGGGCTGATTGATGATCTAAAGTTCATCAAAGACATCAACAAAGCTGATGCATAAGAAAGTTTCTTGATTGCGGATTGAGAAGTTGTTGCACGGACATTTGCGCCATTGTGATGGAAGAACTGCAGCATTGTGTGTTTAACAGATGGATAAGATTCAACATTAACTCTCTTCGATCTTCTGAGCATCGTAGGAGAAAGTTTATCCAATGTAGAACACAACAAAACCAATCTGAAGTTCGTATTAACTGATGTTGTTGACATTTGGTTGTAAATATCAACTAACATGTTGGAAACAACTCTTGAAGGTTTCGAGTAATGTAACAAAACTAATGTACCTCTTGTTATTGACATCTGCAGTGATTTCCTTGTGTTCTTGATCAAATCAGGATCATCTGACAATGAATAACTGTCAAATGCTTCATTTCTCGATCTCAAGGAAATGAATTGATGCAACATTAATGTTGGATCAACACAAGCAGGTGCATAGACAACAGAAGGAATCGTTGAAACTTGTGATATAATGGAATCAACTTGGAAATGAGTGATATAGGATAAATAATCAGGGAAAACTTCTTCAACGAAAGCATTGATGAAATAGAAAACATTTGTAACATTTGTGAATTTCATGTGTTCTATTAAATCAGTGTTTCCTGGATCTATATTAGAAGTATCAATTGTATTATCAACTTCTTCCTGGAAGTGTTTAAGAATGGCATCCAAATCTTTCTTCTTTGCTTTTCCTTCATTGATTCTCATCAAGAAACCTGAAATGAACAAGAACAAAGTACATTCTTTCAATGGCATTGATGAGAAAACAAATTGAACAGTCATTTGCACCAAAGAATTATAAAGAGATGTGTTTTGATCAGCTGTTAATGTTCCTGAATGCAAACTTTCGTTAACGAAAACTTGCCTAATATTCTTCATGTACCCATCAAATGAGAATTGGGCCATTGATGTAACTCTTGGTAAATAACGAGTCATAACATTCCAAAATGTGCTGCACATGTCAATAAGTTGTTTAAATGGAGCTGCAGCGTTCGTAATCTCTTCTTCTGCTTTAGTATTCTCGACATCGACCTTGAGAAGCTCAATTAAAGTCTCTTTAGAAGCAACTAAGTCATCAAATGTCGATTCATCGGACAAAGGATCGTAACTTTCATCATCTTGAAGATTTCTGTAAAATTCTGACAAAATCTCGATGATGTCGTTTTCATGGTCTTTGATTTTGATTTCGTGTTCGATGTAGTTCTTGTTCTTCTCATTCCAAATAGGGATAACATCAGGAGCGAAGAATTCCACGAAAACAGATGTCAAAGACTGATAAACCGAATCAACAGAAGAAGAAGTAACGTTGACTAAATTGACACGAGATAAAAGATCTTCTGGTAAATTAGAAACACTAGAAACAGTTGAAACTAATATCAATCTGAATCTAGGATCGAATGTTGCCATTTTAGAACCAACTTTGATATCTCTTGAAGCGGAAGTATCCAAGAAAACTTGGCCTAATTGAAGTAATGGTTCAACAATTGGATTCAAATAATCAGCGTCTAACAAAATGACTGTTTTTCCATCACAAACAGCTTGTGCCAAAATGGATTCTAAACCAAGACAGTTCTGTGACATAACAACGAATCTCTTTGGCTTCAAAACAACAGTCAAAAGATGATAAACAATATGATCAGGATCAATTAACAAAGGAGTTCTATCTGTTGATAATAAATGGACAACATCAACTAAAGCAGGAATCATGAATGTCGTGACTCTCTTGATTACGTCTTGTCCTCTTGATAAAGTAAATCTTCGAGAGATTAATCGCATTGGATCATTTTCTGACATCATGATTTTGTTCTTTTTGATTTCATCAGCAACTTTCTTCATCAATGTTTGTCGAACAGTTACATCCATCGCTCCACAGAAAACAGTGTAAAATGATGCTAAAATGGAATCTCCAATTGTTTCACTAACAATGTTTTCTTCGTTCATTACGTGCTGCTTCCATCTTTCGATTAAAGTATTCGAGTTTTCCATGAACTTCGAAAGTTTTTCTTTTCGAATTTCGATCTTCTTGAAGGCTTCTTTCAGAACTTCTCTTTCTTCCTTGAGTTTGTTCAAGTTCTGGAGCTCTTCAACCAATTGTTCTTCTACTTGTTTGATGCTCTGTCCTTCGAGTTTCATCTCTTCTGTCATTGTTTTCAGTTCGTTTTCTTCCTGTTCGAGTTTTGCTGTGTCTTCTGCCAATTGTTTCGATAAATATGTTGATCTTCTGATGCAATCGATCCAATCACAGATGATTCTCAAAACAGGACTGACAGACTCCAGATCTCTTAAAGAAAACTCAGGGTTCTCGAAATATGCATCGATTTTAGCGAGTTTTTCTTCAGGAATTCCATCAGAAGGAGAAATATTTTCAAGTAATTTCGCAACGAATGTTCCGTGCATCAAAAGAGGCTTTCCATTTGTTTCGTAATCTAGCTCCATATCAGCAATGATGCAGACAATCTCTAACAAGAGTTTAAGAGGAGGAATGGGGTCAGCTGCTGAAATTCTGATTGTTTCTATATCATTTTCTGTCAAACTTTCAATGACTTTTCTGTTTGATTCAATTCTTGGATAAGTTAAGTCATATTCACTCTTCTTTCCTTGTACTCTTTCTTGGTTCTTTTTAACTGATTGAGTCTTTGTCTTGAATTCTTCTTCAAGTTTAGCTTTTCTTGCGTCAATTGCATCTTTTCTTGTTGTATAAGCTTGTTGGGCTGTATCTGCATTGTAATTCGTTGTTACAACACTTGGCTCCATTTCTGTTATCTTCTTTGATGTTTCTTCCAAGTCTTTTTCAAGTATTTTACATGCTTCGATACTTGCTTGCATTGCTTGGCTTTGCAACCTTGCGTTGTTGACATCTTCTGTGATTGTATTCGCTAACAAATGGATGAATTCATAGAAAGAATTCGGGTGGTAATAAGACATGTTTTGTTTGGCAATTGATTCAAATGAAGGAATGATTTCTGCCAAAGCATTAATGTTATTTCCAACGACTTCTTTGATTTGGTCTATATTCAACAAATCAGTTGCCAAACTCTTGAAGAAGTTGTCTCCTGGAGGGGAAATGTTCAAATGACTGAATCCATGGTTGGCGTAAGGAACATCTTCTTCACATGAAATAATCATGTGAACATTTGCGCGAACAATCTTTTTAATTCTCCAGTACAAAACACATTTTTCTCCTGGAGTTGCAGGCTTTGATCCATTGACTCTTGTATAGAGATTGTCGATGCCTTCTTCATTGAAGAAGTTATAGAAATCTCCTTGTGTTGCCAACATCATTGTTTGTCTGATTTGTTCTTCATTCGTTTGTTTGTATCTTGCGAAAACAACAGTAACTTTATGATATAAAACAGCATTTGTTATTATATCATGCATTAACTGTACATATGATTTCGTTTGCTCTTCAACATCAAGTTCTTCTTCCGCTGTTTGTGTTCCGAGCATCACGAAATCGCATTCCAAATTATTCGCTGCAATTCTTGATAACAAAAATCTTCCTGATGCGTGTTGTCCCTTCAAAATCAAGTTCGATCCAGGCAAAGCAAGAATGTTATGTATCAATTGATATGATCTAATAACATTCGCTGTGAATTGGATATAAATCTTTTGTGTTGAACTTGAATTGAAAACAGATAAATGGAACATCAATTCTTTCATGTTTTCTTCAATTTTTGTTATGTTGAAACTAACAATTGGAGGCTTCTTTCCATCGAATCTTTTAGTTTCTATTGAAGATATATGTGTTCCATTGATTATTTCCTGGAGGTTGGGGAATTTCAAGTCTTTTGAGTTGATTTCTCCAAGTTCTGTTTGTAATTCTTCTGTTGAATAATCATTGAAAACAGTATCAATGATTTGTGTAACTAAAAGATTTCCTAGTTGTTCAGGATCAGCTTTATCTTCTAGCATCCAAAATGGTGCTAATATCTGCATCAAATCTCCTGCAACTGTTTTAACTCTGTTCGTGGAAATAGTGATTGTTGCAAGATGTACTAAACTTCTTGCCATAGAATCAGCATAACCAACGAAATTCAAAGCTTTTCTTGCAATTTCTTCAGCTGTTGCAGGAAGAATTGGAGTCATTTGGACTTGTGCGAACAAAGAAATGAATCTGATTGGTAATTTCCTTGGATTCGTCACTGTACAGACAATTGTGAAATTCTTTACAGGAATGTTTTCATAAATCTTCAAATCACTTGGTGAGAAATTATCCAATTTCTGGTCTTGTATCAAAACACGAATTAACTCTAAAACATGTGGTTCGTAATCATCAACATCTTCGAACAACAAAATATATCTTTTCTGGTTATTTACAGTATGTGTTAAAGGAGCAATTGCGTAAGTATGCGAAGAAATAAACTTAATAAATGATTCTTGATCCAATGTTGAATGAGGAACAGGAACAACAATGTTATTATCATCATCACGATATAACATTTGAACAAAAGAACTTTTACCACTTGCAGGATCACCAATAATCATCATATGATCACCATTTGCAACCAAACAAGATGCTGTGTATAATTGTGGCAATGATTGAGAGTTTGTAACAATAACAGCATCTGTTGATTGCAATGATGTTTTGTCGTATCTGTTGACAATCATTGGAGGGTTGTTGAGAATCTCTGTGTCCATTTGGATGAGTTTTCCTTTGTAGTATCTCATGGATTGCAATGATGGCTTCGGGAAAATCTTCATGAAATCATCAGGAATTTCAAATGTAGACCAATCAATTGGACAATCAATGTTAAATGTCTGGCGAGTCCATGAATCCATGTGTGATAACATTGATGTGTGGATAATACCAGAATATGCATTGAAGAATGCAATGGCAGTCAATTGAGTGACTTGAGAAACTTCATTTGTATCAATTTTAGATTTATCAACCATTTGGAACAAAATAGCAGCAGCGTTTTGAGGAACTACGTCTGTTATAATGATATCACCGTTCTCCATGTTGCTGTCGCTTTCCATGTAGTAGGCGAAGTTCTTTGTATGTGAAATCTTTTCGATGAATTTCGGAGCAACTTCGCAAAAAGCAGATCTTAATGATTGAATTTCTGTTTCTGATAATTTCATCTTTGTCATTTCCAAAGCACGTGTGAAAGGAAGTGTTGGATGTAGTATATGGCAAACAGGAGATTTAAGATTGATCGATGCATCCGATTGCTGATTTCTCATTATTAATAATCTCGTCTTTGATAATAAAGATGGAGATAAATTCTTAAGAGAATCAGTTTCAACAACAACTTTGAATTTGTTGGATAATCTGTATCCTTCCAACGAATCCATTTGTGTCATCTTGTTATCACATGGTCCAATAAATTGTGTAATATATTGGGCAAATTCATCTGTCAAATTTCCGTCAAATTTCAAAATTTTGACAGCATCTTTCTTCGAATGTAATCTGTAGAGAGTATTGTGCAATTGTCCGTAATTCCACATCTGTCCTAATGTTAAATCGTTGACAATTGTACCAAATATTCTCTTCCATTTATCCGCACCGTAATAACAAGTTGCAGAAATGTAAGGAAGTTTTGTTTTTGTCTGCATTTTTTCGTTGTTCATTATCTGCAAATAAAGATTTAACAATGTTGTTTTTCCTGAATGAGGAGGTCCAGCAATGACAACGCAATTGAAGGAGCAGAACATGTTGTATAAGTTCCATGCTTGGTCTATCATGTATTCCGATGGAACTTTGTCTCCAAACTTCTTCACTTCTTCCATTGCAACTTCTCTGAATTTCTTTTCAACATCCGATTTCATCAAATCTTTGATCATCTGCAACATTTCTTCTGTGTTGTCTCCAAGTTTAAATGAACTGAAGAGGAGATCAGCCAATATCTTCTTCTCACTCTTATCAAGTAGATCTTCGAAATGATAATAAGAATAACTTGCAACAAAGAGAACTTGATTTGAATGGAATTCAACAGATTTTCTCGATTCAATTTCATCGAAAATTGCAAACAAATGTGGTTGAATCGATTGCTGAACTAATCTTTCCTTGAACATCGTTGTTGCCAACAAAATGAATGAACACAGTGAAGCAGCAATATCTTTAGGAACTAATACACCAAGAGCGGACAATCTTATCTCAGCCAATGTTGTATAAGATGGTTTTCTTAATGCAACAACTCTGCACAATGCTTTTAATTGCGCAGGAACTTTTTCATTGTCAGTGAAATTGGGATCTGCTGATAAGAAAACTCTTGTATTCTTATCGAGATCGACCAATCTTGACGAGATAGTAATTCTTGGATTTCCTGCTTGTTGTGCTGATATCAAACTCCTTAAGTTATCGAACAAATAACTTGAGTTTATATGTGATAAAGTATCAGCATCAGTTATATGTAACCAAGAACCACTTGATGCAGCACCAATCAATATTCTGCTGTAGAAGAATTCATTGAGATCAGGGAATTGTCTTTGAGTAAACAAGAATTTACCAAATTGCATTGCCAACTGTCTAATCAAACTTGTCTTTCCTGATCCGCTGCTTCCAATTATTACATTGATTTCTTTGTTCACCATATTCGCAGTGATTGTTCTCATTGCTGTTGAAAATGTTGCGGATTGTATGTATTCTCTAACTGATCCCCAGTATTCCAAACCATGTTCGTAAGTTGTTCTGTCGATTTGAACTGTGAATTGGGAATTGTTCTGATTGAAATTCAAGTGAACAAACTGATTCCAGTTCAATAAATGACTTGTATTTGGAAGTTTTTCTCCTAAATATGATACAGTGAGTTTGAATGATTGTAAGACAGAAATGGCAATGGAAATCTTTCTGTAGTTCAAAGGAACAACTTCACTTAATAAAGAAGCAGATAATTCTTTGATTTTGTCAACAATTTCTGACTCCAAAACTTGGAAAACTTTTGGATCATCGTCAATTTTACTGAAACAATTATCAATTCTTTGACAAATGTAAACATGCAATGCTTGTACAGTTGTGTAGGATGTGAAAGAAAGAACCCAATTAAAGAAAGGTAAAGAAGGAAGGCTTTCCAATGCATGAGAAATACCTGTTATAACTGATTTCTTCATCGCATCCATGACTTGAGGAAGCCAAGTTTCGATTTGTCCACTGCAAGTGATTTGATGAGGAAAAACAAATTCATCGGAGTCAGAATTCAACAAACCATTGATTCTTATCTTTGGCTGTCCTCTTGTGTATCCTCCTTGTCCGATATCATCTGATTCTCCATGAGGAACAATGATATTTATCACGTTCATGAACAATTTCGTCATCGCGTCGCAAAAATCTGAATAAGAATTTGTAGAAACCAATGTCAAGACATCTTTGTTCGAAAGGAAGAACAATCTTGGGAAAGCATTCCTTTTACTATCAAGGAATTTACCTAAAGCAATTAATATACTCTCAATTGCTTGGTTGTTTTCTTTTAATGTCTCCAAAAGTGACGGGAAAGATGCAACAGCGAATAATCTCGAATCCTTTGAAGTGTGTCTTGCCATTGATACCCATTTCCTCTGTACAGAAGCGAATCTGTTTGCTTGATGAGGAAGAATTGCTCTTGCTTCTTCAGATGCGAACAAATTCAACAGCAAAACCCAGTTGTTTTGGAATCTAACCCATTGTTCCAATATATTAACAATGTTTTCGAGATTCACTGATAGTGTTTGAACTTGTTCTCTTACACCACCAACGTAAGGAAGCATCAACATCTTCTGTAGTGTTATAATTGCATCATTAATTTCAGTGATTAGTCCTGAAACATCGGCAATTAAGACATTATCATCATTCTTTGATTGTGTTTCAACCAAAGGCAATTGAACTTTCGACCAATAGCTGTTGATCGACTGGAAACGATTCTCCAAGTCGCTCTCTCCACGCGATGTCTCCGTGATGCGTTTGATCCTGTCGTAGTTGTCCAGGATTCCCAAGGAAATGAGTTCACCCAAAGTGATGTCAGGACGATAAGCATTTCCTTTTCCGCATTCGTCGAAGAGAGCATTCCAATGCCTGGCCTGCATGTTGCCTGTAGACAAGTGTTCTACTTCGTCTATGTATCTTAAAACGTCTTGGATCTTGCCAGAAAGTTCTAAAAGTAATGGATAATTTCCTCTGGAATTTTCTTGGAGATATTTCGCTGTAGATTGGAGATTGAGAACGGCGGTTCTGAATTTCTCAATATTTATATTCGAAAAGTGTGTTTTTGTGATGATTTCGGATAAATTCGTCCAATCTTTAGCGATTTGATATAAACTAATGGTAAATTCAGTGGCAGCAAGCACATTCTTGTATGCACTGAAATCGTTGAGCTGTACGTTGATCGCTTCTTGATATCCGACCAACATTTTAATTTGAGGTTCCATGTCAACGACTTGTGCTTTGAGTTTGTGGGATTCTTCAAGCTTGGATTCAATATCAACATCTTTGAGGGCGATTGGAATGGTTGTTGCTTTTTCGAACAAATGACCAATAATTTTTTCAAGTTTATGGACATTTTCTTTCAACTGCTTAACAAATGGATCTTTAACATTCTCTTTGACAAGGTTTCTTCCATTCTCATCGATCTTGAAGCTTGCAAATGCGGCAGGAAGTGGATTTCTGTCATGTTCTACTCCAAACGTGTCAAAGAGGTCGTAAAGACTATCAACAAATGTTATTTCTGTTTGTATTTGGTCCATGACACTTAATGATCTTGTCAAAGTCAGACAATAATCAACAAATTGTTCTAATGTATGAGGATCACTTTTCATTTCTCTGTTGTAGAATCCAATGGCATTGATAATCATGTCAATCTTCATTTGTGACAAGTCTTTGAGGAGTTTCAACAAATCTGACAAAGCTTTTTCAGGAATTGGTTCTAATTCCTTCTTTAACTCCTTGGAATCAACATATAAAGCAAGTTTGACTAAACCTGTCCTCATTGTAGCAATCAAAGCTGATTGTGCTTTGAAATAATTTATATCATTCGCTACTAATTTGAGATCTACAACAGGTTCATCTTCATTATTGATCAAGAACTTGTCTTCGTTATCCAATCTCTCTAAAGCCGAGATTGGTCCGGTGTATGGCTCACCTTTCCTCGTAATTAAGTATTTTCTTGGGTTCCACTCCTTTCCGAGCTTGTAGATAGGATAATAGTCGGTGAAGTTCTGCGAGGAAGTGATCGCTTGCCTGTAAGATTCAGTCAATACTTCAATAATGTGTTTCTCAATGGGTTCGAGAGATGCTACACCACTTAATATCTGTGAAAGAGTGCATCCATGCTCGTAGAACTTAGAAATGTCAAAACCGCCTTCTCTAATAAATGGAATTAATTTATTAGAAGAAATTAAACGCGGAAGACTGTTGAGAGTCTTTTCAGCATCTTGTAGACTTGTTGTTACAGTCTTAAGTAAAGATTCAAGTGTTGGTTTTAGAGATACAGTTCCATTTTCTCCAAAATAAACATCTACTTGGAAAATAGCAGCATGAACATTAGATACATTCTCATTGGCTTCTTTGAAAGCTTCTATACATGCTTTTGTCAAAGTTTCCATATGAATATAATCAATAACACGAATAAATGAGGAAAGTTTGACGATTTCGTTATTAACTTTAACTGTTCTCTCCAATCTAAGCCTTGCTTTCTTCTTTTCGAGAAGTTTTAGCTTATCAAGATTTGGATTTCTGTTGTGGATATCAGTAAACTCGTTATCATCAACCTGGACGTTGAGAGGATCAGATATATTCCTGTATAGGTCGAGTATTTTTTCAATTATCACGTTAATATAGTTTGCATAATCATTGTTAAGTTGATCGAGGTTTTTCTTCATAATTTCTTCGAATTCTGCAATTGAGTATTTACGAGATTGAACAAAACATAAAAGATTTTGGTTGACCATAATTTCTGCTTGATTTCTCATCATATAAAGAGCTGTTTCGACGCTGAAGAATTGTGGCTCGTAGAAGAATGGATGTTGTCTAATGGCTTGTGATTTGTGGTCGAATCTATGTGACATCATGAAATTTTTCCAAATTAAAAATGGTTTCCAATAGAAATAAGTAGAAAAGAATCGTATTTTCTTAACAACACCGAATATTGATGTTTCGAATGACCATTGATCTAACGTTACGTTATCTGTATCACCATTCTTTTGAACATGTGTAATTCCTGATGCTGACATCGTAAAATAGCTTGTTACTTCTTCAGGAATTGCAGGCACCTTTTGTAGTGTATATGGATCGTAGTCTGGCGAATTTGGTTGTGTTGTAGGGATCATGTAGATGAAACGATGACCTCTACCATCTTTTCTCTTACTGAAATAGGCTATTGGATCATCTTCGAATTCCAATGATTCTTTCTCTGCCTTTTCTATCGCTCGAAGTTCTTCAAGTGTTGTTGATGTTGGGATTTTAAGCGTTTTAGGCTTAGGAAATAGAAGCGATGCGTTGTGTTGAGGAGGCATTTTAGTGCTTAATTGTACTGTTGATGTTACTTCGCGATTTTGATTTCTTGCAGCTCTATTTCTAAAAGCTAAGAGTGCTGGATTTTGAAGTGTCGCTAATTTATTAGTTTGTTGTGATCGTGATGTTGACGTATCAAAATTTTTTGCTGCTGAAACTATATCAGATGGTTCAAATAATCTTGGAGCAGTTAAATTAGAACGCCCCAAAGTACTTCCAACGTGTACTTTTTTGGTATTATATACATTCATCTCTGGATCATCATCGGCGTACTTAGATTTTCGACGATTTGGATTCAAACTCATCCTGATAGAGATAAAAAAACGAGCATGATAATCGTCCTATCAATAGATATTATTAAGGATATAATATTACAATAACATGAAAAGCCATTTTTCTCAATTAATTTGACTATAAAATTGTTTATTTAGTGAAATTTTTGCAATTTTATTTTTTTTGTCGGGCTGTCAATTTTTTTGATCGAACGATTTACAACTTAAAGTGTTATAAAAATATGTTGTAAACAGAAATTCATCAAAAGTGACACCTCAGAAAAGCTAAAATATTGAATTTTTGGAACTTTTGATAGAGCACGTTTTTAAATATTAATTAAAGTAAATGTATATTTTGTTAAGATTCTTTTTAATAAAAAATAAAATTTTGAAGAAGAACACAAAATCTTCTGAAAAATAATATCACATAAACTCATATTATTTTCTAATATATAACTATTTTATATAAAAATCAAATTCAATGATCTTAAAAGCGAAGGATAACCCTCAAAATTTACGAATATAATGAGTGGGAATATAATGCTTATCTATCATAAAACCATATGAAATATCAATTTCTGCTTTACGCCTAATTTTTGACGACAATTAGCAAAAAATGTTAAATGTTAACACTCAGTCCATTTGAATATGAAAAATAAAATTGACTTTGATTAAATGTTTTTATTTATCATGCAATTCTTCTTGCGACCAAAGATTTGAATAAAATTTAAAAAAATAAGATAGCTTAAAAAATAATATACGGTAGTGTTTACTAATAGATGAATAGTATATAAATTCTATTAAAATGGATTTGATCCAAAAAAATATAAAACCAAAAATAATTGTTATAATTTAAATGAAGAAGTAATTTAAAACGATTTTATTTATGATCAAATTTTATATATTTTTTTGGATCAAATCCATTTTAATAGAATTTATATACTATTCATCTATTAGTAAACACTACCGTACATTATTTTTTAAGCTATCTTATTTTTTGAAATTTTATTCAAATCTTTGGTCGCAAGAAGAATTGCATGATAAATAAAAACATTTAATCAAAGTCAATTTTATTTTTCATATTCAAATGGACTGAGTGTTAACATTTAACATTTTTTGCTAATTGTCGTCAAAAATTAGGCGTAAAGCAGAAATTGATATTTCATATGGTTTTATGATAGATAAGCATTATATTCCCACTCATTATATTCGTAAATTTTGAGGGTTATCCTTCGCTTTTAAGATCATTGAATTTGATTTTTATATAAAATAGTTATATATTAGAAAATAATATGAGTTTATGTGATATTATTTTTCAGAAGATTTCATTCTATATGCCTATGAAAAGTACTCTCAAAACTAACTTTTCCCTAATTATAATTAAATCTAGAATATTGTATTATACTTAGGATTATTTCATTTTTCTCATTCAATTTAGAATTTACAAATGTCAAAAAATTGAGAGTTGTCACTTTTGATGAATTTCTGTTTATTACAAATATGCTATAGCATCATATGTTTCTAGATAAATCCATTTCCAGAAAACCAAATTTTTAGATTGGCAATCTCGATTTACTATCTTTTATCATTTTGCATGCATTGACACAAATGTTAGATCATGCTTTTAAAGGAATCATTAACAAAGGGAAAAAAATAAGAGAAGGTAAATCGTTTCAGAAATGCTATACATTGGTTCAATGATTTTATTTGATAAACTATTTGTTTATGCCATAACAATGAAACGTTTTGGGTTAACTTCTAAATTTATTCGTATTCAGTCTAATTTGAACTGAATGTTCGATTTTATCTATCGTTTTATCCAAACACAATAGTAACATAGTAAATATGTTTTTGATCTTATGCAATAACATATATTATTCAATTCTGTAAATTGTTTTCAATGTAATTCAGACACTCTTTGACATTTTTATAATTTGAATAATACCTGAATTAACTATCGATCATATATTCCTGGGAAAATAGCATTGGATAATAAGCGCGCTATCAAAAATTGAGTCTCATTTGAAAATTTCTTTACATAGTGTTTCTTCTCAAATTGAGAACCTTCAATTTTGGAGAATGAATAATTTAAATAGCCATATATTGTGTATTTATTTTCAGACACCATTTCATGAATTGTATGAGAGTATTTGAAAAAGTGTTATTATTCAACTTTATTTAGGAACACACAATTCTCTCTTTTTTAATGCCTAAAAATAATATTTCAATAGAAAAAAATTGAATGTATTTGAGAATACACTGAATTTTGGATAAAGAAAAACAATCATTATTCTTGATGCCATCCTTGTTTGCCGAGATAGGTGTCGCAGTTCTAATTCTTGCAGTCGGATCTTGCAACAATGTTGTTAGTAAGATCTTGTTCCAAACAAAAGGAGAAGGATTTGATGGCACAATTCAAACATATGAGAAACCATGGTTTTTAACAACAATTATGTTTGTCGGCGAGTTCCTTTGCTTGATCATTTATGGAGTATGTTGGGCAGTTTTCAAGTGCACAAAGAAGGAAGATGACAATAATGATGCTTCACTTGATTCATTAGGAGAAGAAGAAAACAAGGAGAAAATTGTTTTTATTACAAGAAAAGAATGCGAACAAGATCCAACAGGCGGACTAAAGTGGAAGTTGCCATTATATGTCTTATTGTTTGCAGCTTGCGATCTAATTGCTACAACATTGCTAAATATTGGCCTTGTATTTTGCAATGCCTCAGTTATCCAAATCATCAGAGGAATGGTTATTGTTTTTACATTACTTTTCTCTTGGGGATTCCTCGGAAGAAAGCCAAATCTTTTCCAAGTTACAGGAGTTGTTATTGCTCTCATTGGTTTGGTTCTCGTTGGAGTTTCAGCTGTCATTAGCAATGGATCTGGAGAAACTAAGTTCCAAGTTAAATCTTTGATTGGTATTGGACTCACCCTTGGTGGACAGATTTTCTCCGCTATCCAATTCACATTTGAAGAGAAAGTCTTAAAGGGAATTAGAATTCCACCATTGTTCTTAGTTGGTTGCGAAGGCGTTGCAGGTCTTATTTTGTGCATTGCAATTGCTCTTCCAGCTGCAAACGCAATCCATGGCAGCGATTACGGCAGACAAGAATACTTCAAGAACACATGGTATATGCTATGGCATGAATCACAAATTACATTATTATCATTTGCATCCATGATTTGCATTACTTTCTTGAACTGGACATCATTCGTTTATGTAAAGTACCTATCGGCAGTTGCAAGAACATTAGTTGATGCATGCAGAACAATTCTTCTTTGGATCATTATGGTTATTGTTTACTATGCAACAAGCCATGGATTTGGCGAAGGTGTTACATATTATACAATTCTTCAAGCTATTGGTTTCATATTTATGATGACTGGAACAGTTACATACAATAACATTGCAGGATTAGGTCAGAAAGTTATAAGAATTACATGCTGCTGCTTCTTAAGTGAAGATCAAGAGGAGAAAAAGATTGATGAAACAGAGAAGAAATCAGGCTCATCATATTCTGTAAGTGAAGACAATAAAGATTCAACAAGATCAGTTGACAGTGATTCTAAAAAGGAAACTGTATAGATCTGGGATAATTATTATTTAATAATTATCATCTGGATTTTTATTTTTCAGATGATACGTAAACATCGGAATTTTATTCAATCATCATTTTTAATCAGAACTCTAATTTTAAGGGTCGAACATATGCATTGTTTATTGAGGCTCTTTTGAGTTGATATACTCAAACACATTCTGCCTCGTTCTATTTTCAAACATTATTTATAGAACAATATAGAGAAATCAGAGCTTTTCATTAGAATATATTAACAATATTAATAATTTGATCACATCAAAAGCATCAATAAATAAAAGAAATTGTAGTTGGATTATAAATCAAAAATTTGAAAAAAAAAGTCAATCTAATAATTTTGATTTTAGCAGCTTTTGCAATATCCTAAATAATCTTTGAAATCTCCTGGAGGTTGTGGACATATATCCTTTAATTTTTTAAATAAAGCACCATCCCAATGCGTTTGATGGAGTATTGCAACAGTTAGATCGCGTCTATTTATTCCTCTAACTGATCCTAATTCTTCTCCATGTTTAAGTTTTGCCCATGATAGATGTCTGACATTATCATTCGAAATTTTAACAGGCACTCCGTATTTTTCAAACAATCCGCTGTATGTCCATCCAATTATGCATCCTTGATCAACTTTACCCATTCCAAATTGGAAGTTTCCTAAGTAAACACTGAAAAAATTCAATATAACATTCGCATCTCCTCCAAAATATCCGGCATTTATTACTTTTAGCGAATCAAGATCGTATCCTTCTAAAGGAGCACATTTATCTATCCATCCTTTGTTCAAATAGTCAATACTATGTCCTTCGTCAGCTAAATTTAATTGATTTTTTGGAAGATAGTCGTTGAATGGATCACCTTGGAAAATCGTATCAAAAAGGTCACAAACAATAACTCTGTTCAATTCATGGAGGTGCAATTTAATGAAATGATGAATTTGAATATAAGGATCTGACCAAAAATCATGTTCGCCTGTGAACGTTGGCTTATGATAGTTTATGAATTGCCCTCCACAATTAATTACGTAATTTCGCGTGTCATTAGTCATATTTGATAATAATTCATCTGTAACAAAAAATACAACGCTACAATTGCTTCCTGATTGACGTAAAGTTCGAATAAATATTACCATATTGTATGGTTTTGTAGTCGTGTATGAAATAACTAAGTCATTTTTATTGCTATTTGCTTTATTATTAGATGATGTAAATTTGCATTGGCTACATTTGGTAATATTCATATTGAAGTCAATTTTGTAGTCAGTTTGAAGGAGGTTTTCTAAATTTTGTAAAAATGGAAATAAACTTATTCCAGCTGTATAAACAATTTTATTTTCCAAAGAACAGCTTCTAATGCAGCTTCTTTCATGCAAGCCATTGCAAAAAAAGCAACGACAACTGCAAAAAGTAAAGCGTTGATTTTGAATGAAAAAAAAGATGAAATTTCACACCTTTCCTCAGTTTCACTGTGTGTAAAATTATCAAGGGATTATGATTTCATACCTTTTTATCGATTAAGATTTGAATCTAAAATAATCGGTTTTCAGAGAATTTTATATTTATTGAAAAATTTTTTTCTAATCACTTATGCTTCAATATACCTCAGCATTTAATCCACAAAGATTAAAGGAGGAGAAGCAAGCTAGAGTGAGAATTTTAGATTCTTCAATTGATGGGAAGCTTCTCGTTCAAATTAACACTCCAAAACAAACATCCATCGAATTAGTGAGTGAAGATGGATCTAGCATGACTGCTGTCTCATTCAATAAGTTCGCAGACTTCGTAACCGCAAATTTATCAAGAGATAATGAACTTTTAATTCTTGTTGAGAGAATTCCATCACCAAAAGGATTTTGCTTCTCATCAAAGATCATGCATATATTTGGAAGTCAAGTTTCTAAGGAAATTATCTCTGAACACCCTATTTCTGGAAAATTTATTGACATAAATCCAGCAAAAGGTTATCAAATGCTACATATTATGGGTACGAAACTTACTCATCTAAACGTAATACTTACGAAAACGTCAATAGAATGCAAAGTTATCAGAGGAGGTTTGAATATTCCATCATTAATTGCTTATCATTACTTTAGAGACTCTGCAACACTCGCTGCTGTATTTGTCGACGACAAAATATACAAATTTGCACACTTTCATATTACAGAAGACGGTGTAAAATCCAAACCACCAATTCCGATTACCGTTAGCGAGAAATCGATGCTTCCACCTGAACTTGCACTCAACGCAACATCTCAACTACATTTACCAGTTTTTCGAACGCAATTACGCAGATTTTTCTTCGAAAAATGCAATCGACAAGTTTTTATCATCCAGCAACTATTTGATCGCAACGATTCAGCTCTTTCCTTCAGTATCATCTCATTTCCCATACATTTTTCACAAATTATTTCAATTCCAGGCGTTTCTCCAGATCATCCGATTTGTTCGCTTCATTTTTCGAATATGCTCATTATATACGCGCCCAATTTATTCATATGTGTTGTAGATATGAGTTGTACACCTCCAATCATCTCTCTTATGCCAAGTTCCTTATGTAATAGTATTTGCAGTACAATTGCCTCGAATATACCAATTACGAACTCTATTGTCGATTTAGATACAAACGAAATATACAAAGTATCGATAGATACCTCCAATATCCATTTATACGAAAGATCATTTGATAGATTTACTTTGCCAACGATTTCCGTTATATTGGCACGTCAACTTGATAGTAAAACCATCTGTTCCATCATGAAATCGCTTCTTAAGTTCAAAGATAAGACATCAATCCTTACATTTATTCATTCTTTCTTAAAAGACTTTTGTGGACCAGATTCTCGATCAAGAAGAAGTCACCAGCTTCCAACTAATGTCCACAAAGTCTCCTCTCTCCAAACAATTAAAGAGATACAGCCAGAAAGATCAAATTCGCAAGGAATTTCGTATTCTCGCAAAAAAGTGCCACAAACATTTTTGCCAACGATTGAATCCATTGAAAAAGAGTTTCCTTCACCAGGAACAGTTACCAGGTCTGTCATGTTCAAGCGTATTTTCCAACAGATTGCCAGCGAATCTAAAGAGAAATCTCCAGAAGTTTTGGCCGAGAAAGCGATGAAATTCATCAGAAGACAAAATGAAGCATCAATTTGTTTGCGACAATCATTAGATCTTCTTTCCGAGGATGAAACAATTGATAAAGCAGACATTGTTGCAATCAAAATAGCGATTGCTTCTGAAATTGTTTTCGAAAGTTTGCCATCAATTGCATGTTTGACAGAAGAAATCGCTTTGGAAGCCGATAACTACTGTTCTAAACCAGTTAAATACGCGTTATCTGCTTACGGAATTACCGGAAGAATATTCCCACAGAAAGAGGCTGTTCACTGGAAAAAAAGAATTCCACAGTATATATTCGATACTTCTGTTGTTGGAACTTCTTCAACTTCTGATTCAAGTTGGAGTTCTTCAATCATTTCTTCTCATTTCATGATTAGATCGCAATCTAAAAGAATTGGATCTATTCCTCATAATTTCATGCCAATGTCAACTCCTGCATTCACTTAGAATGAGTTAATTTGATTTTATCATCAAATTTAGTTTATATTATTTATTTTGTTGTTTTATATATATCATGATATATAATAAAAAATAATTAAGTTCTGTTTATTGTTATATTACTGACTTTTTTAAAAGGATACTCTCACCATGTCAGATTTTTTGTGCATGTAAAACTTTTGATATACTTAAATCTATAATCATGATTTTTAATAAGCTTAGGGTTGTTAGATTCCCGACGATAGGTGTCTTGGAAGATTTGCCTGGTGTCATCATAGTGTCTTTAAATCAAAAATTTTATTTTGGAGTTAGTTTTATTGATTTTTCAATAAAAAACATTTCTAAAACAAGAAAATAAAACGATAAAATATTTATATTTTATATAAGGATCTTATATATTTAAAATAAATATCATTTTATTTTTTTCATTGGTGTCTGTCAAACCATAATACACTATTCAAAAATTCAATGTGTCTTGCGGTTTCAAAAGACACCTTCAAATTGAACGATAGCACAGACACTATTGAATTTTACCCATTTTATTTAGTTTTTACCCTTTTTATTTTTAAGAATTAATGACTGAAACAGCCGTTTTGCTATGACCTCAATCACTTTTATTTATTATTTTAAATATTATTTAATTTTATTATTTGAATATGCCAACTTATATTTGAGAAGCTCAATTTGAGACCACTTAATACATTGAAATATCATAAATATAAAAAAAAAGGTAGTGGGGCTTCCAGGCGCGTTGCGCCCTCTAGCCCATAAGAAATTTTTCCCAAGACCCAAGAGGAGGACCGAACCCCAGCCGACCAGCCGTTGACTTTTTTGTAGAGCACTCAAAATAGTATAACTTTGTCCGGACAAGTAAGGGTCTATCGTCGCTACAGGAAAAGTTACAGGCGTTCCAAGGAAGTATACTTTGAGAAGCCTTTTTCCCCTTATAGAATGAGATAGGACGGTTATTTTACAAAACTGACAACACTTTGACCGAGTAGTTTTTGTGCTGAACAAAAAGTGTCATATAAACATCTGTCAAAAACCGTTTTTTACTTCACTTAAAATGCCACGTAAGCTACGTAAGAATATACGTAAGAGGAAGGGAGCATTGAAACATCCAATAGTAAAACTGACACCACAACAACAGTTGCAACAACAAATGATGAATGACCTCACTATGTTGCAACAAATGTCAAGCAACCCTATGCTTTTAAACCGAGTTATTGGTGCACAGAGTGGAGGTTTAAGAGCGGCACTTTTAGCGAAAATGGCAGGCTATGGTGGAGCTGCAGACGGAACAGCTTATAACCCTCAAAGTCAAATGAATTTGAGTTCACTCAAAAATCAAATAACAGATGTCAAAAAGTCAAACATAGACATACAGAAACAAATAAGTGAAAACGAAAAGAAACTAGAATATGACAGACACACAAAGAAACTCAATGAGTTAAACGTAGAGAAAAAGAAGAAAGAAGAACAACTGAAAGAACTAAGTACAGAGGAATATGCGAAAAAAGTGTCAGAAAAAGCAGCAGAAGTAGCAAAAATGGAACAAGATGTTATAAATTTGAAAACCCATACTACTCAATATAAAGTACTGAAAGATGAAGAGATAAAACAAAAAGCCATGAAGACATATATGGATAGCGATGAGTATAAAAAAGAAGTTGAAGCAAATGTAAAGGCAGAAAAACTTTTACAGTTGCAAAACCAAACCGTACAGTATGAAAACTTAGCACAAGAAAGTAAAAATAACGACGCAGCCATGCAAAAGGCAATGAAAAGCGCAGATATTATAAAAGCTAATAATGACTGGTTAGATGCCCAAGCCAACGCTAAAGCAGCCCAACTTATAGGGTCAATAAGGACAAAAATACAAGCGGATGAAGACAGTTCAAATGAAGCTTTAATGAATGCTGACTTTAAGAATGCCTTCGAAGCTCTTCATAGTAAGGTGAAACTAGTGAACGACTTCTCATCTGGAAAGAAACTGAAGTCTGAAGGTTTCGACAAAGAGTTAAGAGAAGTAGCACAAAATATGACGAAAATAACAGATGCAGCAACGAGACAGGCAGTTCAAAGTGCCTATGACGCCGTTAGAGCAGCTGTTGTGGAAAGTCAAGAAAAAGAGTTACAACAGACCAAAACAGACCTAGTAAATGCTTTCTTAAAAACGAAAAGTCAGGTAGGACATTATGCTGCAGATGGAACATATGTGCCAGCTGGTGGAACTTATATACCACCAAACCCTCCAAGAGAAGCACCTGCACCAGGACTACCTAAAACATTTACATCGTCACATGGACACAGACACAGGCATGCACCAAAACCAACACAACAACCAACAGTTCAAAATCCAGCACCACAACAACAACCAAAACCAACAGTTCAAAATCCAGCACCACAACAACAACCAACACAGCAACCAACAGTTCAAAATCCAGCACCACAACAACAACCAACACAGCAACCAACAGTTCAAAACCCTGCACAACAACAACCACAAACAGAGCAAGGACATAAAAGAAGTAGAGAAAAAGGAAACCAAGAATTCTTAAAAATGCTTAAGGAAGATTATGGTTACCCAGATACTCTTGACTTTAGTGACAGATATAAAGAAGCTATTAGAAAGTTCAAGGAAGGAAATACTGACCCGAACCTATTTAGCTTTATGGCTCAGCATCAAATCGGATATAATCTCAAACCTGGAAAATACAAGCTCGCTAAGGGATATGATTTAATAGCATATCATCCAAATGACATGAATGAATTTACTCCGAGATATTTGATGTCAGAGCTAAATGATAATTCAACTCTCTTCATGAAACGCGTAAAAAATAGAGACGGAACGAAAGAAGAAATGTTTATGAGTCCGGATGACTTAGATAGGGAACTTGTTAAAAACGGTCTCGGAATATATGAAATGCCACCAGATGAGGTACAAGAAACTCAACAGGAAGAAGTTCAGATACAACCAGACATGGAAGAAATAGTTCAGCAACAACAACTAGAAGAGCCTGAAGGAAACAAACAAGTCCCTCCTTTGGAAACTAACTTCACAGAACTAGATGAAGATTTGGAACAGCCGAAAAATCTTGACCCTCAACAAGAGTATGAGGTGAATATGGAATCTTTCCAAGAGTCTAAGAAAAATTCGGCTGACATAGTAGAAGAATATCGAAAAATGTTCACCGACATACAAAAGACTCCAACATCAGATGAAAATATTCAGCATAGAATGGAAGTACTGAAAGAAAATGTACGCAAATACAATAATCCTTTTTACTTACGACCATATAACGTTCAATCTTTGGCTGAACTCGGTGAAAATAAAAGGTTAAATTTCAACAAAACATATAGAAATGAAACATTGTTTAAAGTTCATTCAGAACCTAACCAATATGGAAACAAACCTACTTTTGTTTCTGCAGACTATGGAACTACAATGAGATGGGGTCATAAAGCTAATCCGGATAGGTGGTTCATAAACTTACAACCTCAATTCCAAGAAGTTGTAGACGCAATGGAAGTGAATGGTGAACCAGATATAACGGTATTTTCAGCGCGGCTTTAATGCCATTGAAAGATATGAAAGATGCAGATATTTTGGACCAGTATGAAATGAACATGGCTGAGGGAAATATAACACCTGACGTTCTAGAACATTTTCTCAAAGAACTACACAGAACCATAGAGATGGTATATTTGGTGAAGAGTTTAGAAAGAAAGTTAGGGAGAGAGAAGGAAGAGAACCTATTGTACATGACCTTGCAAACGAAAGTTTGCAAAATGTCATAAAAACTTACTTTGCAGACAATGAACCGAGAAGGGATGAATATTTAAGAAAACTCAAATGGACAGTACCAAATGAAATGTTAGTATTGAAAAACATGTTCCTTGACAAAATAAAACCAACTACAGAAATAAATGAGGCAAGACTGAAACGTTGGGTAAAAGCTTTCCCATTCACAAAAGATATTATTGGTTACATGGAAAGAAAACCAGAATGGCTACAAAAACATATATTTGGAAACGAGCTTATTCCATATGGACAAGCTCTGTTTGAAGAGCTTGAACCGGAAACTCAGGAAAGAGTCATGCAAACAATACGCGAAGACTCAAATACAAACTATGACAAAATCTTTCTAGGATATAGGTTACCTGAGATGGGCGACCAGAGCCCAAAGGCAAAAAGGACATGGGAAATTAACAACATACTAGGTGAACATGAGGCAAAGATGCTACAACTTGAAGCAGAGGGCAAGTTACCAAAAGCGACACCAAAGAAGAAGAGAAGAGTAGAACAAAGTGAAAGTAGTGAAGAAGTAACTTCATCTAGTGAAAGTAGTGGCAATGAAGGAAAAAGAAGAGTTAAAGATTCAGTTAAAAACTCAGTCAGGAAGAAAGTAAAGCTTGGTCCGAGTGGGTTCTATTATGACATATAAATCCAACTATTCTATATTTTTACCCATATGAGATGTACGCCGCTCAGAATATAACGCCAACAGTTTTGGATGCCATGAACGGAAATGTTTCCGAATGGTATAACGAATGCGACAATGCCATTAGAAGGTCAGAAATAGTTCCTGGAACTTACGAATATACAACTGCTGTTTCTTATGGAAACGTAGGTGAGTTTGGAGAAGGTTCTTCAACAACAGTAGATATTGCTTGCGACAGGTTTCATATTATTTCTATTGACAACTCATTCTTATACGTGGAACAAGACATTGAAATAAAACCTTCTGACAAGTTGTCTGACAAGAAAGGTTGCAATGGAATTTTCTATGTCGGATACCAATATGCTCCAGAAGTTTTCATGGGATATAAGATATATTCTAACTCTGACTTAGTTCAAACAGTAACATGGGCAAACTATGAATGGTTCGCTTTGAGAAACTCAGTACAACCACAAGCTAGAGAACAAACAGACCAGTATGCAACTATTGAGAAAATAAGAAGACTTGACCCTAACGTTCCAGGAGTTTATGTTAACCTTTCTGGACAAACTGCAGCAGCAGTAACCAAAGTAAAACTGAAACTTAGAGTTCCTTTGTCATCTTTCCTCATCTTCAGGTTTTTAAGATACTTACCAAACTGGGCAGGAAAAATTTCTATTGAACTTACTCCAAGCAAAAATAACTTAGTCATTGCACCAACACAAGACCCATTCACTATTACAGACGTAAAGGGAACAAATCAAACGTCATTCGCCGAATTTTGCAAAGACAAAGTTGACTTAGACTTTGGTTTCTCAAACTTCAACAATGAAGTAAACTATTATTTCAATGCTGCTGGAACTGCTTGGGACCCAGTTAAGTTCACATGCGAAAAGTTTGAATGCAAGAGAATAGAAAGCAGACTTGCAGTCTATATGTTGGACCCAGATATTTCAAATGCTTTAGCTGCCAAATATATTGCAGTTCCACTTATGTTCCCTATACACCAAATATCTGTCAAAGACTTTGCAGGTGAAGTTGGAAACAAAATCCAGGAGCCGCAGGTGCAAGAACAGATATTGCTTTAACAACTGCAATGAAACATGCAGATACTATGTTTGTACTGTTCAGACGAACTATAAATGACTATTCTTGTTTCTACAACCCTGGTATTAAAATATCATATAAACATAGATGGCAAATATTATCCAAGAGAAGAATATTCTACAGTTGAGGATATGAGGTCATACAACTTGACATTAGATGCTATGAACTTTAACAACAACTTCACAACAACTATTAACCCTGAAATGCAAAATTCTATTATGCCATATGTGAAAGTATGGACTCATACAGGAGGTCAAAAAACTCAATATACAAATGGAGACCGTTCAAACTTTTGGCTTGGCATTCCATTTGCTGACTCAGAAGACTTTATGAGTGGTATTTCAACTGTTGGTACAGTTCAAATACAATATACTGGTGACAGAGACGGTCCAGATGAATTGAGAGCAAAGAAGTTTACAAAACCAATAGCACTTTTCACGGAAGATGCTCTTTTGAAGATTCGTTCGATGAAACCTGCTGGGGCTCCTCAGATTGGCATAACGACAGCTTCCATCGAGCAGATTTTGGCAGCAGGTCAGTAAGTTGTTCTTGAACTGACTTCTCTCCGTCAAATATTGACAGTACGCCAGTTTTGACATAATATTGTATTATAAACTTTCCTTTAGTAATATCTGTAAGTTTTGAAGTTATATTTTTGTCTGCTTCAAGAACTTTCACCATCTCGGTTATACCAACTTTCTTTGCTTTATGAAAATATTTAGGTTCAGCAAAGACTGCTATTCTATAACATTTTCCATTGTTTGTGAGTATAAACTTTGTTCTGCTTCAATTCAATAAGATATCCGAATACATCCATCTTTTTATTCTAAGTAAAATGTCATTTCCGAAAAATAGAAGCGTAAGTGTTTCAAAAGGTTTAATGGCGGTGGCAGATGTGAAGTTAAATTCACCAACTCAAACAAACAGTCAAAGTGTTATTGTCAATGTCAAAGACAGAGATGTTGAAGTGGGGAAACCATACGAAGACGAAGATGGTATAACAATTGTTCCTGTAAAAGAACCAACATATCCTGAAGTTAACAGAGACTTAAGTTCTGTTGCAGATATTCGAAACGACTACCAACAACTGAAAGACAAACTTCAAATCAGGAGAAAGATTTGTCAAGCTTTAAGTATAATGTTAAACTTGGTCGAACACAACCCTGTAAAAGTGAACTCATATGTCATTGCACCTCATGAAGTTTTGAAAGAACTATTGAAACTTTTGACAGAGGCAGACGATATAAACATCAAAGAAATAGAACCCGACATTGGTTGCTGTGGTGTTTCATATAATGTCATTGACAAGATATACGTTATGAAAGGAGGTGAAACGTTGAACTTAAAATATAGTTTCCCAGACGTTATAAAAATATTTGACGACCACAACATTTCATTAAAATTTATTTGCTAAGTAAATGGCAGAAGACATAATGGTTTATACTATTACGACTAAAAACCCGTCATATAATTCTATAACAACAAACTTACAAAGTCTTCAAGGACGATATTGTAAACTAACCTTAAACACAATGACGACTAAAGCCTGTTTTGCTCTTTTGACACCAGAAGACTTTATTGTTGTGAATGGTAAAAATACTCCTTTGAAGATACTTACTCAGATATACCACCAACAGGTTTTGTTGACTTATTTAATACTTAAGTACGGGTGTAACATGTGCTGCAACTAGAGCAGGTTTCATTATGTTTGGATGTCCGACTGAGTTTACTATAAACGATATGAGCTATAATACAAAACTTATTTCTGGTTTTTACTACCAACAGTTTCCTATAACAGGAAAAGGTGTCATACAAGGAATGTCTATTCCATTGACATTAAGCACACCAATCTTATATATTGTTTCAAACTTAGGTTCAAAGTGTTATTCGAATGCCGACAGAACTATTATGACCAAAAGATACTTATGCGTATAAACAATACTTTCTCTGCTGGTTTTGCCTATTGTTCATTCGAATGCAGAATTTTCAACCTTAGTGAACTCAAACACTTTGGCAAGTATAACGTTGACATTAGTTGACGCAAACTTTGTTCCTGTAAAACTTTTATGTCCTATGTATTGTCAATGACGGCAGAAAGTTTCGAATTGGAAGATGCAACTGGTGAAAGTATTGTATTACAAGAACAACTTCAACAACAAATAGCTCAAGAACAACAAATGCAACAACAAAGTCAAGAATAAAAAAAAATATTTTTTTATTTTTATAAAAATGTACAGAATAGATGTTTCAGAGTTTTATGACTTCCAAGCATTCAGAAATATGTGTCCATTTAGAGACTATAACAAAGCAGTCGAGAATTTGAAACGTTTAGTCATTTATGTTGACTCTGCCCCAGAATGTTATGTTATGAAAGAATGGGATGTAGTCTTTAACAAACATAAAGCGACAATAGTTTCAGAACAAGAATGTAGACAGAAACTTAAGAAAATAAAAGTCGTACAAGTTGGTATGAAGATGTTAGATGCTTGGGATATCTTATTGTCAAAGTTAGAAGATTTTTCAGTTCGTGGTATAAAGTTTTATACACCTTCTCCAAACTTCTATTCTATCTTCACTGGATATAAATACAAACAAGTAGAATGGAAAGAAAATATTATAGAAGCTTGGTTAGACCATGTCAAAGAAATTATATGCAATGGAAACGAAAAGGTTTATGAGTATATCTTATGTTGGTTTGCAAACATCTTACAACATCCAAGTGCTAAAAATGAAACTACTCTCATTATAATTGGAAAACAAGGAACAGGTAAGAATACTTTCTTTACAGATATTTTGTGCAAACTGTTAGAAGGTTATTCGAATCCGAATATGACAAACTTAGAAAACATCTGTGGCAAGTTTAACTCCTCAATAGAGAATATGAAACTTATAGTTTGCAATGAACTTCAAAGTATAGATACAACAAAAGTTTTGAACTCAGATGCTTTGAAGAGTCTTATAACAGACAAAGTTGGAGTTGTTGAAAGAAAGTATAAAGACCAAAGAGTTTGTGAAAATGTTGCAAACTTCATTATGGTTTCAAACAATACTGTTCCGATGAAGTTAGAAAGTTCTGACAGAAGATATGTAGTTGTCAGAACGTCAGAAGCTCATATGCAAGATACAGAATATTTTGACGCTTTGTCAGAATATTTGACACCTGAGTTTTACAACCATTTGTTTTCATACTTTATGACATTAGATATTTCAAAGTTCAATCCAAGACAAATTCCACATACCGAAGAGAGACAAACATTGTTAGAAGCAAACAAGAGTGTATATGAACTGTTCGTAGATGAAACTGACTTTGTGTCATTAGATGAAAGGTCTTTATATGATGAATATAAACAATATTGTCAAGAATATGGTTATATGGCAGCTTCTAAACGTACATTCTTGGCAAATGTCAAAAGTCTTTTAGATGTTCAGAATGGTGTATATACAAAGAAAAAATTTTTCTGAGTAAATTTTAAAAAAATATTTTTTTATCCGATAGAAAAGATGACGAAATATATTTCAGTAAACAAGTACATGTCAGGACTTAAAGAAGAACTAGACCCATTCACATATTTGAATGTTTACTTCTACCATTTTGAAAAGTCTTCATTCAGCAAAGTTTGGAACATCGAACCAGTTAAGTTTGCTATTGTGACTAAAAATGATGCGAAATTTGAAGACTTAGACATAGAAGGTTTGTTAACAGTCAAAGAAAGTTTTGACAGAAGGTTCTCAAACCTTAAAGAAGGTAAAGCATACAAACTTGTTATACCTTATGAACCAAAGAAGACAGACGACTATGAATATTATGAGTCTAAAGTTGTAGAAGTTCAAGGTAAATTGGGTAAAAAGCTATTAGAGTCTAAGCCAGTGTTTACTCCTAAAGAGGAAGAGAACATTGACATTGACCCAGAAATGTTCTAAAAATAAAATTTTATTTTTACATGTCAAATTTCTTTTTCTCTGGAACTGGTTCAGGTTCTTTCTTCTCTTCTAATTTTTTCTCTTTCTTTTCTTTCTTCTTCTTCTCTGGTGGAGATATGTCAAATTTCTCACAACCATATTTATGTAAAAGTTCTTTGTCCTTTAATAGCTCATCTATTCTGTTTTCTATTTCATCTTCAAGAACAGCGCATGTGTCTTCTTTGCATTCTAAGAACTTTTGTTGGACTTCATCTTTCCAATTGGCGTCATCTCTGTCAACAAGTCTGTCATTGACAAATTTTAAGACTGCTCTTTGTAATGTTTTATGGTTCTTGTCATATTCCCAGAAACAGAACTTTAGAACAAATTCACCTTTCTTGTTTACACTATATAAGATTTTATGGTCGACAGATGTTTTGCTGTCGAAAAGCTTGTCTCGAATATAGATAGCGAAATCGCTAGACATTTTCTAAAAGATAAAAATTTTAATTTTTCTAAAAATATGTTAGAAAAAAAGTTTGCTGACATTGACAAGAAATTTGAGAATGTTTTAAACAAGAACAAGAGGAAGTTAGAAAATGCTCAGATAAAGCCTATACATGAAAAGTTCTTATTTGCTCAGAATGGTATAACAGGTCTAATTGCACCACCTGGGTCGGGTAAGACTTTCACTTATCTTAAAATGGCTGCACAACAACAAGAACTAGATGAGAAGAACCCATTCTATGAGTTAGTTGTTATTTGTTCGACTTCTGGTCAATTTGACCAAACCGTCAATTCGTTCAAAGATATTATAAAGAAGTCTAAGTTAGTATGTATAAAGGATACTGAGTTGTTAGATTGGATAAAGAAGTACCAAAGAAGAGTTTTGAAGTATAATGCTATAAATGAGTATATAAATTCTAAGTTTAAAGAACCTAATGAGGAAATGCAGAGAATATTAGAGAAGAAACACTTCAGAAACAAACAGAAAGAGATAGAATACATTTCGAAGAAATTGCAATCTTACGATTGGAAGACTTACCCTCATAGGTGTCTTCTTATCTTAGATGATTTCGCCTCTCATCCTTTGCTTAAGAATAGAGAACAAGATATGTGTCGAATTCTTAAGAAACTTAGGCACTTTAACATTTCAGTCGTAATATGTGTACAGACAGCAAAGAGTTTAAGTAAGGATGTTAAAAGAATACTTACTGACATAATACTTTTCCCCGGATTGTCCGAAGACGATTTCATGGAACTTATGAAAGAGTCCATGGCAGGTAAGTTTGACAGACATGAACTCTGGGAGAAGTATAAAGTCATACAAGACCCTCATACTTCTTTCAGAATTCATATCTATGCGAACAAAGTTCAAATTGTAAAAAGTCAAGCTTGAAAAATAAAGAGTTCATCTACCCTACTTGTTTGAAGTTGTCAAAATACTCTGTTATCTTTTCTTTCAGTAATGTTAAGTCTTCTTTGAATGTAAGTATTGTACAACCTTTAATATCATAGTGTGTTTGAGGTAACGTATCTTGAACAATTTGTTTCACATCTTCATTTGGGGTCATTGAAATCGGTAAGTTTTCGCGATAGAACCAATTTCTGTCAGATTTGTAAATCTTAGCAAGGTCGTAAAAGCTTTTGTTGTTTCTTCTGACTAAATGCAACATAACCATGTCACTGTCTTCCATATCTTCAGTATAAATCATATACTTATAGTTCTTTTCCTTTCCTTTTGGTACCGAACGTGGTATTCTTTTCTGAATGCTTTTGTCTTTTGCTTCAAGCTTATTTTCCATCTCTCCACGTTCTGCTTTATATAATTCATCTAACATCATGAAAATATAACAAGCATAACGAGGTGAAGCCCACATTGCTACAGCATTTACTAAAAGTCTATGAACATAATAACCTTTCAAACCAGGAGCCAAATTCTTGCGATTTTCGTACGGAATCTCTTCCCCCGGTTTTCCGAGGGAAGCAATCATATGAGGAAATTCTTCTAAAAGTTCTTTTGTCTGTTGGTTTTCAAACCAATGATATGCTTGCTTTGTAGAACGAAGAGCATTCATTATACTTTGCATTTGGTACATATCGTCTTTGACCGAACGAATGAGACGTAACTGTTTGTTATACTGTATGTACTCGTATTCTTCATTTATAGCTTCATGGACTATAACTGTTGTTGTGTTCTCTGATGTTGACATTACTGTCTTTACATACAAAATAAAAAAATAAATAAAAATAAAACTAACTTTATTTTTCTAACTAATGAAATTCATTATTTTTGTGCTGAATTCAGCAAAAATATATTTTAGGGTAGATGGTTAGATCTAACCCGATTTCTAACCCGATTTCTACCCTCATGAATTTTCATGAATTTTCATGAATTTTATATATTAATGTTTTCGTTAAGCCACTTTGTGCCGTCAGTCAGTCAGTTAATGAAAGACTTTAGAAAGTTGTTGGAAAATAAGTCCTGGGAAGAGTATTATAAGGCGTTTTGTGAAGAATATAGCAACAGTCCGAATTCCGGCGGTTGCTTTTTATACAAAATTCATGAGGGTAGAAATCGGGTTAGATCTAACCATCTACCCTAAACATTATTTTTGCTGAATTCAATAAAAATAATGAGTTCATTTACTCACAATATTTTGTACAAAACGACCCCAAACTTTTAACTTCTTTTCTGCAGCTTCTAATGCTATCTTAGCGAGTTCATATTCTCTAAATTCTCTCTTTAAATCTTCTTGTTCCCATTGGTCTAGTTCGTATGGAGAATCTCTATAACCATAAAATATCTCACGTTCATGTTCTAATTGTTTTTCATGCATTTTTCTAACTTCTTCTTCAAACAAATGTTTTGCATTCTCTACTCTATCTTCGAGTTCTTCTTCATCTAACTTCTCATGAACTTTCTTGTCTATGGAGTCCATAATATCTTTGACATAAAATGCATACTTTACAGAGCACCATTCAGCAACAAAATGAACGAGGTCAGGATGTATGTAAATACCTTTGAATTCATTTATAACACCCTTAGTAAGCTCATAAAATGCTTGTTTTGAGGTTGAGCCACTTTTGGCTCCACCGTATTCTTTCAACCAAAACTCAAGAATTTCCTGCATTTTAGCACTATTGAGAAATCTGTTTAAATGGTTTAACCTTCCCGCTTCTCTTGCCATCTTTGTTGCATTAATGTAACCATCCTTGTCTCTACGTAAGACTTCAATACCGTTATAAGTGCCTTTTGTGAATGTTTCGCCATTAGATTTGTTCGTGAATGTTTTTGCTTCGACTGACATTTCTGTTCTTATATACAAAATAAAAAAATAAATAAAAATAAAACTAACTTTATTTTTTCTGTCTTAAGGAAATTCATGAGGGTAGAAATGAGGGTAGATATCGGGTTAGATCTAACCATCTACCCTAAACATTATTTTTTGGTCCGGGAACAACTTTCTCTCAATTGGAGCTGTAGCATACTCTTTGCGTAAGCGGTTCAGACCTTCTTCGAAGTCTTGGTCTCTCTTCGATTGAGATTGGAATTGATGGGGTGGAGCTTGCTGGAACAAAAGGGTTGGGAAGTAAGGCATAGGCTGAGGAGGGTAGTTTCGGGAAGCCTTGGGTGGGTAGTAACCTTGAGGTGAAATTGGTAGTAATTCGGAGGTACTTGCTGGAACTGAGGTTGCTGAGGAGACTGTTGTGGTTCTGCAGCTTTCGGTTCTTCTGGCTTTGGAAGGCATTCAGGAAGAGGAACGTCAGTCATCCGTTTGTGTCCTGTCGGAAGGAAAAATTTTTCCTGTCGGATGGAAAAACTTTTTCTGTCGGAAGGAAAAACTTTTTCTGAAGTTCGACCAAAAAGTTCTCAATTTTCGAAAATTTGAATGGTTTACGGACGGACAACTGGAAGAGTTCTTCCTGTTGTCGGGAAAAATTTTTCCCTTTGTCGGGAAAATATTTTCCTGTCGGATGGAAGAACTTGGAATGCAAGAAAGACTTGACGAGGCAATTTACCTTATTGAACTTAACGAGCTTGTTAAAGACTTCCTCAGGCAGAATGTAAAAGGCAAGCTTGTTAACGGTTGGATAACGGGAAGGGCTGCCTTGACTCTCGAGATTTCGACTGGAATTCCAATTGAGGTACCAGAAGGCACTCCTTTCGACGACATAAAGCAAGCAAAGAAAGAAGCTCTTCTCAAGTTCTTTGCAAAGCGCCCATGGATACAACTTCCAAACAGAGAGAACCCTTTCCCAAGAATGAACCAAATTCTCAGAGCACTGTTCCACTTCTCTGGTCAGCCGTTCTTTATAACTACAGAAGGCGACATTCAGCCAGTTCAGTAAACATCTCATTTTAACTCACTTTTTTTATGTTTTTTGTGAAAGTGTCAAAAATAAATTGTTTTCATGAGTTTTCTACGATGTTAGAAAAAATGTTATTTTCTAATATCTTCACATTCAATACTTTTTCAGCACTTTTCCGTAGTTATATACGAAAGACAATTCGAGATAAAAGTCATAGTACAATGGAATAATATGTTGCACACCATTTGTTGTGAACCAAACTTGAAAGTCAGAGAAACTGTTACTAGGTGGTTCGTAGAATTTAGAAGCAAAGTCATAAAGGTCCTTACCAATACATAGAAAACTATTGTTGCTTGAACTGAAACTTGCATGACACATAACATTTTGAGGGTCAAACACGTTTCTAAAAACCATCAAATCTGCTGGTGGAAGTATAAATTTAAATGGACAATCTGGTGGTAATGGTTCGTTCTGGTTTAGTAACCGAAGAAATTGTGCCCAAGAACGTTTGTCTACTTCCCAAAATAAAAACTCTGTATCTCTTGGAGGGTTAATTTCAATCTTTTGAAATGAAACGGTGGAGTTCATCTTGTCATATTCTAGTTTCAGATAGTATGTTCCATTTAGTAAAGAGTCGTATTTTTCTTGAAATTCCCAATAATATTTGTTCATTTGAGTTTGAAAGTCATCTAGAGTTTTCTCAAGACTTTCGTCTGAACGAACTGTAAAGATTCTCATTTCGTCAAATTTGTCTATTAGACCATCAGGACCTTCATACTGCCAATGAAAATATACTGCGAACATAAATGCGTTAGTTCTATTTGAAAACAAAACTCTTCTAAATCCTATTGCCTTTGCATCTGAAGGACTTTGAAGCCAACGAATTGGATAGTCAAACCTGTATGCTCGGATGAAATTTCTTCATCTGAAATAGTCCTACCAGCATTTGTAAAGATATAGTCTAACGGTTTTGTATCTGCTACTTTTGTTCTTTGTTTTTCAACCTGAAGCATTTAATATATGTAAAAATATATTGTTTTAAAATGGTATGCCATATAGCTTCTTGAATTTGTTAAGAAGTATTTGAACGTATTTTCCATCTGTATCTCTAGTGTTTACATAAGCATAGCCCGCCTTAGTAAAATATACTTGTAATTTCCTATAGTTTACGCCGGTATAAAAGTAGAAAGAGTCTTGTTCTTCGCTATAGTAGTAAAACTCAAACGTATGCTTGCCATAGTCTGTAATTTCAATTGTTTCATCTTCTAGTTCGTCGACAAATTCGAATACAATATCTCCAAATTTGCCTTTGTTCTTATTGTTTTCAGAACGAGTGACCCAACGTAAGTTTTCAAGTCTATTGTCGTTTCTTATATGGTTTATATGGTCTACAAAAGGTAAATTGTTAGGATTCAGTATAAAATGAGTTGCAATGACAACATGTTTAAGATAGTGTTTTCCACCCATCTCATAATAGCATATCCGTCATTTCGCTCCCATTCGCTTAAAACTCTTTTTGTCTTTTTGTTTCTGACTTCAAATGACTCACAACAGTGAATTTCATCTTTCTCATCTAACAAACAAGTTTCCCAACGGTCTTCTCCAACAAACTCAGCGTACATTTCAAATAAAATAAAAAATGTCACTTTTTAAAAAATAAATTTTTTATTTCATGCAATGTTTTATTTCTGTGCCGTCTTCAAGTATGCCCCAATATTTCCTTTTCGATATTACATGAACTTCGGAAAATACCTTATCTAGCTTAAAACAGCCCATCTTTTCACCGACTAAACCCATTTCAATGAGTTTGTTGTATCCTTCTTCGTTCGTCATGAGTGCGTCAATGTTCTCATAGTAAACCTTGACTTTCGATTTGACTTCGGAGAAGAACTCATTGTAGTTGTCAAGGACTGCCTTTGCGAACTGAGGGTAAGACCAATGTTCGACAATAGGTTTTAATGTGGTTACTAAGCCACTTTGACCTTGAGTGAATTCGTACTTCAAAACAAAAGGAGAAAACCTTTCAACAAAGTTGTCGACCTTCTCATAATGTTTACTCTTCATCTCTTGAGGTTTCATAATGGAATATCCCCATGTCGAATTCATAAGCAATTTGAGTGTCATTGCAAGTTTGGGGTTTGAAGCTTTCCTAATATCATACAGTTGTTGTATGACTTTTCCAACTGTATAGTTCCTTCCCGGGAACTCACCATCTTCGTTTGGAATTCCAGTCGGAATATATTGGACAAACCTCATGTATGCAGCGTTAAGGTCGACATAGTATATCTTTTCATCTGAGTCGAACTTGTCGCAACCAATTGGTCCAGTTTGTGGAAATTCAAGTGAGTCTCTTATCTTCTGAGAAACTTCTCCTGTTATCTCATAAACATCGTCGAAGCAACCTGTTTCATATAAAACCTTCTGACCTAACTCTGATGCTCTCCAATACAATTTGACGTCAATTGGATGTCTCAATGGAAGTTTGTTTATAGCATCTTGAAGTTCTTGCAACCTCATTGGAAGTTCTTCTGGTTCAGGTTGGTATCCGAACAAACCAACTCCTTGTGGAACTGTGTACTTCTTTTGTACTAGAACTTTGTCTGGAACAACTTTTGGTCTTGCTAACAATGAAAAGTTTGTTTCGTCTTTTGGTACAAAAGTTTCTGTCAGCTTGTCATCTGGAATTGGTTCCAACAAACCTTTCTCGAAAAGAATGTTTACAGCTCTGACAATGTTGCACTTACTTTTACCAAAGAATGGGTTTGTAAGACTTTCGTTCAACATGAAGTGGTTGTGGACAATTACAATCTTCAACCATGGTAAGTCTTTGTCAACAACATAGTCGTCATGTGAAGAACCTTTAGCTGTAGGTATGTTGACTCGGATATTGACATTTGCCAACGGTGCAATTTTTGCCAATTGACCTCTGAGAATGTGCCTTGTCTTCACACATGACTCAAGATACTTCATCTTCTCATCTGTAACAAGACCAGAGTTCCTGAGACATGTAAGAATGCAAGGTTCATTGACAATTGTTTCAATTGAATTGTAAATTCCATACCTTGTCAAGTCAATGTCAGACTTATTTATGAAGGGGAAGTATCCAGCATATTGTCTGACTGCTTGAGGGTTAGGTTGGTACCATTCGAACTTGACACTTGCAATTCCTTCAATTGCATTCAAAATGTCTGAGTCGGAGTCAACCATTTGTTCTCTCTTTGTAGTCTTGAAAGCGTCAAGAAGTTTTGCGGCTGTTTGTTCATTGCCATGTGCATAGTAAATGTGACCATCCAAATCTGTTATGGTCAATCTGAGATTGTGTCCTTTCTTATTTCCGTCTTGTATGGCAGCAAGTACTCCCATGAAGCCTTCTTTGTTCTTTCCTTCGTCAAAGTTTACTGTAAAGGTTCGACCAGATGTAATTTGACTTCTAACTTCACGATACTTTTCATATGCATATCTTGTTCTTTCCATGGGAGCATGTGCGTCTTCACCTTTTCCTTTTTTCCTTCTCAAAGGATGCAATTGTTCGTCATGTTTCCAGTAGAATCTGGCAAAGCCGTCGTGTCCTTCAACTTGAGGTTCACTAACATCGAAAGGCATGTCCATAAGACGTTCTTCTTCTAACCTCTCTAGTCTGTTTGGATAATTGGCACGTGCTGTTTCCAAATCTAATTCGTAGGTCAGACCAGCCAGTTTGTCATAGACTTTTATGGGTCTTCCTTTCTTATATTTAAACTTCTTCGAAACTCTCCAACCATATCTTTGCAACTCTGCTTTTATTCTAGCAGACTTTCTGTCCATTCTATATGGGGGCATTTTTATAAAAATAAAAAAATATTTTTTTTCTTTACTTTACATAACCGCCTGCTGCCATAAGTCTTTGACGCCAACCCATACCAGCTAATGAAGGTTGACTTGGTTTAGTTTGGAAACTAAACTTTGGTTTTGGTTTATCTTCAGTTTTTGGTTTTTCTTCTTCTATCGGTTTTTCGTCACTTTTCGGTTCCTCTGACTTTACTTCACTTGCAGGAACAGTTGTGTCGTCAACATCTTCATAAATATCATATGCCATTTGTTTTTGTTTTCCTTTCAACGTTTTGTGTTTGTTGTAAAGTTTAGAATATTTCGACTCTAAGTCAATGAGATGTTCTATAATGAACTGTTGGTCATGAAGTAAACTTTTCCATCTGTTGTCTCGAAAGCTCCTTCAGACTTCAATATTTTATTTGTGAGAGTCTGTTTCTTTTTTGAGATACTAGCCGTTCCATTTCTATGAAAAGTGACTTTATAGTTAGGGTTTGTATTTCCAGACCTGGCACTTTCTATTATTGAATTTTCTCTTCATCTGTAAGTTCTTTGACAGGTTTTGACAATGGTTCTGAACTTTTTGTTTGTGGTGTCAAATCTACCGTTTCAACTTCTTCGGTCATTTCATCTCAGTAAAAAATTTTAGTTTGGTTTGTTTTCAACTGGTTGTTTAGGTTTTTTAAGTCGGTCTAAAACTTCCTGAGGTATAGGAAGAACTTTACAAACACGTGGTGTAAAAGGTGGTCTTCCATGACTTATTCTGTTTAAAGCTGCATTGTTCATTTCATCTCAATAAAAAAACTTTACATTCCCCACGTTTGAGGCGGTTGAGGTTGGTTATTGTTTACCCACTGTTGTGCATGGTTATATCCTCTGTTAAAGAATCTTTCACCTTGGTCCATATAGTGTCCTGCTTGGTTATAGTAGTCATTTGCTTTGTTATAATAGTTTCCTGCTTGTCTTCCTACATTGTCCATCCATCCTTGAACTTTTCCTCTTGTTTCAGGATTTGGAATAAGATTTGTTGCATCTCGTGCTACCTCCCAACCTTTCTGTACAGTTTGTATAATAGTTGTGCTTTCTCTTTAAGTATACCTAATGTACTCAAAATCTTCCTTCCAACTCCAAATACACCCTGGCTATTGTTTCCCACTGCGGGTAAAATCTAGATGCGACTCCTGCTAATGCGCCAAATAAACCCATTTCTTATAGGTAAAAAGACGAATCCAAACAAGGACCCGTATGTTTCTAAGGCAACAAAGAAAGCACTCATGATAAAAATCTTTAGTTCAACACAAATGCTTGGTTTATGGATATCTTGGAAAACATTCCGAGAGTTAGAACAGATGGACCTCCATACTGGTTAATATTTGTTGGTCAAAACACAAGATATGTGAAGCCATACCATTACAGTCCAAAGCTATTTAGATATCTTAGCAGCTTTGACAATATTCGTTGACAAATACCATCCAACAAAACTGACATCTGACTGTGAAAGTTCTTTCAAAATCAGATGATGTAAAAAACTATCTGCGTTCAAAAAATGTAAACCAATATTTCATTGTCGACCAAAAACCATTCTGCTCTTGGTGTCATTGACGGATGTATAAAAATGTTAAGAGACTTAAACCAACCACAAGTGGTGAAGCAAATGAAATGTCATATGACGACAAATATAGACACTTCTCCCAGGCAAAGATGAGACAAGTTTTAAATATTTACAATAACCGTAAACAAAAAGGTTTGGGAAACCACTCCCCCGAAGAAATGAAAAACAACCCTGACTTAGAGAAAGACTATATATTTAATAATTTAGTTCAAAAGAGACAAACAAGAAAGAATGCCGGCTTCAAACTTCAGAAAGGTGACAAGTAAAAATAGAAATACCTAAACGCGACCCATATGAAAATACTATTGACTATGACAACAATGGGAACTCGACAGGTACTCACATTCGTGTTCGTAAAAATAGAAGAAAGTATACAAGAGAATATTATGAAGTTTTAGGCAAACATGGCAAAATGTACAGACTGCAAGCAGAAGATAAAAACTACTATTGTCAGACCTTGTTTCAAACTTGTCAAAGTTCAAGGTGGTATACTTTCAAAGACAGTTCCTAACAAATATAAGACAACTCCTGACGAATATGCTAAAGAAGTTGAAAATGACGACTAAGCAATTCTATACCATGCGTAAACTGTCATGTAAGGTGGCATGTATTCTTTACTTTGTCCCGTTGTTTGCGTATATCCTGAAACGAAATGTGTATGGTTTCCTTCTCCTGCGTGTCATCCCAGTAACAATTTATAGCAAAACTTAACGTCGTCTTTAACATCATATCCTTTACCTTTTGTCATTCCTGACCAATCGCAATATCTATGCTTATGCCAACCTGCTTGAGATGTACTTAAATCTATGTAATGACTGTGTGCAGGTAAATTTTCACCTGAAATCGTTTTACTTCCACCTGTTTCCTTTGAAGAGTTTGCACAATACAAAAACCTGTCGACTATTTGTTCCCATGCACCAACACCAAACATTACTTGAGGACCTCTTGCATCCATAGATGTATAAATAGAACCTACTGGGTTCATTAAATCAAACATATGAGATATTATAGGATTGTCTCTTTTGAACTTAAAATATAGTGCAACTATTTCAGGTTTCTTCTGGTTTGTGTCAGAATATTTTTTATAATATAATCTTATGTTTTCAGGGTAGGTACAGTCTTGACTATAATATTTATTTCTGTCATCTGTATAATAATATACTATTCTCGTTTTTTCTATTGCATTATATCTTTTATATCTATAATAATCTAAATATAATGTTAGCTTTTGTTCATCTACATGTGGTGTTCTGTCGTCATCTCCATAGTCATAATAATGTGGTGCCGGAGCTGGGTCAGGTAATATCATATCCACCATTTCATAAACTCTTAAATATTTCTTTTGTTCGTCTCCATATAAGTTTAAGTAGCAGTTGTTGTCTAATGGAACTTTAACTTGTGTACCATCATTCTTTTTATAGCTTACATACATTTCATTGTTATTTTTCGGAATGAGTTTACACCGTGTATCATTTTTTAAGGACTGTACCAACTGCCATCTAAAATATTTATTTTCTTCATTGACAGAAAAGTCACCAACAATAGTTTCAATATTTTTTGTTCCTATCAAACTTTGGTATATTTCATTGACATATGTTTTATCTGCTTTATTTTCAAGGCTAACGTTTAAGTCTGTTATTTCAGAAGATGTATGTGTATGTCCAACGGCACTTTTCCTGTTTAAGGTTTCTTGTAAGTTTGTAATATTTGCAATGGTATGTGTATGTCCAACGTCACTTTTCCTGTTTAAGGTTTCTTGTAAGTTTGTAATATTTGCAATGGTATGTGTATGAGTCTTATTTGCTTTTGTCTCTAATGTTTCCTTAAGACTTGGTATTTGGTTAATATAATGTATATGAGTCTTTTTAGAATATTCGTTTTCAGCTCTTGTCACTTCACTTGACATTTTATTGTCAACATATGTTTTGTCTGCTAGTTCAGGATGAGTATGTTCTTCTGTTGCATAAGCATTGTTAGCTCTTTCTTCTTCTTTTGCTATTGCATCGTCTACATATTCTTTGTCAGCTTTGTTGTCAACATCTGCTTTCAAAAGAAGTTCATTTATAGGTTTCTCGTTTAAAGTTCCTTTTGTTGGATTTATACAGACAGTATTGTTCTTATTGTCTTGAAATAGAAACTCATCTGTCATTGGGTTTATTGTCAGTTTTAAGTCACCCCCTTTCAATGACTCAGATATCTTAGAATAGTTTGAAAAGTTTGTTGTGTTCTTATTTAGAGCTTGCATAATGAGTTGTCGGTTGTGTTGTATTTCTCTCATAGACGCTGTTTCATTTGACATTTTTATTATAGATAAAATATGCTTCCAATAGAAAAAGAAAATTCTAGAGTTGCTACAACTAAACCATTAGATGAACTTTTTACTAATGTCGGTCAAAAGTTTGAGACAGATACCGTAAAGCATGAAGGCTATCGTTTTGACTACCCATTAAGATGGTTAAGAGACCCATCTGTCACAAAAGCTATTGGCTTTCGAAGAATAAAGTTCATTTCAGAAGCCATACATGGTTTCCCATTTGCGGTCGGTTTTGAAGTTCGATACTATAACAAAGAAAAACGTATGTATGAGAAATTTGAACAAGGAAAACTTTTACAAGTTAATTTGCTTATAAACTTAGAAACAACTCTTCAAGCTTTTCAAGAAAAAATAAACGATATCTATATTGAATATGCAAACCAGTTTAACATTGACGAAGGAGAATACCATCTCGATATTATTTATGACAGGAAAAATGCAACTGTTAAAATCAATAAAATAGAAGACCTTGGAGAAAACGTTTATATTTCTACAAAATATAACAACTTGGCATGGTATAGATTTATGAGGATGTTAAATCAGCCTGCAGCATATCCAGTACACCCGGACTATTATGAAGTCGAAAAAACCTAATGGAACATATGAAAATATTTTCGACCCAGATGCTATTATTGTTCATGCTTCATTTTCTGGTGCGCAAAAACTCTTTCTTATGTCTGATGAATGACTTTTACGAAAAACCTACAAAGTTATATGAACCGCCGAGTGGAAGTATTTCAGACTTTCAAGTATGGTTTACTACAGATGGAAGAAAAAGAATAATTCCATTATACCATGCGTTTTACTTAGAACTTAGTTTCATATACAACTACTATCGAACGATAAAAATATAATTTTTTAATACGGTTGAGGTGTTGGATTTGGTTGCCAACTAGACTGTGGTGCAGGTTCAGGCTGTTGTATAACAGGAGCTTGCTCTTCTGGTTCAGGGTCTTTAGGTATAATACCAACGAACCGACCTACTCTTTTACCAATATTTTTGACACCGTTCCATACTCCTCTTCCGACAGATTTTATTCCATTCCATATACCTCTTCCAACATTTCGAAA